GGAAGCATTGGACAACCATTTCGTCCTATTGTGGAACTCCTAAGTAGTCTAGTGGTTAAGCACTCTGGCGCGAGACTGCTAGGTCCTGGGTTCAAATCTCGTAAGGTTTTATCGTGGATGCGCACTGCTGAGGAGTCCCACAATAAGACGAAACGTCCGTCCAGTGCTTCCAGGCTTTTGATGGTGGTCTAGCTTCAATTGACTCATGCTTTCAGCTATGCAAATACTAAACCTCCACAAAACCCCTTCTAAGTACATTTTTATCCATAAATTACAGTTTTGTCCTTATAGAACTATCATAGTTTACTGCAATTTTACACAAATTTCTTATCAAGGGTAAAGAGATCAATCTTGAATGAAATGAATTCTGTGTGTGTATTTGTGTGTGTGTGTGTGTGAATTAATTAGTCTGTGAGTTATTATTACTGTTACAAACAAATTCCTGCTAACAGCTATATCCAAAGTTCAATCATTAAGAAATATTTTATAATAAATATTGTATAAAAAGTGTCAGTTGTCGATAAGTAATAAAAAGAATGACAATCTCTATTCTGTTCATGTTAATTAATTCAGAAGTTCAATCTGAAGTTTCACTGCTGTCTGACAGATATTTTGAATTTTTCTTCAAAGGCACGCCAATCGAATGTTTTTTTTTTATATCAATGATATTGCTATGACTGTCCGTTTTCCTTGTACACACGAATGTGACGTTAATTTACTTTAGACGAGTATCTACACCAGATTCCTTCCAATTGTCTACTCTACAGGACTTCAACACAACTCAAATCAAGAACACGTGATTAGCCTAACTAGAACGTAAATATATTTCCACACCGAAACCCGACACAATTCAACAACAATGAACAGTCAGTTAATAATAAATAATAAGGATAGGGGAATATATAGTTCATCTGACACCTGTCAGACTATCTACATATCTGACTAAGCGGAGGACCAATCCTTATCATTCTCCCTCGCGCATCAGATATGTTAAGTGTTTTGTAGGAGTTTAAGATCTCTCATAAAAGCTGGTTTATATTAGAAAGTGTAAGCGACCATACTGGAATCGAAAAATTAATAGTAGTAATAATCCAAAGAATGTAGTTGGTAGGGTTTGAATAGGCATTGGCTATCGTAATTCAGTATTCTACAGAATAACTCTGTGCTGTATAATCAATGAGTACTGATCTTTCATCCTACTGAATGTCTCAAAACAAGGTTGGAAATTCATCCTTATTGAATCCCCGGTGGGTATTCTAATTTCTACTGGTAACAATGTTAGGGTTGTAAAGTACATCAGTTACACCATTCTTTATATTTAATAGCTTTGGTTTTTAATATTTATTTACAAGCTCAGTTACTTATTTACTTACTTTCGCCTGTTACTCCCAATGGAGCATAGGTCGCCGACCAGCATTCTCCAACCCACTCTGTCCTCCGCCTTCCTTTCTAATTCTATCCAACTTTTGTTCATTCTTCTCATGTCTGTCTCCATTTCTCGGCGTAATGTGTTCCTTGGTATTCCTCTTCTCCTTTGACCTTCAGGATTCCATGTGAGGGCTTGTCTTGTGACGCAATTGGGTGAGTTCCATAATGTGTCTTATACACTTCCACCATTTCTTCCTCCTCTGGATGGAATCTGGTTTGTTGTCTCCCACAGTAACTTGTTGCTGATAGTGTCTGGCCATCGGATCCGAAGTATCTTGCATAGACAACTTTTAATAAACACTTGCATCTTCTGGATAATGGCTTTCGTAGTTCTTCACGTCTCCGTTCCATATAATAGAACTGTCTTGACATTTGTATTGAAAATTCTGACGTTGGTGTTGGTTGACAATGGTTTTGAGTTCCATATGTTCTTCAGTTGCAAATATGCTGCTCTTGCTTTTCCGATCCTCACCTTCACATCTACATCTGATCCACCGTGTTCATCGATGATGCTACCTAGATATGTAAAGGTTTCCACATCCTCCAAAGCTTCTCCGTCAAGTGTAATTTGATTGGTGCATATTGTGTTGTATCGGAGAGTCTTGCTTTTCCCTTTGTTTATATTGAGACCTACTGCTGCTGAGGCTGCTGCTACACTAGTCGTTTTCTCCTGCATTTGTTGTTGCGTTTGTGATAGAAGGGCCACATCATCTGCGAAGTCTAAATCGTCAAGCTGCATCCTGCCTGTCCACTGTATCCCGTGATTTCCTCCAGTCGTTTACGTCTTCGTGATCCAGTCGATCACCAGGAGAAAGAGAAAGGGTGAGAGTAAGAAACCTTGCCTAACACCGGTCTTTACTTGAAACGAGTCGGTGAGTTGTCCTCCGTGGACGATTTGGCAGTTTACTCCATCATAGGAGTTCCGTATCATATTGACTATCTTCTCAGGCACGCCGTAGTGTCGAAGAAGCCTCCATAGTGTCGTCCTGTCCACGCTATCAAATGCCTTCTCGTAGTCGATGAAGTTGATGTAGAGTGATGAATTCCATTCGATTGATTGTTCCACAATTATCCTCAGAGTTGCGATTTGATCTGTGCACGATCTATCCTTACGAAATCCAGCTTGTTGATCTCCAAGTTGGGCGTCCACGGAATCCTTCATCCTGTTTAACAACACTCGGTTGAAGACTTTTCCTGGTATTGAGAGAAGAGCGATGCCCCTGTAGTTGTCGCACTTGCTGAGATCACCTTTCTTTGGTATCTTGATCAGAAGTCCTTTTTTTCAGTCTGTTGGTACTTGTTCTTAGTCCTAAATCTTACTGAAGAGGATGTGGAGTATCTTGACAGTTGCTGTTACATTTGCTTTCAGTGCCTCTGCCGGGATGTTGTCTGGTCCCGCTGCTTTGCCGCTCTTGACTTGTCTAATGGCCATGTTGATCTCTTCAATTGTTGGTGGGCCAACATCGATTGGGAGGTCTGTGGGTGCTGCTTCGATGTTGGGTGGGTTCAGTGGAGTTGGTCGATTCAAGAGTTGTTTGAAGTGTTCTACCCACCTGTTTCGTTGTTCTTCAATGTCGGTGATTACTTTGCCTTCCTTGTTTTTCACTGGTCTTTCTGGTTTACGGTAATTTCCAGCAAGTTTCTTTGTTGTATCATACAGTTGTCTCATGTTTCCCTCTCTTGCAACCTTTTCCGCTGTCATCGCTAAATCTTCCACATATTTACGTTTGTCGGTTCTGATGCTCCTCTTCACTTGCTTGTTTGCCTCTGTGTATTCGGCTTGTGCCTTGGCTTTTTCCGCTCTCGTTCGGCTGGTGTTGATTGCTGCCTTCTTGTTCCTCCTTGCTTCAATCTTATCCATTGTACCAACAGTGATCCATTCCTTGTGATGGTGCTTCTTTTGACCCAGAACCTCCTGACATGTTGAAACGATTGCCTCCTTGATACCTTTCCAGTTGCTCTCCATGGTGGTTCCCTCTCCATTGAGTAGATCATGAAAGACCTCGAACCTGTTGCTGAGGGCTATGTTTAATTTGTTGAATTTGTCAGCATCTCGAAGAAAGGCCGTGTTAAACTTTTGTGATGTTGTCCGCACAGTTGTCCAGTGCTTCTTGAGTTTTAGTTTCATCTTGGCGACCAGCAAATGATGATCGGATGCTATATCAGCTCCTCTTCTGGTTCTCACATCCTCCACCGTCCTCCTGAACTTTTTGTTGATGCAGATATGATCGATTTGATTCTGTGTAGTGTGATCCGGTGAAATCCAAGTGGCTTTGTGTATGTTTTTGTGTGGGAATATAGTGCCGCCTATGACCAGTTTATTGAAGGCACATAGGTTTGCAAATCTCTCACCATATTCGTTCCTTTCTCCCAGTCCATGTTGTCCCATGACGTCCTCGTATCCAGTGTTGTCCATTACAACCTTGGCATTGAGATCTCCCATCAGAATGGTCAGGTCTTTGGTTGGTCACTTCTCGAAGATCGACTGCAGCCTATCGTAGAATTGGTCTTTAGCGTCTTCATCGTAGTCGTTGGTAGGCGCACAGCATTGAATGGCGTTCATTGTAATGCCCTCTCTCTTTGTTTTGAAGGAGGCTTTGATGATCCTCGGTCCATGAGATTCCAATCCAATAAGTGCATTTTGTGTTTTTCTGGACAGCATCAATGCAACTCCTTGTGTATGTGGGGCATTTTCTTCTTCATGATCGGAATATTACAGAAGTTCTCCTGAAGACAGTCGTTGTTGTCCAACCTGCGTCCAATGCGTTTCACTGATTCCAAGCACCTCCAGGTTGTATTTCCTCCTTTCTGAAGCAATTTGGAAGATTCTTCCGGTCTCCCACATTGTCCGGACATTCCATGTACCTATAAAAATTGTCGTTCTGGTTGTGAGAAGGTGCATCGGCCTCATGACTTCCGAATGAACTCGGCTTTCATCATGAGACGTCACAATTATTCCTTCTACTCCCAGGGCAGTGTTTAAATGGTTTGAATGATTTTTTCTGGTTAGCGTTATTTAACGAGTTGATTTTCTACGGGATGGGGTCGTTAACCCCATGCCCAACCCTCCTCCTTAACCCGGGCTTGGGACCGGCAGTAACCCCCAGAGGAGCTACAGGCGGAGTTACAAGCTCAGTTAGTTGGTCATTAATTGTTTTCTGTAATCTATTTATTTACTGCACAACATGGTTCTCGTTAGTAACTTATCAGTTTAATTATCTTATTTATTCCAGTAGTTCTACCATCAAGTTAAACTATTATAATAACTAATCCAGTACATAATAACAATAACTGACAGCAGACTATCTGAGGTGACATGTATCTTCGTGTCAATCTTATCCTCAAAAAATTATCGGATTAAGCATATTCCAAGTAAACGAAATATAACGTTTGTGACATAAAATTAACAAATAATCATATTATTCTGTTTCATCTTGATATTTTCCCTGTTTCGTCTACTTAATTGGTTTTCATTATTTGTTAGTAGTTTTCTTGCAACTCCTATCTGATACGTTTCATTTTTAATCAATGATGACTTTGTAATTCTATACTCCTATTTCTACCTATTACAGGGATTGAAAGGTATACAAGATAACTATATGATTGGTCTGAATATGAATCCAACAGATTCCTATGCACCTGTAGAATTGTATACAACCGTTTTAAATATAACAATTGGCGTTGAACACGCAACGGATGTAAAAAGGCTCAACAATAATAAATGTAAAGAAACGTATTACAGTACAAGTCCATGTCATTTTATTTCATACTACCGCAGTGAATTAATTATAGCTATTCAAAGGAAATCATACTTTTTGAAGTTTACTGGAAAAAAACTGGTTAATTCAGACATCTCACAGAATCAAAACGAATTGATTCATAGTGAACCAAGCCAACAAGTGAACGATGGATGTTTCTATAGGACATCTGCTTATTTTAGTTGGTAAGTATAGACATTTTTGATTTAAATGAATTTCGAAAACATTGGTGTAAGCTTAGTTTACGTTACCTAATGTGACATCTGAGGATAGACGAATGAAAAATCAAGAAGTAGTTAATGACAAACTGGTTCATACTTATTGGGGAGATACTAAGTATTTTCCGCCTGCGACTCCGTACATAACTGAACTGCAAACTTTCTAGTCCTAACCATCTTTCATTAATGTGCTGAGAAATAAAATTAAAAACAATCAATGACTAGTTTTGTGAAATAAGTGAATAAATTGCTCACAATTAAGTGAAACCTTTTTGAAGAAAACAAGAATCTATTCAACTGTTAATTACCAATATGTTCATGAATGTAAGTTTTTGATTAGGTCAGCTCTCACGACCTGTTCGTCGTATAGCTTATGTGCTAGTTATAGTACTGTAAAAATTTTATAATTTTGCTCTCATACATCGATTTTGATGTATCGGCGTCTTGTTTTACCGGAATATATACAAGGATGAAGAGGTAGATGGAGTGGACGTTTACCACCTGATAAAATAACGTTTGTCAGTAATTTTCAAGATTTAAAATATCTACCTACAATCATATTCGTAATGAGATTAAAAGATTCACCATATACCTCACTAACTAACTTCAGGACTCTTCACAAACAATAAAATGTTTACTTTAAAGCTCAGGAAAGAATGATAAGGAAAAATAATAAATAATAGGTAATATACAAAAATTTACAAATCGTATAATTAAATATTGAGTAATGCCAAAAGCCTATAGCAAGTCCAATGGAAGACATTCTTCGGCATTAATTTTATATACATACATTTATATACATTTATATACATACATTTACGGAGAAGATAACGATGTAGTCTGTATTGAACTCTATCTGTATCTAAGAAAGTAGAGAATACTTCACTACAATATGACATGACTGTCGATGGAATGAGTTATTTCATGGGATGAACTTCAACAATGTCATCGTGCATCAGTTACATCTGTTCACAAGTATTCATCTGTGTGTTTATGTGTTCTTAATTCTACTCATAAATTTTCCTACTTGATTGATTAGATTAATTGATCATCGAATGATGTAATATGAATTGATGTAAGCAGATGAAATCATGACCAAATGTCGACAAGAGAATTGTTCAAATGTGCGTCATAAAGGGTGCAAAAAGAAAACCGATCAATTTTTGGATAGTTTCTATTACGATGTACTCGATTTTGTGTCATATGACGTGAATTATTTAGTCATTTGGGTTAACACAAATATTAAAAACACGAAGTTCATAGAAGGGATCTCTTTTCAACGAATTTATTATAAAGTTGTACAATCGTATATATACGAAAATGTTTTGTTAAAGTACTAAGTCCGTGAGGAAATGTGAACACCAATAACTAAGATGACGTAATAAAGAGAGTATAATACTAGATTACGTAACACGAACTTGGTGTTTTTAATTTTTAATGTTTAAATGGGAATTATCTGTTAACAGAAATATACTGATTTTGATCAGAAGGGGTTTTGTGGAGATTTCAGTATTTTCCAAAGTTGAAATCATGAGTAAATTGAAACTAGAACACCATGGAAAATCTGGAAGCACTGGACGGCCGTTTCGTTCTATTATGGGACTCTTCAGCAGTGTGCATCCACGATCCCGCACTCGCGAGATCCGAACCCAGGACCTACCAGTCTCGAGCCAGAGCCCTTAACCGATGCTGAGGAGTCCTATAATAGGACGAAATGGCCGTCCAGTGCTTCCAGGCTTTCCATGGTGTTCTAGCTTCAATTGACTCATGATTTCAACTTTGAGAAATACTGAAATCTCCACAAAGCCCCTTCTGATTATAATCATATGCTCACCAGTGACTGACTTCAAGATACATGTCCTGGAGTTCTAGTAGGAAGCAGTGACCAGTGGAGTTCAACCAGGTCTGTTGTGAGATAACAACTCACTGAAGACAATTGGTGAAAGGATACTGATTTTGAACATTAATTGGAAACACTACATTGCATAATTGGTATGCGTTGGTTTTGAGAATCCTTTAAAAAAAATTTAAACTGGTGTAGTATAGAAAGGAATTTATTTATTTATTTAAACACATAAATATTGGTACAAGGAAGCACCAGATAAATATGCGCCTCACAAATCTCATTCGATTTGTGTGAAGGCTGAGATACTGCCCAGGTGCTCAGACTTAAGCAGGTGGTTTTCTTAGGAGGCCACACCCCGAGCCTTTGACCTAAAAGTCTGATCCACAAGACAGTGGAGCATCGTAAGGAGATGCATTCCCATGGTAGCCGGTGACCAACAATAGGTTCATACGCCATTCGTTCCATCAGGTTACTGGAGCCCATGTGCACCATTGGTTTGGAATCAGGGTTTTCCAACTCCCCTAGATGGACCCTCTGTATCCACCAACCCGGTTAAAGCACCGGACATTCGCTTTTCGTCCTCTCACTTTTGTGAACAACACCCGCGGCACGAGAAGGCAGTGAGTAGGACTTCCATGGCAGGGGCTATATATTCGCGTGGCCGTATGAGAGCATTTGGAGAGGGAAAACGGACTCTTCCCACTCTCGACCGTACCAGGGCATTTGGGGGCATAGTAAGGAATGACATATAATGTATCTTGACCTAAAGAGTGGATCAAAATTCCTTACAGCTTTTGAATGTATAAAGCACAAATTATTTTAATCGTGGTAAAGTAGTGTGTTCGTGACTGAATAAGTTCTTAACAAGTACATGTGTGATCAGATTGTTCGAAATGTATTACGCTAATACATCACATAGTTCTGATAATCTTCGTCTTCTTATTTTATCAAGGGTACTAATTACTTTGAATAAGTTCTGTTACTAGGATGTACAGGAATGTTTCCCAAGAAAGCCGCTATAGCTTTAATAATAGCCTTTACAAAACTGTAGATAAACGAAGGGACTAAGTGATCCTGAGGAATTCAAATCAACAGATGAAATAATGTGCATCAATTGATTGAAAGCAAAATGGATTTGTATCAGTGGTGATACATACGTCACTCTCTTTTTGTATGGAGAGATAAGTTTAAATCGCTTGACAGCATTAATCATGGTAATTGTCATCTTAACAAAGATCGCCGACTGTTGCCCCTTTTTTTAAAGAAAGGTTGTGTTCCTAGCATATAATCATGGTAATGTATTCATAAGGCTTGATAAAAGCATTATTCTTGATCAATTTTCTTTCTGATGCGTTTGTTTTACAAACAAAATTGGAACTGATGTAGAGAGTACATCCATTTATTCCAATTTTTGAACCATTTAGAATCGTACTTTCAAACCAAACTTTCTGAGGAAGTCCCAGTTCATTTTCTTTTTAACCATTCTGTGGGTCCCCTATTCACGACAACCATGTTCATTATCATTAGCAGTTAGAGGATCCTCATTATGTTTTTCAAACAGAGATTTCTTACTGTACTTAAAAGTATCTTGAATGACTTTTGGTTATATTACTCCTTGTTTGGAAGAACTATGTTTAAACTTGATTAGAATAGTGATGCAGTTGGAAATCTCGTAATTTGTTTTGGTGGTTTTAGTAACAGTAGAGGGTGATTAAAGACGAAAATTAGTCTGTATCAATGAGTAACTATAAGGTAAAAAATGTTGGCGATTGAATTCTAACTTATAAGTCTTAAAACTAACGTTTACTAACCATGAAGGTTCTGAATATGAACCAGTATAGAATTAGCCGTAGGAGTGCACTACTTAAAAGTTAAAGGCTAGAACGGAACTGTTGTCTAGCATTTTTGATTTACTCTGTTTCTTTAGTTAATGTCACTTCGTATAAGGGAAAGTATTTTCATGGTGAATTTATTTTGCTCAGGCCATTCAATGAAATAATAAAGCAGTAATAAATAACTATGACTGATCTATGAAAAATCCTGCCTAATTCCTTTTGAATTATGAAACCATATAATTTTTTTGTGTACATTTTCCATAAATTAGTTGTTAAAGTGTACAACTGTCAATTCTAAAGCAGCTAGTTTAAACTCAAACTCTCCTTCTCTGATGTTTGTTGTTAATATTTTCAAGTTTATACTTTAATAAATACAGATATCGTTTAAAAATCCCAATCATATTAAAAGACTAATATTTGAACGAAGAATATTCTTTTCGATAAATTCTCTTCAGGTTCTACAATTATATTGTATGACCTAATTTGACTATGTACTTACGACCTTTCGTAGTCAAATGTAATTGTCTCTCTTATCTTTATTCACAAATCTTTGTATTATTATTATTATTATTATTATTATTATTATTATTATTATTATTATTATTATTATTATTATTGGTTAAATATCATTATTAATCCCCCCTAAACATGATTCATTCACATCGCATTGATCCCTCCTTATTACGTCTCACTAATTTTTCACACATTTAGTCTTCCACTTGATCGAATTGTAATTTGCACTATCATATCTCTCTCATCCTATCTGACCCATATATTCTGATCACAGATCTTAAATTTTCACTTAACATATATACAGATTCAAGGGTTAACATTCTATATGAGTCAATATCAACATTAACTATTTGATTTGACAATCCTAAATTTACATGCATTAAACTATGTACTTTGCCTTTAACCTGGCCAATTTTTCGGATTATTAATTTGGATATATAATTGTAGAACCTGAAGAGAATTTATCGAAAAGAATATTCTTCGTTCAAATATTAGTCTTTTAAATACAGATATATTAAAATATTCGGAAAACTCCTATTTTAATTTTCCCACTAGGTTTAGACAGCATGTGATTCCTCTCTCTTTGGTTGATGAAACCATTGAATCCATTAATGATGATGATGGTGATCTCAACACAAGAAAGTGGGATATGTTTATTATCTGGCAAGGTCAACTAAATACATCACGTAATGATGATCAAATAAATTTAGAACAATTAGACATTTCTTTGGATCATACAAATCAATCTGTATCTATGGAATCTTCTCACATGAATCTTAATATCACTACTAATACCTCACAAATAGATGAAGGTGATACTTCTGTTATTGTTTATGAGGATAATGAAGATACTGATAACACTGAAAATGATATTACACAAATGAATGATAAATATTCACCAGTCTCAACTATTTCTAATCTCCTTCATATTGACGATAATAAATGTTATGAAGATTCAGCTTATCAAACATTCCATACTGATGATAATATCGATAAAATAAAATGGGATACACAATCTATTATTGATTCTCATGAAACATTTGGTATTTTATCAGAAGTATCTTCTATACAGATAAAACAAATCCCAATTGATCATGATGCTCAATCTTTACTGGATTCTGACAATACGGATAGTAGTGTTGTCTGTATGAAAACTAATTTACTAAAAGCTGATCTCTGTGACGGTTTTATTAATGATAATAATAACAATAATGATAATAAGGAATTGTCCATCGTATCAGAAGAACCTGAACTCCACCATGTTGATTGTTGTAACTCTTCGCAGTCTGATTACAATGCATTGGATTCAATAACAAGTTCACTATCCAAGATAAATGGTACTACTAATAATATTAATCACAATAATAATAACCATGTAGAAGAAATGAATTCAAGAGATAATCATATAGTGGAACCTAATGGTCATCATGAATTAATGAGTAATGAAAAGACATCATTCATACAATATAATTTCATTAATTCATCTCTTACTCAAATGGAAAATAAATTATGTCATATTTCACGGGAACTTGAAGAAATGGAAATAAATGAACATCTGAGTGATAAATATATCCAAGAAATTAACAATATTTTTCAATTATTAATTTTGATTAAAAAAGATACTTCACAAATTGATTACATCATGTCAAGTTGGAATATGGATAGATCTTTATCAGAAATTGATAATTATATAACTCCTAGTACTACAACTATTTTATGTGATGAGTATGCTGATCTATCAAAGTCAACTGGAAAAGTAGAATCTATGTTAGAAATAAGTTCAGGTAATTTGATTTGTATTTATTTTACATGTATAGTTTCATTAAAGAATTTATACAGTTTTCGTTGGTGGTAGAGAAGATTTTTAGCTGAGGAGAATAATTTTATGAAGTTGAATTCTGTGAACGAGATGATTCAATGGTTAAACATTATCCTTCTGGAGAACAGTATCAAAGCAAATTTCAGACAGTAATGGACTATCTGAATTGATCTGCATGTGATTAACAGCTTGTCCTGTTAATAAAGGAAATTTTCTTTTCCAAGGTCTACAATCATATTTATCTATAAATAAAATAGTCTAATGAGAAATAGCAGAACGATTACATCATATTGTGTTAAAGAATTTTGTTTAACGATCGATAATTTAAGTAAATATAATAAGTTAAAATCAAATGTGGAAGATAATTGTAATAGCTGTAATAGCTGTAATAGCTATTACAGCTCCATGACCAAACCGTCCAGCTCAGAGAACAAACCTACATCAAAATCACCCACCTGAGCTACAAATCTTCTTCATCATCTCAAGATAGTTGTCTGTTTGATGAGTATGGGAAGAGTGATAAATAAATTAAAAACTTGGATGTGATAATAACGAATGATTGAAATTAAAGTGATCAAAAACAATAGAATGATGTATCAGCAATCAAATTATGACACTCCAGTCCGTAAACCTGACAAAACAACCCTAGTCAACACTGGTTTTAACACTTTTATATCTGACAGACAGGAAACATTTTGAAATATGCACTTGAAAATTGTAGTGAATTTATTGTGCTCCAATTGAACTCTGCTCAGTGCCCTTACTTTGAAATATACTTAACTTGTATTATATCTGAAACTACTTACATTAGATTATTTTTATCAACCAAATGTGATCAGAATGTGATGAATAGTATATCCGTGAAATATTACACCCTTGTTGTTATAAAATTAATCCTGTAACATTCATTAGTAATATGATTCTTTCTTAATGCTTGAATTTTTCTCGTTTCATTCTCATTTTAAATCTCCTACTCATCACTTGACACATAAAAGTGAAGATAAATAAACGATTTGTTCATAGATATAGTCTTTAGTGTTAATTCCGAGTAAAAGAATTATGCAGATACTGGTCCCAATCACTGATTGTGCCAGTCTATAAGAAAGGACAAAAGTCCACTTGTGACAATCACAGAGGAATCAATTTGACTAATATAGTGTCTAAAATATTAGCTTCAATAAAACTTCGATACCTAACCAAAGCTCGTGAAGAGCAGACTAGAGAAAACCAGGCTGGTTTTCGACCTGGATGTGGTATAGACCAGATATTCACTCTACGTCAGGTCCTAGAACATAGATACACATTCAGACTTCCCGCAACAGTAGTATTTCTCAACCTTAAGGAGGCATTTGGCTCCGTTGATCCTGAGATTCTGTGGTAGTGTTTGTCACTGAAAGGAGTACCAAAAAAGTACATCAACCTCATAAATGCTCTGTACTCGAATACAACTGGTCGAGTTAGAGCCTATGACGAACTGCCATCAGAATTGGTTACCTCAAGTGGTGTTCGTCAGGGCTGTCCACTCTCTCCATTCTTGTTTAACTTTATCGTTGACATGCTTTTAAAAATAACGCTTTCATCATCTCAATCTCCAGGAGTTGAACTTTTACCGGGAGGCTCACGTGTTGACTTAGAATACGCCGATGACATTGTTTTATTTGGTGAAGACTCTGATAAAATGCAGAGTCTTCTGACCACTATAAGCAACTATGCAGGCTTGTTCGGGATGCGATTCTCCCCCTTGAAGTGCAAAATGTCACTTCAGGATTGGGTTGCCACGGCACCTGAACATACGATAAGGAGTGAAGTAGTTGAGCGTGTAGACCACTTCACTTGTCTTGGGGGTCTCATCAGCCCTTGTGCTCTGGTGTGTGACGAAATCTCAGCACGGATACAGAAGGTTCGTCTAACTTTCGCCAACTTGCGTCATTTATGGCGTAAATGAGATATCCGTCTAGCAACAAAAGGACGGATTTAGTGTGCAGCAGTTCGTTCCGTCCTACTTTATGGCAGTGAAACGTGGACGGTAAAAGTAGAGGATATTCGTAGGCTACTAGTATTCGATCATAGGTGTCTACGAAGCATTGCTCGTATATCCTGGGTCCACCAGGTAAGTAATGCAGTTGTTAGGGTACGGGTACTAGGTAAGGATGGCAAATCGATTGATGAGGTAGTGAGACTTCATCAGCTGAGATGGCTGGGGCACGTGTTACGTATGCCCAACCACCGACTGCCCCGACGTACAATGTTTTATGGTATAGGAGTAGGTTAGAAGAAAGCTAGGGGCGACTAGACCCAAACGTGGCACAAGTCCATGAAATCACTGACAATTGGACTGAGCCATGTTGCTAGGTGTAGACTACCTGGTTGGGATTCGCGAGACGATGGCTATCGATGGTTAGAGACCTTGTAGTATCGGTTGTTATGTTAAGCCCATATACTTTATTCTAGTTACTGGCCAAGCTAATTCATCTTTGCATTGAGTCATCTTTTGACCTTGTTAATCATTCGCTTATTAACCTTGAGTACTTTTTATATTAGCGTATATGTGTACCCTTCGTATCCTATTCATCATATGTCTGTCATTCATTTTTGTCTGATTATAAATATTGAGTAATGCTTGCTCATAGCGAGTTGGCTTCCCAGCCATCTCCGATACGCATTATTTTTGCTTCACTCTCGAGTTGGATTCCCAGCCATCTCCACTGCATGTCATTTTCGCCTCGTTCGTTTCCTCCGGTTGTTTGCCTGTTCACTCGCTTGCTGCTCTCTCGATCGTTAATATTCTCTCAGGTGTTGTTAGCTTTCTAACCTGAGTTATTCGACAATAAACTGTAGTTGCTGCTATCCTTTATCTTCTGATCATACGCACCGTTAAGATTGGTATAATAACGGTTATCGAAGTGAACTATTAATGAAGCACGGCACTACAACTTTGAATGACATAACTCAAAATCGTTTGCAATGGCGAAGGTGCATCCACTCTTTGTGTTCTGCCAAATTCTAATCTTCTGAATTCTTCATGTCTCTATCTCTTTTCTCTTTCCAAATTTATTTCACTGAATTATACTCCTTGATTAACATCGCCAAACCCTAATCTTTCACATAATGCTTATGCTCTTACTGCTTCTACCACTATGGGATTTGAATCGACAACTGGATCTCTGTGCTGATGTGGTATGGCAACTCGAACTGATGCACGTACGTACGAAGTTCTACGTTGTGACTGACTGACAAATACTGGAGTACTGTTGTTCATACAGTGATAAAAATTTCTTTTTTGTTGTCATTTAAAGTACAACATTGCGTTATTAATTATGAGATTTTTGACAACTGTGTTAGAATATGTCTTAATTGTTTCGTTTGACTTACTTGATCTAATACACTGGATAGAAAATTTGCAAATTATTTACATAAACCATGGTGATTGATTGCATTCCACGTAGGTGAACAAGCCCACCTAAATTAAATGAACATTGTTCAGTTTAGTTAAGGGACTGGTTTGAGTACTTAGATATGAGAAGTTCGCCCATGAATCATGTAAACATTCTAAATTTATGGATTTACATTCAATATAGAAATAAATTAGACGGAATTCGTAGTTTGAAGTAGACTGAATTAGGTTAAAAGCAATATAAATTAATGAAATTTTATAGCCAAATGTAAGATAAAATATTTTCAAAGTTAGATAATACAAATCATTTTATACATCGCTGGTTGATGGAATAATTATTGCCAGAGCAACAACAGTGGTCGAGAGCACTCTGCATGTCAAGCAGTCACTCGTTAATGTTGCAAGATAAAATTGTATATCTAAGTTGTCACTCCTTATGTCAGTACATTGGGAAACGTAAATTACCAAATTGTGAAATTAATGGGGAGAATCGTTCTGTTTTCTTAACAATATATATTTCCCTTATACACTTTCGTAGGGTTTTCTTCTACTACACTATCAATAAGCTCAGTAAATCAATTTTTGCATTTATCATGTGATTAGTAAACCTAATAAATCCTCATGTTTCCTAACCACTAATCAGAACACCAGAAAGCAGACGAGTGATGACACTATTTTATGTCTCAAACTGAACTCACTATCATGTGAGTACAATACGAGACTACAGTTCAACATAACTTATAAATCGCTAAAGTCTACTATACTTGTGTTTTTTATATCGAGCTGTGCTGAACTAGACGTATCCAATGCATACAGTTGCAGTTAATTTCAATTGTTAGAAGATAACTTACAATTAGGGTTATGTAGAAGTATAACTCCTTGATAGATACTCATTTATAAACATGCAAACCAGTTCGCTAGAGAATCGTTATCCAATGTTTTCCTTTCACTGCATCTTAACAATTAGATTATATTCAGTGTGTCAGTCACCAGTTGCAAGTGGTTGTAGTTGTTCTTTTGGATAAGTGGATGGGTGGCAGTATTTGAACTTTGTAACATTCCATGTTATCCCTTTTCTAGTAGTGATTAACTTTCTTTAAATTTTCTTTTATGCTCAGAAGAGAATTATCAAGATCATATTCCGGCACGTTTATCAACATTGAAACATTTACGTGTTGATTTGATGAAACGTTGTGACAGGTTAGTTGCACGCTTAGAGAAGCAAACAAGTAATTCTGCAGTAATTATAAATGAAGAACTAGATTTCATCAGTCAGAATTTAGTTTCACTTGCTCATAAACTTGACGATCCTGACAATAATGACTCATCAAATGATACTGGTCCATCAACCATTGCCAATAAATTAGAGAAACGAATTACCGATTTACAAGAAATTCAAAAAGAATTCATATATATTGAAGATAATTTACAAAGATTAAAGTGTACACCAGCAACAAATTCACTGCCTTGCAAATCGATTACAAAACTTGATTGTATTGAAAGTGAACTAAGTGATATGCAAATTAATTTACGAAACAAGATAATATATTTGAATAATTTTCATGAACAATACAGTAAATTAACGACTGCTCTTCAAGAAGAATTCAATTGGATGAAACAACAAGAGAATGATTTAAATCTAAACAATATACAGTCAGAATTAAATGGTTCACAAGGGAATAATAATTATGATAATAACACTAGCCATCTAGAACAAGATATCACTATTTTATACAATCTTATTATCAAATTATCACAATATCATCATCATAAACTTTTACCAATGTTGGAAAATTATGATCAATTAATGAGTGATGGTACTAGACCGCAAGGAATAATTACATCTATGTACAATTATGAAGATAACATGTACCTACCAATGAATATTCTTAATTTATGGGACAAAATAACTAAAGAGTTAATGCCAAGGAAATTCCATGAATTGGTAAGCTTATTTATCACTAATTAACATAATGATCCATATTCATAAAGGTAATTTTTTTTAATAACAAACTTGTAAGAGCTAGGGAATCTATCGAGAACTAATCACGAACTGGACAAAATGTTTTATTCTTATACTTAATCTTGGGTTATGCATCGTATACTGGATAGAGAGTATATACTGCTCAGAGGTTGTAAACTAGAAAGAAGTATTTATCCAATGTCCCTTGATTCTCTGTTTGATATTAGTTCATGATGAAAATTACTTTTGAAATATATACCTTCCAAACGCAAGCTAAATCATATTGATTAAAATTAGAAGTGTGCACCATTAGATTTCAACTCACGGGTCTAAATATTAAGAGGTTGTTGCAAGACCTAAGCATTCCTGAGTTCGATGTTCCGTGAGGTCCTAGTTGCGCACTACTAAAATGTCCCGTACTAGGAAAAAACACATGCCTAGTGTTTTCTTTGGAACTTCGCCTTGATATAATTCGTAGAAATTTTAATCTGGAATGAATATAAGTGTTGTTTATGTTAACGGCTTAATTGATTGTTTGCTTCTTCAGTCAATTAATAATATTCTACTCATGAATAGGGATTTATTATCATTTGAAAATTCTCACCACCGATTGTGTACCTTATTGATTAAATTTTCAAAAAATTTAAGTTTCTTGTGTAGATTTCTGTTCTCTTATTATTTGAGTAAAATTTATTGTAGTTGGATGGCTCAGTTATTATTCATTTTATTTATTTCAACACATAAATGTTGATAGAAACGGGCACTAAATACATATGCACTGTGATACTGCCCAGGTGCCCAGACTGAAGCAGGTGGTTTTCTTAGGGTGCCACACCCCGAGCCTTTGACCTAAAGGTCTGGTCCACAAGGCAGTGGAGCATCGTGAGGAGATGCAGTCCTATGGTAGCCGGTCACCAACAATTGGTTCATATGCCATCTGTTCCCTCAGGATACTGGAACCCATGTGCACCATTGGTTTGGAATCAGGGTTTTCCAACTCCCCTAGGTGTACACTCCACATCCATCAACCCGGTTAAAGCACCGGACATTCGCTTTTCGTCCTCTCAAATTTGTAACCAACATCCCCACCACGAGAAGGCAGTGAGTAGGACTACCCTGGCAGAGGCTATATATTCGCGTGGCCGTGTGGGAGTATTTAGAAAGGGAGAGCAGACTCTCTCCACTTTCGGCTGTACCAGGGCATTTGGGGGCTCAGTAAGTAACACTTGAATTAAAAGTAGGGTTTTACTTTCCAGTGTTTGCACTACTAGTGCCATTATCAACTAGGCTACATTAACTGTCAAAGAACTTGTTTTATGCAGTTTGGAAAACATAAATATGCCAATAATAGTCAGCCTTAGTAGTATCTTCTACTGATTTAAAACTTAGTATTATTAAAATGAATGTCAGCAGCACATATACATTCACATCTTAAATCTTCAACATTGTCCTTTTTCTCTAATATCTCCACTCATTAATTCAACGTTTATTTCCATGATTTTATAATTCGAAATTCCTTATCTCATACTTTATTTTCCCTCTCTTGTTGATTAGTCTATCCTATGTTATGTAGATGCTTCAGTCTGGGCACCTGGGCAGTAACACAGCCCTCACACAAATCGAATGAGATTTGTGAGGCGCATATTTATCTGGTGCTTCCTCGTACCATTAATTATGTGTTTAAATAAAATGAAATAAATATGTAGATGTAAAGTAGGCTCACTTGGACCTATATATTTGTACAGAAAAGAACCTGCCTATCTTTATTTTTAACATTGTGATTAAGCTATTTTATCTTGACACACTGAGTAAATCATAAATATTTTGTAGAAACACTGAGTTCATAGTACACTTACTTTGATTAGGGTTTTCATTTTTTTAAACTGGCAGTCTCCGTAAAACATAAAGTACTAGAACAAAGGGATTACCTATATCCATCAAATGTAAGTGGAACTTGGTATCTTTCTTAAAATGCTTAGTATTATTACATATATGGGGATCAATACATGTACCACACGAATACATGATAATAAATTGATATCATAAGTCTTAATACAATTAGAAAGCACAATCTTAGTAATTGTTAGTTGTTTATTAAACGATGAACAACTCAGTTGACTAAATTGTGCTGACCATATATAAATAATGTGCAAAGTAACACTTTAGTTTGGTGTTCGATTCTCAATATGAAATGTTTTTCTAACAAATTAGTGGTGATATTAAATTTAGTTTGATACTATGCCCTTAAGATTCATCTGTATTATATTTGGTTTTTTCTATCTCACGTTTGAGTAAATTATTTTGTCGATTAAGTAAAGCTAATAAATAGTTAAGCTTAAATATCAACCTTATACACAAATTGATTGTGTTCAGGGAGCTAAATCATCCAAGCCACGACATTTTAATTGACAGATAATTCCCATTTAAAACTTAAAAATTAAAAACACAAAGTTCAGAGAAGGGATCTCTTTTCAACGAATCTATTATCAAGCTGTACAATCGTATATATATATATATGAACATTTTTTAGATCAGAGGGGGTTTTGTGGAGAATTTAGTATTTTCACTGTTGAAATCATGAGTCAATTGAAGCTAGACCACCATCGAAAACCTGGAAGCTCTGGACGGCCGTTTCGTCCTATTATGGGACTCCTCAGCAGTGAGCATCCACGACCTCGCCTCTCGAGATTCGAACCCAGGACCTATCAGTATCGAGCCAGAGCCCTTAACTGATAGACCACTGACCTGGCCGGCATTCAACGGTGTTAATGTCTAACTTCAACCAATCCACGATTTTGAACGACCGTTCACTAATTGTCTTCAGTGAGTTGATATTTCTACAACAGACTTGGTAGAACTCCACTGGCCACTGCTTCCCACTAGAACTCCAGGAAATATCTCTTGAAGTCAGTCACTAGTGAGCATATGATGCCGGCTCAGTGGTCTATCGGTTGAGGGCTCTGAATCGAGACTGGTAGGTCCTGGGTTCGAATCTCGCGAGTGCGTGATCGTGGATGCGCACTACTGAGAAGTCCCGTAATAGGACAGAACGGCCGTCCAGAGCTTCCAGGTTTTCGATGGTGGTCTAGCTTCAATTGACTCATGATTTCAACTGTGAAAAAGAACATTTTTTTTGTTAAAGTATTAATTCCTTTAGGAAATGTGAACACGAATAACCAAGATGACGTAATAGAAAGATCATATAATAGATTACGTAATAAGAGTTACAACAATAGATTTAGTGAATATAATAAGATGATTAAAATGTTTTGTGTTACAATAATTAAAGGTCATAAAGGTGTAAATACAAATAAGGTGATATGATGAGTATTCATGAATAAAATATTAAGAATATAAGACATAAGTAAAGGGGAATGCAATAATAATAATTATAACAACAGAATAGTGTTAATATTAATTAAGGCAACGGTAACGATATAGATTTGGTTTAAGCTCATGAATAGTAAGAGCTTCGACTATTTTTAAGAATTGGATACGAATAAATCTAGGTAGATTTGAGCGAATCATATAAACAATCTGAAAATCAAACTGTGGATCCGTAGAATGATTACAGTCGATTAGGTGTCCAATTATAGAACTCCTAACTGCTTTCCTTTCACCCTTGTAGAACCAAACTGGTATATGTTCCCGTACTTTAACAAAAAAAAAACTTTTCATATATATACTATTGTATAGCTTGACAATAAATTCATTGAAAAGTGATCCCTTCTCTGAACTTCGTGTTTTTAATTTTGACAATTTTATTGGCTACTTGTGGTAATTAAAGCCTGTTTGTAATGGAAGTATAAGTTTGTAAAATTCTGTGTTTTGTAGTGGAATCTCCTCTAAATAATTCCTATTCTTCATATATCACTCGTCCTGACAACCATTACTAGATAGCTTCTCAATCATGCGTACATTTCAGAAGATAATACGAAGCGTTGACCACAGTTTATTATTGCAATTTGTAGATCACTAAGCAAATATGAATATAGATGTGAAACTGAACGAACAAATGATTGAGATTTAAGAAGCACATACACATAAGCACGCGAATGAATCATCGAACAACTTACATAACTAACACTTTTGCTAGTAAGAGGAATATCTCCGTAGACTGTAACACATGACTTAGAATCATTAGCAGTAAAATAGATGCACTCTATATCTTACTCCAGATTTTAAGCTCGAGTATTCCCTCATTCATATCTTCTCATTCTGTCTTCTCGAAACATATTCTCAATATTTAGTCTTTTACACTATTGTCACTATTAAAACTATTTCGATTTCTTTGATATTCATTTTATTAATTTCATCTTGTCGTGCTAACGTGGTATGGAAACTTGTGTGAACGCACATTTATGATTAACTGAATGACTGACCCATTAATAAGGCATCAATCTTTAAGTTTAACTATAACTGTAAGTACAGTAGTATGATACTTTATTGTGAAGTTTGCAATATAGTTAATATCATACTTATTTGTATATAATACCAGATCATGTGTACTTAGGTCAAACTAAGTGACAAACAAAAAGATGAATTTCGACTTACTTTGGAAAAACTGAACCACTGAACAAGCACGGGTAATGTTCAAATATTCAAATATTAATGAAATTTAATTTCTAATTAATTAGACTGTTATAACTTACATTGTACAGTTTGGGGCGTGTTCTTATAATAACTAACCCTAATTAATGGCCTTAATGCAACCTAAAAAATTGGGACAATCAGTTGTTTGAGTAATTGCAAATATTCATTGCTCAAATTACATATCTGTTCTTTTAGAACAAATGTACAATTAAGTAAAATGTTAATCAAGCGGTATATCGATTGATGATTCAGGTTATTTTAAAATGATTTCAATCAGAAGTTTAGCAGTTATCGGGATTTAAAAAAAGAAAAACAAATGTTTGTTCGTTTTCCCGAATATCCTATACTTACTACTACTTACGTCTGTTACCTCTCGTGTAGAAGCATAGGCCTCCCGCCAGCATTCTCCATCGAACTCTGTCCTGAACAATTCTTTCCAGTTGTTCCTACTCTGTCGGTAGCTCTACTCGGATTACCACTGGTCCCAAGTCCGGATAAAGGAAGAGGCTTGAGCATGGAGTCAGCTTCCTCATCCCGTAGGAAATAATCTTGCTAAAAAACGCAAACCAGAATAACGGAATCTCCTATAGGACTTTGGTTATTTTACAATCGATATGGTAAATAGACGACAAAATCTTTTCAACTAGAAAACAAATTGAATTCAGTTTTCTGAACTTATTGAGTGGTAATTTTGAAGTGTTTAGGGTGCAGTTCTTACCGAATACATTAAATGTAAAACGTTATTGGTTTAGCTGCTAACAGTAATTACCTATTCATGAAAGTAATTAAAAGTGATGATACAACTTTCAAAATTCGGTCCACTGATTCTATTTCCTTGACTGTTGAACTGATATGTGTAGTGAAATGCAGACTTTATGGTTGAGATTCACAAAATAATCACATTTCTTGATTGTAGATACGTGATGACGCTGGATTCGTTTTTATTCTCTGCTCACTCTTGAATCTACTATTATCCTTTATGTTTTATTTCTCTGTTCTATTTTTCGAATTATGTTGTCTACGTTTAGTTTCCTGCTCATGTTAATATTACTATTTGGACTCATTTACTTTCCCTGTTGCTAGTGCCTTCTAAATACATGCACATAATGTGAAAGAATGGACTCTTTCAGGTCTTGTTAAACCATATATTACTCATAACTGTCCGGAATTTTAGGCCACTCACACTACCAGTGAACTACGTTATTAACTGTTTCTAGAAGTTTCGTTTTTAAGTTAGCGGATATTAATCATATCCCAAACTTATCGTACAAACTTAATTACTTCTTAACTTCTATTATAAAATTTATTATCTAGTGTTTATCTCCGGTTACCAACACTTACTTTAAACATAGTTTGCACCACAGACTGACCCGAGCTAGATAATCAATTGGAACCAGGCAGCACTAAATAGCGGTTCTGGTGTCGTATGAAATTCTCCAACAATGTACATTCAGGTTCCTTCTCAAAGGTAAAATTAAGTTCCTCTAGGTAACTAAGTTAGCATCAAGTGGGCCAAATTCGATTATTCTGGTGTTCTTTTTTTAAAAAAATTCAGTTTGATTTTTTGTTTGTTTCACTATCAGCTATCTCAAAGAATGCCAACTTTAACTAATGCAATATTTATATGATCTATCCATTTGTAATTAATCGACCTGTCATTTGTTTTTATTAAAATGCACATTTTGTAATTTTACCTATTATTTCATCTTTTGGTTCCCCTTTTTAAGATTACTAGATCATATGAACGAATAACTAAAAACTTAACATCAACTTTTCAATGTCTACCGACTTTACAATCATTTGAACTTTTCTTTCCAAATGATAATTTACCCAACTCGAATTCTCTTCATTGTCATGTAAATGTGATTTCAGTAAGTATATGTTTAACGAAGGTAATTATGATTTTATTTTATCAATGAATTGTTTAAATCATATTTCATAGTTGAAATCATGAGTCAATTGAAACTAGACCACCATGGAAAACCTAGAAGCACTGGACGGCCGTTTCGTTTTATTATGGGACTCCTCAGTAGTGCGCATCCACTATCTCGCACTCGCGAAAGTCAAACCCAAACGGCTGTCCAGTGCTTCCAGGTTTTCTATGGTGGTCTAGTTTCAATTGACTCATGATTTCAACTATGAAACTAATGAAATCTCCACAAAATCCCTTCTGATCTAAATCATATTTGCTGGACAATTTTCATCAATGATCTTAATTATGATGTCAAATTAATTCTTAACTTTGTAATCTGATTTCAGACACAGTCTTTGTGTTAAAGATAAGTTATGCTAGCCACCCAGTTGAAGTGATGAAGATAGAATGGGTTTTAAGACTTCTACCTGCTTTGACGATTAGACCTCTACTGGAAGATTATTGATAATGAAATGACGTTAATGATAAAATTATGTTCGCTTTGTTTCAGCATAACATAAGATTTTTGTTTGGAATTGTTATATCTCCATAGTCTCTCCTAATATATGTGTCGACCCCGTTATGTCTTACTGCTTTGACTTGACAATCGGGAATCACTGCAAAGTAAGAAGACAAAAGACACTAGTGGAATGAAGATTTATTAATTTTCTAAAAATAAATTCCAAGTTCACGTCACCAAAAGACAAATATGAAACCATTTCTATTCTAATTTTCGCACACCATAATACGAGATACATAGAGTTACTGTAGTAGCACACACAGAATATAGTTCACCTGAATTGATTCAGAGAATATAAATATCATACGGAACGAAGTTTATGCTTAATTGATCCAAGAAAGATCGACTTAATTAATTTTTGTATTTTTATCTCTTCATATCAGAAACACAACTCCGCCTGTAGCTCCTCCAGGGGCTACTGCCGGTCCCAAGCCCGGGTTAAGGAGGAGGGTTGTGCATGGGGTTAGCGACCCCATCCCGTAGAAAATCAACTCGTTAAAAAAACGCTAACCAGAAAAAATCATTCAAACCATTTAAACTCTGCCCTGGGAGTAGAAGGAATAATTGTGACGTCTCATGATGAAAGCCGAGTTCATTCGGAAGTCATGAGGCCGATGCACCTTCTCACAACCAGAACGACAATTTTTATAGGTACATGGAATGTCCGGAGAATGTGGGAGACCGGAAGAATCTTCCAAATTGCTTCAGAAAGGAGGAAATACAACCTGGAGGTGCTTGGAATCAGTGAAACGCATTGGACGCAGGTTGGACAACAACGACTGTCTTCAGGAGAACTTCTGTTATATTCCGATCATGAAGAAGAAAATGCTTCACGTACACAAGGAGTTGCATTGATGCTGTCCAGAAAAACACAAAATGCACTTATTGGATGGGAATCTCATGGACCAAGGATCATCAAAGCCTCCTTCAAAACAAAGAGAGAGGGCATTACAATGAACGTCATCCAATGCTATGCGCCTACCAACGACTACGATGAAGACGCTAAAGACCAATTCTACGATAGGCTGCAGTCGAGAAGTGACCAACCAAGGACCTGACCATTCTAATGGGAGATCTCAATGCCAAGGTTGGAAAGGACAACACTGGATACGAAGACGTCATTGGGACAACATGGACTGGGAGAAAGGAACGAATATGGTGAGAGATTTGCAAACCTATGTGCCTTCAATAAACTGGTCATAGGTGGCACTATATTCCCACACAAAAACATACACAAAGCCACTTGGATTTGACCGGATCAAACTACACAGAATCAAATCGATCATATCTGCATCAACAAGAAGTTCAGGAGGACGGTGGAGGATGTGAGAACCAGAAGAGGAGCTGATATAGCATCCGATCATCATTTGCTGGTCGCCAAGATGAAACTAAAACTCAAGAAGCACTGGACAACGGTGCGGACAACATCACAAAAGTTTAACAAGGCCTTTCTTCGAGATGCTGACAAATTCAACAAATTAAACATAGCCCTCAGCAACAGGTTCGAGGTCTTTCATGATCTACTCAATAGAGAGGGAGCTACCATGGAGAGCAACTGGAAAGGTATCAAGGAGGCAATCGTTTCAACATGTCAGGAGGTTCTGGGTCAAAAGAAGCACCATCACAAAGAATGGATCACTGTTGGTACACTGAATAAAATTGAAGAAAGGAGGAACAAGAAGGCAGCAATCAATATCAGCCGAACGAGAGCGGAAAAAGCCAAGGCACAAACCGAATACACAGAGGCAAACAAGCAAGTGAAGAGGAGCATCAGAACCGACAAACGTAAATATGTGGAAGATTTAGCGATGACAGCGGAAAAGGCTGCAAGAGAGGGAAACATGAGACAACTGTATGATACAACAAAGAAACTTGCTGGAAATTACCGTAAACCAGAAAGACCAGTGAAAAGCAAGGAAGGCAAAGTAATCACCGACATTGAAGAACAACGAAACAGGTGGGTAGAACACTTCAAACAACTCTTGAATCGACCAACTCCACTGAACCCACCCAACATCGAAGCAGCACCCACAGACCTCCCAATCGATGTTGGCCCACCAACAATTGAAGAGATCAACATGGCCATTAGACAAGTCAAGAGCGGCAGAGCAGCGGGACCAGACAACATCCCGGCAGAGGCACTGAAAGCAAATGTAACAGCAACTGTCAAGATACTCCACATCCTCTTCAGTAAGATTTAGGACTAAGAACAAGTACCAACAGACTGAAAAAAAGGACTTCTGATCAAGATACCAAAGAAAGGTGATCTCAGCAAGTGCGACAACTACAGGGGCATCACTCTTCTCTCAATACCAGGAAAAGTCTTCAACCCAGTATTGTTAAACAGGATGAAGGATTCCGTGGACGCCGAACTTCGAGATCAACAAGCTGGATTTCGTAAGGATAGATCGTGCACAGATCAAATCGCAACTCTGAGGATAATTGTGGAACAATCGATCGAATGGAATTCATCACTGTACATCAACTTCATCGACTACGAGAAGGCATTTGATAGCGTGGACAGGACGACACTATGGAGGCTTCTTCGACACTACAGCGTGCCTGAGAAGACAGTCAATATCATACGGAACTCCTATGAAGGATTAAACTGTCTAATCGTCCACAGAGGACAACTCACCGACTCGTTTGAAGTAAAGACCGGTGTAAGGCAAGGTTTCTTACTCTCACTATTTCTCTTTCTCCTGGTAATTGACTGGCTCACGAAGACGTCAACATCTGGAGGAAATCACAGGATACAATGAACAGGCAGGATGCAGCTTGACGATTTAGACTTCGCGGATGTTCTGGCTCTTCTATCACAAACACAACAACAAATGCAGGAGAAAACGACCAGTGTAGCAGCAGCCTCAGCAGCAGTAGGTCTCAATATAAACAAAGGGAAAAGCAAGACTCTCCGATACAACACAATATGCACCAATCAAATTACACTTGACGGAGAAGCTTTGGAGGATGTGGAAACCTTTACATATCTAGGCAGCATCATTGATGAACACGGTGGATCAGATGCAGATGTGAAGGTGAGGATCGGCAAAGCAAGAGCAGCATATTTGCAACTGAAGAACATCTGGAGCTCAAAACAATTGTCAACCAACACCAAGGTTAGAATTTTCAATACAAATGTCAAGACAGTTCTATTGTATGGGACGGAGACGTGGAGAACTACGAAAGCCATTATCCAGAAGATACAAGTGTTTATTAACAGTTGTCTACGCAAGATACTTCAGATCCCTTGGCCAGACACTATCAGCAACAAGTTACTGTGGGAGACAACAAATCAGATTCCAGCGGAGAAAGAAATCAGGAAGAAGCGCTGGAAGTGGATTGGGCACACCTTGATGAAATCACCCGATTGCGTCACAAGACAAGTCCTCACATGGAATCCCGAAGGTCGAAGGAGAAGAGGAAGACCAAAGAACACATTACGCTGAGAAATGGAGACAGACATGAGAAGAATGAACAAGAACTGGATAGAACTAGAAAGGAAGGCCCAGAACAGATTGAGTGGGTTGGAGAATGCTGGTCGGCGACCTATGCTCCATTGGGAGTAACAGGCGAAAGTAAGTAAGTAAGTAAAATATCAAAAACACAGGTGGTATCTTGGTTATGTTGTGACCTTACCTTGCAAGCATCTGAAAAACGTGTTTCTGAATGTGCAAATATACCTGGAGTATTTGATAAATACCAATAATTACGAAGGTGATAAATACTAGATTTCCACAACCGTATTGTTGCGTTGCTTGTACAATAGACTTTTAATTATTCCAGAAAGAAAGAGATGGTCTTTAAGATCATATAACTGTTCTAATTGTGTATTTTTGGTATTTCATTTCACCTCTTTACTTTGCTTCAATTCGCACTCTTTTTTCTTCTAATAACAGGATCATATCAATATTATTCAAGGTGAAATTGACTGGTTGCATAAACATATTGAACCAATCATTATGAATGAAGATAGATTTAATTTATTTACAGATACTGTTACTAATACTATTGCTACTACTAATAGTACTAATAATGTTGGTATCAGTGATCAAATTGTAAAATTCTATGAAGTTGATCAACATCTAACACAATTACTTAGTTATTTTACACACATTTATCAACAATTATCTGTTTTCTACATACCAACTATGGATAGATATCATCAGACAATTGATCATGCATCGACTTACATTAATATTATTCAACGTCAAGTAGAATTACTCCGAGAACTGGCATTATCCATGAAGATTAGTAACAAGGATGATAAGGAGGATTGTGAAAGTACTAATTACGACGATGAACAAAATGAAGATGTAGAATGTGCTCTAATTACCTATGAAAAGTTAGAAACTCTGTGTACTGGAAAAGAACAGTGTTTGGTAAGTTTATGTAAATATTTGTGCCTATTGCAGTTAATTGATCTTTCTAGACTCTTAACGGAGATTCATTATCAAGAAATATACTCCCGATACTAATGCTCATATGTTGTGTCTAATGTATTAGCATTCTTCGAGTGCAATGTTTCTTAGTTGGATGCAGTCGGCAGGTAGCCGTACCTCGAAATTTCATTCTGGTTAGTACTTTTTAACAATGCACACCTGAATAACTGGTGTTTCCAGTGGGATTCGAACCCATGTCACTGTCGGAGACGTTACTTACTTACGCCTGTTAAATCTCGTGAAAGAGCATAGGCCGCCCACCAGCATTCTCCATCAAACTTTGTCTTGAACAATCCTTTTCAGTTGTTTCCAGATGCTATTTGTCCTTTTGATGTCTGCTTCCAATTTTCGCAGCTGTGTGTTCTTTGGCCCTCCTCTTTTCCGTTTCTCTTTAGGATTCCAAGTTATAGCTTGTCTCGTGATGCAGCTTGGTGATTTCCGTAATGTATGTCCTATCCATTTCCAACGTCTTCTAATTTACTCTTCGATCGGAAGTTGGTTTGTTCTCTCCTACAATAGGTTGTTGCCGACGATATCAAGGCAAATACACTGTTCTACATTCAAGTACCTCTGACGATGTTAGCGAAACCTATTATAAGCTTATTTTAATTAAAAGCTATGTCTTTTAGCTGAACTTTGAAAATGTTTATGCTATACTGTATAGAACCCTGATGGCTTTTAGTAGAACTAGTGGTATACATTTTGACATCATTATCATCATGTCTACAGATAATGTGTTTGAATTATCTAGCCCTCAAATGACCTGGTTCGGCAGAGAGTGGGGAGAGTCAGCTCTCCCTCTCGGAATGCCCTCAAATAGCCACGTGCATACAACCACTGCCAGAAAAGCCTTACTCATTGCCTCCTCGCTGTACGGGTGCTGTTTACGAAATTGAGAGGACGAAAGCGAATGTCCTGCGCCTAAACTGTGTTGGTGGACACGGAGGGTTCACCTAGGGGAGTTGGAGAGCCCTATTTCTTGAACAATGGTGTATATAGGCTCCAGAATCCTGAGGGGAAAATGGCATGTGAATCTATTGTTGGTGACCGGCTACCATGGGACTGCATCTCCTCACGATGCTCCACTGCCTTGTGGATTAGACCTTTAGGTCAAAGGCTCCGGGTTTTGTCCCTTAAGAGAACCATCTGCTTCGGTTTTGCCACCCAGGCAGTATCGCAGCATATCTATTTGGTGCCCCTTTGTATTATTATTTATGTGCTCAAATAAATAAATAAAGTGACCGACAAGTTACTTTTTACCGGATTCAATGTAAAAAGGTCACATCATCTAGTTCTCGAAATTTTATGTTGAATACACTGAGTATAATGAGTTCCAGGAAATTAGTTGACTAAGTGAAAGATGATCCAAGCAGTATGAATAAAGTTGTATCACTATACAGCCTTATTCAATTAGGTATACATATTAATAGTCTCTGAGGCTAAAAGTTCAAGTTATTTGTTCCTGTATAGTCTTCATGTTTATTGTAATACCTTTCATCCCGGTTTTCAGTTATCTATCAGTGTGGAGTTTAACATTTCCCTAAATTTATTTTGTTCTATAAACTGGGCTCAAAAAAAAGCTAGCTTACTGGCCAATTTCTTTTTAATTGACAATCGCATACAATTCTTTGTAGTTTAGGCGAAATTAACACTTGGATGATAGTTTCTGTTACAATCAAGGATGGTAGTAACCCAAAAATGAAAATTGTGAAAAGTTATATATCTTAGACAAAAAGAATTTATTCTTTCCTGTACAATGTGGAAACTAAAGACGTCCATATCATACATGTCAAGACGTGCATGTACTTTACACATGCAAATGATTTTAAACAAAAGGTTTAATACATTAAAGAGAATGAGTCATTAACTGTGGAGTGAGAATAGATCAGACTGATCATCAAGGAGTAACTAAATAAATAAATAAACTAAAGAACATAATCGGTTTATTAACATAAACTACCTACACTGTGATATTAAATGTGAAAAAAAAAACATTTTGTTTGCCAAAAGATCATTAAAATGAAAGGTGGTGATTTATTTAAAAGGTCAGTTATTTTAATCTGCTTTGTGTAATTTACAAAAGAATACAAATCATAGTATAAGGTTTACTGTTAACACTTACTTCACTTGGTTTTGGTGTGCTCGATGTCAGAACAAAATAAGAATGAATTCTACCTTGAAAAAGTTCGAGTTTTTTCAGTTTCATTTCTAGGATTTAGTTTTCCAAATTTGTTTACTTAAAATAACTGCTAGCCTTGGGATCGAAAACACGCGTTTCACCCTATTCAGAATTCATCAGCTGGAGTTATATACGTTTTTAGGTTCTCACTGAAAGTCTAACCTGGTATCCGTTCATTGAATTAACAGTATGTTATCCACTAGATAGCTGAGGAGCTCATTAAACGTCGACACTGAAATACAGATATATCCAACCAGTGAGTTCGAGATTGGACTTAATGTGGTCCTCAAACTCCATTGATAACTACTATCCACAAAGGATAATCAACTTGTAAATGCTGGCAAAATTAAGGCATTTATTTGCTGAGTCCATATGCTAATAGACACTGACCAATGCAGTCCTGATGACTAGGAGCAGAAAAGGTACATAGTCACACAGTTACTAATAAATTTCAAGTACATTGCTGGATATCTCCGAAAGTTTTACTTAGTAACTACTGATTATTTTGTATAATAATTGTGAACACATAGTCTGAAAACAAGATTATCTGTTACCTAGATGATAAACATAACCACACTTCCTATTTCAGGGCTATTCTTGATGATATTATTTCTCAACAATATTTAAACATATACATTGCATATAATCCTTTTTGTGTCAATACACTAATGGTTTGAACTAAGTGTACACACTTTATCATACCCAATCAAAATGCTATCTTAAACGGCAATCATTATGGATAGTTTGACATAATATAGTTGAAAGAGTGACTCAATTGAAGCTAGACCACCATCGAAAACCTGGAAGCACTGGACGGCCGTTTCGTCCTATTATGGGACTCCTCAGCAGTGTGCATCCACCCTTTTGACATAATATATTAAAAATACCTTTATTGTGAATTAGAAAAGCATCTATTGTTGTTTTAGTTAGATCAGGTTTTACTCCAATATACAATGAAATTTATATGCATATATTTAGTAATTAAACCAATAAAGCCAGTTTATGAGTCACTGATAACAGTGGAATAGATTACATAAACAAACATAGTAAGTAAAAAGTACAAACTGATATTATGACCATTGACCTACTAATTGTGATAAGAATAATAAAGGCTCGAATCAATGTTAATAATAGGAAATAGGTCAGTGTCATGAAAAAGTTGACATCGAAATAAGATTTATTAAAATGATAAAACTACGTAATAAGTGTTCCGGTGATTGGAGTTTGAAGCGTAAATTTAAAAAAGAGGTTAGAGTAAAAAATAAACAAACAAAGAGTATGGAAGAGAATAAAAAACGTAGACGTTTGTTAAGTGCAGATGTGAGGGCGCGGATCGGCAAAGCAAGAGCAGCATATTTGCAACTGAAGAACATCTGGAGCTCAAAACAATTGTCAACCAACACCAAGGTTAGAATTTTCAATACAAATGTCAAGACAGTTCTATTGTATGGGACGGAGACGTGGAGAACTACGAAAGCCATTATCCAGAAGATACAAGTGTTTATTAACAGCTGTCTACGCAAGATATTTCGGATCAGATGGCCAGACACTATCAGCAACAAGTTACTGTGGGAGACAACAAATCAGATTCCAGCGGAGGAAGAAATCAGGAGGAAGCGCTGGAAGTGGATTGGGCACACTTTGAGGAAATCACCCAATTGTGTCACAAGACAAGCCCTCACATGGAATCCTGAAGGTCAAAGGAGAAGAGGAATACCAAAGAACACATTACGCTGAGAAATGGAGACAGACATGAGAAGAATGAACAAGAACTGGATAGAACTAGAAAGGAAGGCCCAGAACAGAGTGAGTGGGTTGGAGAATGCTGGTCGGCGACCTATGCTCCATTGGGAGTAACAGGCGTAAGTAAGTAAGTAAGTAAGTAAGTAACGTTTGTTAAGGCTAGTTCATCTATGCAAGAGATACTTACTTTACTTACGCTCGTTATCCCTCGTGTAGGAGCACAGGCCTCCCACCAGCATTCTCCACCGAATTCTGTTCTGGACAATCCCTTCCAATTGTTTCCAGATGCTATTCACCCTTTTCATGTCTGCTTTATGGAAGAGATAAGGGCGTTTCAAATTTCTTGTGAACACAAAGACTTGGCTTGAATCCCTACAGCTACTGCCATGCATAGGAGACGAGTTCGAACCCAGAAAGAAGACCGTATCCTTTCTATGCAGGCAAATTAGTTAATATGATGATAACCTTCTGTAAGAGAATGATTGCGTACTCTATTGTTTTCCAAACAGATGTAGACCGACATTATTTTTGCATTAAGAGATTCCATGGTATTTCGGTTTTCTACAGCATCAGCGATTAAATGTAAACGTCCTTTATAAACTGAATACTTTTCCCGGCTTAAAGTATAGTATATATTCGAGGTTAAAATAACCGCGGCGAGTTTTTAGCCAATCAGAAAATAACTCACTAATAGATGGTTTGTGGAAAAGAAAACTCTAAAAAATGTTATCGTGTTAGTTCGCCCTGAAGCTGTAGTTTCATGGGATTTAATTTTGTTTCATAACTAAAGGTTTAGGATCAGAAGTTAGGGACAATGTTGATTTGCCTGTTACATACAATATAAAGACATAACATTAACTATTTGGTACGTTTAACGCTCATTTTTACTGTATGTATGCAATAAATGGCTTTTTATTACCATTTCGAACGTTTCGAGCAGTACTAAATGTTTTTCCCACTGATCTTTATATATGCTATTCAGATTTTGCACAGAAACTTAATAGTTACCTTCTTTATTCTGATTGATTTGTTTCCTATATATACTTTTGTCCTTTTTTGAGCAACTATTATTTACTTTTAATTAGCTTTTACAGTGTTTGTTCGAACTCGTCCTAGAACTTAAGTGAAATACACCCTTCTTTTTTAAATCTCAATTAAACTGTATGAATTGTGAATTACGTAGGCAGCTCCATCGGCTGAATCATCAACACTTGTAATCTATTGGTAACTTTAAATCTGCATGTACATGGAGTGGGTGTAAACTGATATTAAATGGGTTATCACTTGTTTTACGGTTTAATTCTGTTGCTACTACGTTTGTATCGATACCGCCTACATAAAAAAGGAGAAGTAATCGAACAGTACAATCAACGATTATGAAACATCTGCCTATATTGCCTCAGAATCAGCTAGTGTCAAATGCTTGTATTAACGAAGGAAGTAGAAAACTACGTTTATCGATAGCAAAGGATAATTGGAACCGGGTTTAAAACTGATATCAACACAGCTTTTAAAACGCTGTACATGTATTGTCAAAGACCAATTCCTAGGCGTATTAGGAACCTTGGCTATTCAGAAATTCAAACTGCTTTTATACATAGGGAAACAATTTATTTTAACTCAGATATTTTATTGCTTAGGTTAGCGTGACGAATCCCTATTCTTTTGATATTACATTAATTTTTTCTCTAATGTATTTACAATTATTTTATGTTTATTTGTCCTTTATTTAAATGGCCTTCAGAACACATCGCCTTTAGCCATCGTCGATGGGACCGAATTGAAGGGTGTTGCCCATTTTAGAGCACATGTTTAGACTCGGATCATGCTCTAGTTCGAGCATGTATTTGTCTGCACCTTACTGAACGTAGAAAAGCCACAGCAAGAAAACTTCTTTAGGTTCAAATAAACGATGAAAAAGTTGAGAATATGATTCAGGAAAAACTAGAGGAGCTAGTCAACGGGGAAAAGGATATCCACCCGGAAATAACTTGGCATGATATCCAAAAAGCTGTGGAAGCAGTAGTTATATCTACTAGTAACTTTAACCAAAAAGTTAGGAAAAGTCAGTGAATTTCAGTGGCATCTGCAGAACTGATTGATACTCGAAAACTCATGCCATCCGGTTCCAGACACAAGGAGCATGGATAGCCTAAACATAAGCTGATAAAAACCTAACCTAGTGATTGTAAGCAATGGTGGTTAGTGAGATCAGAAGAGATGGAAAATGCAGCAGCGGTAGGTAGTTGTAGACAACTATTCAGACTTGTCAAGGAAATGGGTATTAAACATCCAGCTGTTATTGTAACTGTCTAGGGAAAATACGGGACTGCTATTCACTCTCAAGCCAGGAAATTGAACCAATTAGCACAACATTTTAGGATACAGTTCATTTGGGCCTCAGACACACTTCAGTTATTCACTATCGGCCTTCTTACCAATTAACTTCTTATAATTACCTTTTTTGTTTAAAAACAAATTTTGTTTTCATTAAAAGTTCTACAACTTTTCCTGCTCTACTTGTTGGTTTTTATCCAAATGTGAATAGGACCTATTGGAAAATGTTGAGAATAATCATCAAACTATTATTGATGAACTTGTAAATATGGTCAAACAGATTCAAATTTCAATCAATGAAGTAATAAAATCCACTGACAACAGTCAAGATTATTCAACGACGATGACGTCAGCAACAACAATGCCAGTCAATACAATAGCTACCAGTATATATTTGTCAAAACTACTAGATCCTATTGAATCAACATCACAAAGATTTCTGTATTCCATTTCAGAAATCCAAAAGTTAATCTCTGAATACGATCAGTTGATTATTCATACAAATACAAGACAAAAGATAATACCTCAAGAATTATCTGTCAGTGTGAACACACTGGATACAGTAGATTTACATGATTCGGAATTGTTTCAAGTTAGTTATATTGTTTATTAACATCCTTTTCAATGACCATAGATTATGAATTTCAAGTTAAATTATAATACCCTTCTCAGTTTTTGAAGGTGACCTATTATTGTGCGTAGGTTGGTTTATTTTAAGTGAAAAACGAAAATTGCGCAGACGAAGTAAATTCATTTTCTATATCGATATCCTTTTTCATGAAATCTATACACATACTGTAGGATTTGACAATACTGGTATCAAGTTTCAAGGAACGTTGAGCTTGGATAACATGTATGTTTCTACTAGATCTTGTAAGGATTTAGGCGTTTGTGCTATACGGTTTGCCTTAGTTCTTGTTTTATGGATTAGGACAACCTATAAATTCTCATAATTTTTACAACAGTTAAGGGAATCATATTTATCATGTAATTATGCAAAGAATCGCCGTTATGATCTTTTTCTATGACATCATGCTTACAAATGTTCGTTTCCAATCATGATTGATTTATGAACTCAGTCAGGGAATCCAAACCGACCTATAACTTTATCTTATCATAGTTATTTTATCTAGTTCTTCATATTTCAATCTATCCATAAATATCAGGACAGATGACTTTGTAATACCCGATAAATCATTAACATCTAGTAAGACTGAATTAAGTCATGAAACCATCCCATAAAGTGACCTGAATATTACCTGTTTCCTCTTTCGGTAAGTGATTACAGTTACTACTGTTTGTTCAAATAACAAATATAACTTGCTAAAAGTACTTTGCTTATGTCAGTTAGTGGCAAAGTATATTTAAAAATGACTTTTTTAAAGTTATATATAAGTGTCCTTATTTCCCTACTAATTATAGGACGCTTGTATACCATCAGTTAATAATTATCAACACCATTTTAATGTATTCGACAAACAATATGAAGAATTGTTAAATGAATCTTTGACAAATTCTTGGCCAGTTGTTCATGATCATTCCCATTTGAATACTGAAAATCAATTGAATGGGCAAACATCACTAGGCGATAATTTATCGCAAACAATTATTCACAGTTGTGATATGAATGAAAAACGTAATACAGAAGTAATGATTTTGAACAATATCTTACAAAAAATAGATTGCTTAGAAAGTGAGTTAATTCATACAGTGCGCCTTTCTTTTTCCCTTTAAATAATGGATAATATCAATTATCCTTACTATTAATAAAAATAAGATGAATTCGATAACTCAGTATAAAATGAATGACAAGTGTAAATGTTGATGCCCCCAAATGCCCTGGTACGGCCGAGAGTGGGGAGAGTCCGTTCTCCCTCTCGAAATGCTCTCATATGGCCACGCGTATATAGCCTCTGTCAGGGAAGTCCTACTCACTGCCTTCTCGTAAAGGGGATGTTGTTCACAAAAGTGAGAGGACGAAAAGCGAATGTCCGGCGCTTTAACCGGGTTGGTGGACATGGAGGGTCCACCTAGGGAAGTTGGAAAACCCTGATTCCAAACCAATGGTGCACATGGGTTCCAGTATCCTGACGCAACAAATGGCATATGAATCAATCGTTGGTCACCGGCTACCATGGGAATACATCTCCTGACGTTACTCCACTACCTTGTGGATCAGATCTTCAGGTAGAAGGCTCGGGATGTGGCCCCATAAGAAAACTACCTGCCTTGGTTTGGGCACTCGGGCAGTACGACAGCCTTCACACAAATCAAATAAGATTTATGTGGCGCATATGTATTTGATGCCCCTTTGTACCAATATTTATATGTTCAAATAAATAAGTATATGTTGATCTATGAGCGATCTTTGAAACACGCGTATAAAGATTAAAAATATTGGGATCTCATTTAATGTTCACTGTTCTCTGAAAACAGATAAAGTATGAAAGAGTTTCTCAGTAGTTAAACCAAGATAAAACAAATTTAGATATTTCTAAGGTTGAATGAGTTCTAATAATTTTTATCGAAATATAAGGTATCGTAAGTATGACATGTCGAAATGGTTTTCACCGTCTTATCATAAATGTAGTGAATAAACTCATGTTTGTTATATTATTTGTTAGCAGCCAACAACATTGGATGCATTATCTTTGGAAGTGTGAATGACTTCTTGAACGCAAGTCTTTACGGTCTATTATTTTATAGACATTTTACGGAGTTTATGAAGAACTAAGTTTTTGTTGATGTGATTGTTCATACATTATAAATACTTAGTCAGGTTTAACGTTTTTGAGATATATATATTATACTACTTAAAAGTATTTCCAGTAGGAATGTTCTGTTGTTTGATTTTTTTATCACATAATTAAATGTTGAGTATATAAATAGAAGGATCAGTTCAGAGACGAGTGACTATTATACAAGGGCTTTCTGTAGATAGAGGAAACTCTAGGAATATCTGTCTACAAGAAATTTTTGTGGAATGGTTAGCTATCAAGCTTTCACAGCTGCGTCTTCATTACCTGAAAGCAAACCTTAATTATATCTCTCGCTACCCGGATACAAAGAATTTGTATTACTGAGGTCAACTGTACCTCCTTAAAAAACGCTTATCAAAAACGGGTATCCTTGAGTACTTATTATGAAGAATACAAAACTCGAACCCCCTAAAGCCCAAATAGCCTCTGTAAATAGGAAGCACTTATGAGCGTCCATTTCAAAGGTGATATAACTACAGACATCCTGAAAAGGAGAATTTCCGACTCTTTCAAGAGAACCTTCTTCATTGAGGCTTTGGGATTAGTGTTTCCCAGCCAGCCATTGTTCACTGGCAGTCTATGGAATAATTTGTCACATTTTAACAATTACATGTGTATTTTTTAACTTGTTCTTATGAAGCCAGGTATTTAGGACCTTCGATGCGTATTTTATCCATAAAGATTTAATAACATTACTCGAGTTGGGTGAAAAGAAGTGAAAAATGACTCAATAAGAAGCCCAATGGTCAAAAACCTTGTGAAAATAGACCATTTAAGCAAATTCATCTAGAAGATAAGTAGAAAGCTGTCAAAAACAATTAGCACCCATCTTTTTAGCATTCCTGAAGCACTTGCTATACATATAAATAAACCAGAATTATTTGTACAAAAGGAACTTGTACAATCTCTTTTTCTACCATGATCGTACTCCCTCATAAGTTTTTCTTCTCCTTCACGGTCATTTGGTAACCTTTTTTTTTCTATAGATCTTTTACCCACAGCTGACTTGTTTCTGTTTCTATGATCCTGCTGATCATAGTTTATCTCAAATTCAACATTTTATCCTGATACGTTGAGTCTTGCTTTTCTAATCACCATTCTTTATCTATCTTCATGTTATATATTCAAACTCTCAACCATCGCATAATTATTATTTTCTCTAATAAAAAATGACGTTTTTAATTCCTTTTTTATTTTACCTTACTGTTACCATGTTCCGCAAAATTTTATCACTACTAATATAATTATTATCATTTTGAAAAACAAGTACATATCTGCAATTATACAGCATTGGAAATGAATTCGCTGAAAAGAAAACTCCTTTCTGAACCAGGTTTTCGTATTTTGTGTCTCAATGGTTATATTCCGCTTACTATGTAAACTGGTTTTATTTTCTAGGTAATCTTAAATTATCCTGTTGTAATATAATGAATGACGAACTGGTAAAGAGTAGGATGAGTCAAGTGAGCGAGTTACGATCTGATGTAACTGACAAATTAAATCAAACAATTAAGGAAATGGAACTAGTGCGTATGAGTAGTCAACAAATAGAATATGCTCAAGAGAAATTGAATTCTCTAACAGTAAGTCCAGAATTTAATAAGTTTGAAATATACAGTTTTTTTTTGAATTTTTGTGTTCATATTTTCTGACTTTCCTTAGTCCGCATACGTGTTCTAAAATACTCCTTAACAGTATGAAATGTTTTCCAACTTTTGGTTGCAGTAAAAGACATGGGAGATATAAGTCTTCATTTAAGAAAATATTTCTCCCAAGTTAGTACTAATCCGAAATGGAGATAAATTTAACTTCTACGGTGAAGTAATGGTTGAAGATAGTCGACAGGAAACCGTGAACATGAATTCCGTGGTATTCGGCACACGTTAGTAAGTTGTACCTGTAGTCTAGCGGGAACTGATACTCCCTGTTAGAGATAATCCCATGTTACGTAGCTTCACAATCAGAGACGTTACTATTGAACTATTTGGACCACGGCTAACCTCTTGCAGGACTGAGGCATGCTCACAATTAATTGATCACTGAGTAGTGACCAGCTTCATGTATCAGGCGTTTCTTAGGTACAACCATTCATGAAAGTAAAAGTAACAAATAACTGTTCTATTTTATATGAAAATCGATGTCATTTCTATTAATTACCGTTACCTATCTTTCACCATTGTTGTGTAATTCAATACTTATATTTTTTTGTGTATCACCTACAGACATAGTGTTTATTAATATCAAATGTAATTTTATTAATTTACTTCACAATTTAGTCTACATATAAACAATCAGGCGATTCATTTCAACATAGCGTAATCTCTCAAAACGAGGCTGAATTGGCAACCAATATATTTGAAACATGTGCTCATTTAATTAAAAAACGATTATCTGAGATAAATGTAAGTTTGAATTGTCACTTCAATATATTGTAAGTAAAAGTGTAATAACAAAGGTATTTACCTTGATATGTATCAGTGCAAAAACAATACATTTATGTGTATAATGTTACTGTTATTGCTTTATTCAACTAATAGATAGTTGAAATCATGGGTCAATTGAAGCTAGACCACAATGGAAAACCTGGAAGCACTGGGTGGCCGTTTCGTCCAAGTGTGGAACTCCTCAGAAGTGCGAATCCACGATACCGCCTCATGGTTTCAACTACATAAAATTACTAAAATCTCTGCAAATTTACTTCGGTAATAAAAATGTTGTCTTCACATTATGCATCTATGAATTTCATTTCTTTTTTAAGGATAGCTAAATACATCTTCATTCCATACATAAGAAACGTGGTTCTGAAAAGTTAATTAAGTAATCACATTGTTTAAGAAAATTTCTTTGAATGAAATTCTATCTCATCATTCAAGCCTGTTGAGATTGTTTAACATTTCAACAAATAAATTTGAAAGTTACGAAAGTGTTTTGTATTCTTAGTTGTTATAACGTGTGAGTGCGTTCTTGCCCAGTTGATATATATGAACGTGCTGATTCCCGCCAATCAGAGAGGAGCGGATTATTAGTCAGAGCTATAATAGACAAAAAATCTTATGAGCAGTCTTGAGCATTTTTCAGTCCTGCTTCCTGCCTAGACCAGCCAGTTAAGTCCAGAACACCAATAACAGCTTCTACAATATGAATCATTATTCTCAAACATACTGGGTTTATATACCAATCAGACAGATCACATCGTACCATAAAATAGAAAATAACATTTGTACAAGATTTGGCCAAATGTGACCGTGAATAGGGGGGGGGGGAACAGTAATCAATAAACTGGGGATAACTCAAGAATGGTAAATCGTATAATAATAGTTCGTAGGTCAAAATAAAGCTTATAATAAGAGGGACACGAATATGGATACTTTAGTAACTTAACAATTATACAATAGGAAATATACATATCACATCGGTTCATAAATAGTCCTGAAAGTTACCATTCATAATTGTCCACTAAAGTTTTGATTGTCTTCGTTTTCAAAGTTCATGGTAATTTTTCCTACAAAACCAAGTAAATTTTGATTACTGAATCATTCAATTATAAAGGCGAGTACTGCATTAGCTTTCCCTAAATCAACTGAACCTATAGTGTTGTATCAGACTTCATCCAAAAGCCTCATTCCAGTCAAAATACTTCTTTTATTAGTTTACTTATTTTTATAGACATACTTGTTTTGTTGAAACTATTTATCCGACCTCATACTGATTTTAACTTTAATGAAAGTTTAATAATATAACTGAAGAATGTGCTGGTATTCCGTTAAATAATCAAAAAAAGAACCAATATCATCCTAGCAAACAGAAAGTTTTGAACTGCTATTATAATTATTGAAATTCATGATTGATGATGAAAATCTCCCAAAAGGACTACTAATATTGGATACCAATCTAGCGACCATCGACACCTCATGGATTTGTTCATTTTGATATCTTTCTTATTGAAATGATTTCTCTCTTTCTAGGATTTTCTGAAATGAAATTAGTGTATTTTAATATGGAATTTTGTATGATTCTGTTTGAGCGTGTTTCAACGCTGAAGAAACTTGATCGTTTATTAGAGAATTGTATTGAATAAGGTTATGTTCAATATCAATAAGATCTGTCAAATTGTTCCATGGTAAAGTAAGAATAGGGTATTATTTATTCCTTGAATACATGTATATCGGCGATCGATATTGTCAACATGTTTATTTATTTAGACCAAATAGTATTGTCGTTTATATCTTCAATTACAAATTCAGATGGTGTCACTTTTCAGGACCACGACTCTACATTTGATCACCTTCAAAGAAAGCTTTAACTAACCCATGGTGTGTAAATTCCAATGTTTTATTATATTCTGCAAATCTAAATTCAGAAACATTGTCTCTCAACCTCTCGTGTAATTTAATCACAAGGTGTCCTTTATATACAACTCAGTGATATTAATCATCTCTAATGCGATCTAGTGTTGTAGTCACACTTCGAATCTACTGAATAAAGTAATTAACTGTTACTTCTTTTGTTTGTGTATTTTTTTTATTAACTTCTCTTTATCAGCAAGTAATTGACAAGCTTCAAGAATTAACTGATGAAACCAATCCTACTAATACAGGTCGTTATTTACTACAGAATTTCAACTTTGATGATGAAAACAGTACATTTCTATCTGAAATTACGCATACCGAAAATAACTTACCGGTAGATTCAATAAATTCTGATCAAAACAACATATCTCTATCATATTTTAATATTCCTTTATGGTATGAACAAACTAAAGTAAATGATGAAGTTGTCAATTTTCTGGAACATATAAAAAATCAACGTGAACGCCTATTATTCGGTTATGAATTATCACAACGTCTTGCTATATGGTTATCAGTAAGTTGATTGTGTTTATTCATTGAGTTGAATACTTTTTTAATTGAACAATCAAGAATAAATCATTGATAGAATCCAGAAATACATAGATTCTTTGTTATACCACTCAGTCTGTGTTTAATCGTTTAATTAACCGAAGAATTATAAAAAAATTCCGAGTTCTCTTGATTAACATCACTTATTCGCATCTCAACCATTGCCTACCTCTACATATAATACTGGATAGCTGTCTCTCAGTGAAAAAATTGGCATTAGCCCATGAATTCCTTGACCGTTAGACTAAACCCTCTCTGTTGATACCGACCATGCGGTTGAGGTCTTCGTTATAATCATTCATTCTGAAAATCGATCCCTTCATTTCGAGCCATATTTCTCATACGCAGTCTTTTTTTTATCATCATGGAAATAAGCATTACTTTGACTCCTTCCCTATTCATCATTTTAATTCTCTCTCGATATCCTAATATGACATATCCCCTTGTGCTGATGGATATATGTCCTTATGTCCTACATTGGTCATGATTAAATAGATTAATGAGCCGTTTTTACGAACTTTCCTAAAATTTTTAGGAAGAAACATTAGAAGGTAGTAAAACTTTGTTATCATGACCCCACGCGTAAAGAAAAAACTCTATGATATAAACGTAATTTATCCGTTATTTAAAACATTCTTACTTTTTTAGTATTCTTGTGTATTATTCACTGACAACAATCCAACGTACCTTCGGGTATTTCAATTTGTTCCTCCGCATCAAACATAGAATATTATTTCTTTGCCACAATGTAGAATGTTTACTTGTACACTTACAATTGTCACATGAAAGTGTTTATATGCTTTTATCTAGTTTTCTCTCTTTTCTAGGTAATACATCCTAGGATGACTAAACTGAAAGTGAAATTTCAACACTTAAGTGTTAAGTCGGAATATTTAAATGGGGATAATGATCTATGCTCACATTTGCACGACATAACCGTAAGTCTAGATTATCTTATATGTATATTTATATATTTGTAGCACAGTTATCCTATCACGCTGATTGTTTGAATCTTCCCGCTGATGCTTAGGATTGTAGATGATCAGTCTTTCATTGACGTATGCGAATACTGTGCGTATTGCCTTCAGCCACAAGTATTGTAAGCTGAGATGATAGTGGCTAGCAGTGGAATCCAAGACGCACGTTTCGTTCTATTCGGAACTCGTCAGACGGATGTACCTGCATACCAGAGTTGTTGTTCAATCCATTTCTGCTTGTAATGCTTATGACTTAAGGCAATATCGTGACAATCCGCACAGTATTTACACATACCAATAAGAGACTGGTTAACTGAAGTCTTAAACATCAATGGGAAGATTCAAACAACCAATACAAAAATCAATTAAATTTCACCCCATTGCACAAGCTAGTGGCTATCAGGACTCAATAGCCAAGTAGGAAGTGCGATGGTGTTTGGGTCAAATGGTACTTGGTTCGAGTCCTGGAGTGAACACCAACTCTAGGATGCAGGTACATCCAGTTGACGAGTCCCAAGATAGGACGGATCGCACGTCGTGGATCTCACTGCTAGCCACCATCCATTTCTGCTTGTAACCTAATAATATCTACTTATTCGGCAAGGTTGTTTCAAGTATCTTTGTTTCAACATTCCTTTCGAAGAATCTTAGCTATTTGTTCAAATGTTGTTGGTGTTTTTGCATTTGCTGTTTACACTTTTTGTTGTACATTCGTGTCAGTTTATTTCGAAGAATGAAAGCACAGCCTTCTGATATATTTTTTGGTTGAGGTTATCTGCATCTGTCTTCTATGGACATGCCCAGTGTAGTTATATATCTAGGACTTGAAATGAAGTCCATAAAAACTGTACTCTAACATGTAGTGCTCATTAGACGAACGGGAAAATAACGGAAACTTCCGGATACAACTTACTTAGTGAGGCCGCAAATGGCTTGGTACGGCGGAGAGTGAGGAGAATTCTTTCTCTCCCTCGAAATGTTCTCACATGTGTATACAACCACTGTCAGGGAAGTCTTACTCACTGCCTTCTGGCGGTGGGGGTATAGTTTACGAAATCGAGAGGTTGAAAAGCGAATGTCCGGCGCTTTAACCGGGTTGCAAGATACGGAGAGTCCACCTAGGGGAGTTGGAGAGCATTGATTCCAAACCGATGGCGTACATGGGTTCCAGAATCCTGAAAATCCTGAAAAAATGACCTATGAACCAAATGTTGGTCACCGACTACCATGGGACTGCATCTCCTCAAGATGCTCCACTGCGTTGTGGATTAGACCTTAAGGTCGAAGGCTCCAGGTTTGGTCCCTTAAGAGAACCACCTGCTTCGGTTTTGGCACCCAGGCAGTATCACAGCCCTCACACAAATCGAATGATTTATGTGGTGCCTATCTATTTGGTGCCTCCTTGTGCCAATGTTTATGTGTTTAAATAATAAATAATAATAATAATTTTTTTCAGGTCAATTGGATGATTTTTACATGCTGTTACTACTAGAGTCGTGACATCATCGCTTGGCATCTTACTTTCATAAGTTGAAAATCGTTACAATAAAATAGATGAAGTTTTTCTAATGAAATTTCTTATATTCCTGGTTTGTGGTTGAAATCATACCTATTAAAATTATGTTGGATTTCATGCGTTTTTTTGTTTGTTTTTCTTTCTTCATTTTAGCTGTATAGACTTGAACTTTTCTCTCAACTACCAATGTTTCAATGTATTCTCAATGATGTCAATGAATTCAATGATGTAATATTTCATTTAACTGAAGACTATACCACAGACAATAAAATAGATAATATTGAACAAACATTTTTCTCCTGTTTCAATAAACGTGAACATGAAACTTCATTAAATAGATCAATTACCCATTGCACTGAACAGAAAATACTAACAATTATGAATGATTTTAATAACATTCTTAAAGAATCATCTGTTTGTCTAGTAAGTTAATTGTATATACTGATATCAAGGTAGTATTCATCTCTTTCGTTCATAACACATGAAATACCAATACTTGTATGTTTACAACGATAGTTAATGAAAGACTGAGATTTCCTAGTTATGGTATGTATGTATTATTATTAGAAGGAATTATTTTCAGACAATCTATTGAGAATTTCCGGAGTAGATATTTTATACATTTCGCTTTTTACCAATCAGGCATTACTTTCCACTTTGACAAATTTATTGTTACTTGAGATATCTTATGAATCAGTTCAACCTGGTCAGTTCTAATTCACTTTTCTTTAGTGGTAGTAGATTACTCAATTTTTGCAAACAAATTACAAGTCTGAAGCCCGCTTCAGTTCAATATATATGGCTAAAGGGGAGAGTATGAAAACATATATTTGTCTATAAATTACCGTTTTCTGATCATCATTGTACTGTAAAATATCGACTATACTGATTGATCTAAATTGGATATGATATGACCTTACAATTTTACAGCCCTTATCTGTTTAGTCTTATTTTAAAATTACTATATGCTTAGACATAATTTTACTCTAAAAAACACGTAAGCAGGTACATGAAGCTGACGAGTCTCAAATAGGACTGCTAGCCACCATCCCCCTTGCTTACAATGCTTGTGAATTAAAGTAATATCAAGGCTGTTATGACTTGACCTAGCCGTCGCCAATTTGTTATGTTTTTGACCTAGGCGGTAGCCAATTGTTATGACTTGATCAAGGTCGTCGCTGATTCGTTATGACCTTACGAATTTAACAAGGACGTAATTCGCGTAAATTGTCCACCAATAGAATACGACTTCTACGACCTTCACACTGTGACAATGACGTTCGATTAGTATGAGTAATCTAGCGTCCTTATTGGCCCTTATCCGCCTAACCCGTCCACTTGAGTCCAAAAACACCAATAGCAGTTGCTGTAATGCGAATCGTTTATTTCGAACATACTTCATTTATATACCAGACAGGCAGACCACACTATAAAATAGAAAATAATGTTTGTACAAGATCAAGCCAAATGTGGCTGTGAACGTGGGAGACAATAATCAATAAACTGAGTATAACTTAGGGACAGTAAATCTTATAGTAATAATCAATAGGTCAAAATGAAGCTTGCAATAAAATGAATATAGATATAGATAATCTAGTTACCGAATAGTTATACAATAAGAATGATAGTCCAATAGTAGGTCCTGCAAGTTACCCGTACTTATGTCTTCGCTACTACATAACAAAGGCAATTTGCACAGTATTCACATATGCCAATAAGTGACTGATCAACTGCAGTCCTAAACATCAATCGGAAGGTTAAAGTAAACAATACCAAGTAAATTCAAACACATAAGGTATTTGTAAGGCTTTGTATTTTATGATTGTTGATGTAAAGAACTCCAAATGCTCAATCTGTATTTGCATACGTGCATCATCAGCGTATTTCCACAATAATAGCAATTAGTTAAACATTTTTAGTAATGTTGGGTTGCGGCTAACATAGTTAAGGTTTTGTCCTATTTAACGTTCATGACTGGATTTACCTGCCTTCGAGAGTTGATGCTTACAATGTGGCATGAATGCAGTACCTATCATTACAAAAGTTAACGAGTTATCTCTTGGAAAGACCTAACTATTTTCACTTTTCTTCTATTTTCCAGTCAGCTATAAGAAATCGGCTCATTGAAACAAATCAGATTTCAACAGCTCTAAATGAATTGTCAAATTTGCTAGATGAATTCAGTTGTTTAGATGAGAGATTTGCAAAAAATTGTATGATAGAAGAAGAATCTCCTATTAGTTGTACAGAAAATAATTTATCCCTTGTAAAAAACATGTATCTAAATAACTGGACGAAAGTAAAAATTCTAGAAGTATGGTGAATTTCGTTTTCATTGCATATTCTTATGATAGAATTAAATTGTCGTGTAAAATAAATTTATTTTCAGTACAGGGTTTTGAAGATTGTTGGGTTTTGATTGAGATCATGAATCAATCAATATTAGGCCACCATTTAAAACCTGAAAGCATTGGACGACCTTTTTTTCTAGTAAGGGGCTCCTCAGCAGTGCGCATCTACGATCCCGCACGCTGGATTCGAACCATAAGCAATGAAACTAATCTGTATCGGTTTTGAGACAGTTACCCACTGAAGACAATGGAAGATCGTCGCGCAATTTCGTGGATAGGTTGAAGTTAGACATCAACACCATTGGATACAGGGTCAGTGGTTAAGCGTTCGCGCGCGAGGTCGAAGGTCCTGGGTTCGAATCTCGCTCGAGGGATTGTGGATCTGCACTGATGAGGAACCCCATGCTAGGACGAAACGACCGTCCAGCACTCCCAGGTTTTCAACCGTGGTCCAACACTAATCACAACAAAATTATTTCTATCATAAAAGAATACATAAGTGTTTGTTATTGATAGAATTATTGTTATAAAATGTATTGTTTGAATACTTCTCACATACAATTGATTAAGTGAACAATAGAGTAAGGTTATATAGTGCATTTTTTAGTGAGGAGTATAAGTCAGAATATGAAAAATATTTCAAATCATTTATGATATCATTCTCTAGTAAATAGTATGTTGTTTAACCCCGACATGATGAACGTTAGCATATTGGAATATCACTAATACTGCAGTGCATGTGCTTCAGGTTCATCCATAAAAATAAAATCTCTACTAACTAGTTTAACCATACTTTTCTCTTATGAGTGAGATCAGAAAAAAAGACAAGAAGTCAGTTTGAACAAATAAACTAAGCACCGGTACACGGAATAGGGTACCTGATTTCAGAAAGCAAAATCAGTCAAATGCCCTCGGAAATATTTCCAAAAAAACTATCCATTCGTCACTGGACCCTATTGTAATTCGTCTAACAAGTATAAGCTTATGCATTTGGCTTTTAATCATAACTTTTTTATCAGGACTAATAATACAATAGGTTGCCATACCGTAGTAGATGGAGTGGGGCTCAAATTTGCGATTCAATGACTCATATACAAGTATTTTTCTAATTAGAGCTAATAATCCACTGTTTGTAAACTTGAAAAAATTAACATAATCTCTCTCAAACACTCGAACTTAAACCACCCTGTTCTGTAGTCAAAAAAGTTGCCCCTAAACTATCTGAACAGATTAGGGGTCAAAATATGATAATATAATGTTATTAATCACTCTATATAGAGACAACTCCGCCTGTAGCTAGTCTGGGGGTTACTGCCGGTCCCAAGCCCGGGTTAAGGAGGAGGGTTGGGCATGGGGTTAGCGACCCCATCCCGTAGAAAATCAACTCGCTAAAAAAACGCTAACCAGAAAAAATCATTCAAACCTTTAAAACTCTGCCCTGGGAGTAGAAGGAATAATTATGACGTCTCATGATGAAAGCCGAGTTCATTCGAAAGTCATGAGGCCGATGCACCTTCTTACAACCAGAACGACAATTTTTTATAGGTACATGGAATGTCCGGACAATGTGGGAGACCGGCAGAGTCTTCCGAATTGCTGCAGAAATGAGAAGATACAACCTGGAGGTTCTTGGAATCAGCGAAACACATTGGACGCAGGTTGGACAACAACGACTGTCTTCAGGAGAACTTCTGTTATACTCCAGTCATGAAGAAGAAAATGCCTCACATACACAAGGAGTTGCATTGATGCTGTCCAGAAAAACACAAAATGCACTTATTGGATGGGAATCTCATGGACCAAGGATCATCAAAGCCTCCTTCAAAACAAAGAGAGAGGGCATTACAATGAACGTCATCCAATGCTATGCGCCTACCAACGACTACGATGAAGACGCTAAAGACCAATTCTACGATAGGCTGCAGTCGATCTTCGAGAAGTGCCCAACCAAGGACCTGACCATTCTGATGGGAGATCTCAATGCCAAGGTTGGAATGGACAACACTGGATACGAGGACGTCATGGGACAACATGGACTGTGAGAAAGGAACGAATATGGTGAGAGATTTGCAAACCTATGTGCCTTCAATAAACTGGTCATAGGTGGCACTATATTCTCACACAAAAACATACACAAAGCCACTTGGATTTCACCGGATCACACTACACAGAATCAAATCGACCATATCTGCATCAACAAAAAGTTCAGGAGGACGATGGAGGATGTGAGAACCAGAAGAGGAGCTGATATAGCATCCGATCATCATTTGCTGGTCGCCAAGATGAAACTAAAACTCAAGAAGCACTGGACAACTGTGCGGACAACATCACAAAAGTTTAACACGGCCTTTCTTCGAGATGCTGACAAATTCAACAAATTCAACATAGCCCTCAGCAACAGGTTCGAGGTCTTTCATGACCTACTCAATGGAGAGGGGACTACCATGGAAAGCAACTGGAAAGGTATCAAGGAGGCAATCGTTTCAACGTGTCAAGACGTTCTGGGCCAAAAGAAGCACCATCACAAGGAATGGATCACTGTTGGTACAATGGATAAGATTGAAGCAAGGAGGAACAAGAAGGCAGCAATCAACACCAGCCGAACGAGAGCGGAAAAAGCCAAGGCACAAGCCGAATACACAGAGGCAAACAAGCAAGTGAAGAGGAGCATCAGAACCGACAAACTTAAATATGTGGAAGATTTAGCAATGACAGCGGAAAAGGCTGCAAGAGAAGGAAACATGAGACAATTGTATGATACAACAAAGAAACTTGCTGGAAATTACCGTAAACCAGAAAGACCAGTGAAAAACAAGGAAGGCAAAGTAATCACCGACATTGAAGAACAACGAAACAGGTGGGTAGAACACTTCAAACAACTCTTGAATCGACCAGCTCCGCTGAACCCATCCAACATCGAAGCAGCACCCACAGACCTCCCAATCGATGTTGGCCCACTAACAATTGAAGAGATCAGCATGGCCATTAGACAAATCAAGAGCGGCAGAGCAGCGGGACCAGACAACATCCCGGCAGAGGCACTGAAAGCAAATGTAACAGCAACTGTCAAGATACTACACATCCTCTTCAGTAAGATTTGGGACTAAGAACAAGTACCAACAGACTGAAAAAAAGGACTTCTGATCAAGATACCAAAGAAAGGTGATCTCAGCAAGTGCGATAACTACAGGGGCATCACTCTTCTCTCAATACCAGGAAAAGTCTTCAACCGAGTGTTGTTAAATAGGATGAAGGATTCTGTGGACGCCGAACTTCGAGATCAACAAGGATAGATCGTGCACAGATCAAATCGCAACTCTGAGGATAATTGTGGAACAATCAATCGAATGGAATTCATCACTCTACATCAACTTCATCGACTACGAGAAGGCATTTGATAGCGTGGACAGGACGACACTATGGAGGCTTCTTCGACACTACAGCGTGCCTGAGAAGACAGTCAATATCATACGGAACTCCTATGATGGAGTAAACTGCCAAATCGTCCACGGAGGACAACTCACCGACTCGTTTCAAGTAAAGACCGGTGTTAGGCAAGGTTTCTTACTCTCACCCTTTCTCTTTCTCCTGGTGATCGACTGGATCACGAAGACGTAAACGACTGGAGGAAATCACGGGATACAGTGGACAGGCAGGATGCAGCTTGACGATTTAGACTTCGCGGATGATCTGGCTCTTCTATCACAAACGCAACAACAAATGCAGGAGAAAACGACCAGTGTAGCAGCAGCCTCAGCAGCAGTAGGTCTCAATATAAACAAAGGGATAAGCAAGACTCTCCGATACAACACAATATGCACCAATCAAATTACACTTGACGGAGAAGCTTTGGAGGATGTGGAAACCTTTACATATCTGGGCAGCATCATTGATGAACACGGTGGATCAGATGCAGATGTGAGGGCGCGGATCAGCAAAGCAAAAGCAGCATACCTACAACTGAAAAGCATCTGGAGTTCAAAACAATTGTCAACCAACACCAAGGTTAGAATTTTCAATACAAATGTCAAGACAGTTCTACTGTATGGGGCGGAGACGTGGAGAACTACGAAAGCCATTATCCAGAAGATACAAGTGTTCATCAACAGCTGTCTACGCAAGATACTTCAGATCCGATGGCCAGACACTATCAGCAATTAGTTACTGTGTGAGAGAACAAACCAGATTTTAGCGGAGGAAGAAATCAGGAGGAAGCGCTGGAAGTGGATTGGGCACACTTTGAGGAAATCAGCTAATTGAGTCACAAGACAAGCCGTCACATGGAATCCTGAAGGTCAACGGAGAAGAGGAAGACCAAAGAACACATTACGCCGAGAAATAGAGACAGACATGGGAAGAATGAACAAGAACTGGATAGAACTAGAAAGGAAGGCCCAGGACAGATTGAGTGGGTTGGAGAATGCTGGTTGGCGACCTATGCTCCATTGGGAGTAACAGGCTTAAGTAAGTAATTAAGTATATAGAGACGTTTTTGTTACAATCGGTTTATGATCAAAGGATTTGAGTTTTAGTTATTGAATTACATATCCCAACCGCTCTTCATATGCTTCGGTTTAGACAGTCGGTTCACATGTATATTCCTTACATAAAATGTGTGGATGGAGAATGCTGGTGAGCGGCCTATGCTCTTCGACGAGGAGTAACAGGCGTAAGTAAGTAAAGTAATGCGTATAATGTTATAAATAATTTCAATGTTATGTAGTTAACCAATACCACTTAGTCTGAATCTCTAGACAGTTGTACAATATTCAAGATCCTATGATTCTTGGAATTATTTTCATTTCAGATATGGCATAATGAATTAAAATCTATGCAAACTCTACTTAGAACTATTTCAAATGGTCGTTGCTTTACTACTGTTACTGCTGATAATACTACTACTACTACTGACAAAACAAAAATCGAAAATGATGTTAAACAACTGAAGCTGAAAATTGAACAACAATGTTGCCATTTAATAAAAAAGAAAACAGAACTGACCAGTAAAATTAATCAGGTGACTTTTCCGAAAAAATAATTTTTAATATCCAGCTAATTGGTTGGAGACTCCAATGTTTGTTATTCATGATTTCAGGATGGTTTATTTAATTGTCCAATCAAACAATAAGCACAGCATGCACATATGCCAATTAGAGACTGACCAGTTGCTGTCCTAACACATCGATGGGAAGATTCAAACAAACAATACTAAGTTGAATTTAAACTTCACCCCATTGCACAAGAAAGTGGCTATCAGAACTCAGTGGCCGAGTGGATAACGCGTTGGCGTCTGAAGCGAGGGTGCTGGGTTCGAGTCCCAGAGGGAACATCAAATTTGAGATGCAGATACATCTAGCTGACGAGTCCCAAATAGGACGTGACGCGCGTCCTGGATTCCACTGCTAGCCACTATCCATCTTCGCTTACTATCTTTTGGATGCTTAAAAGTGTTGAGATGAAATCTTGTATTTTTACCACTTAGTAATGTTTTTGAAGGTTATTAGATAGTTCAAATCCGTTCAAATAAATATTGGGGAACAGAGAGTGTTATACAAGTAATTTTCCATTCTATTCGTAAGTTCACTTCATCTGGAGGTCCACAATCCTTCTTGAAACAGTACGGATAATTTTAGGGTTATCCCCTGAATATGTTAGCCTTTGAATGGTCGAGTTTGATATGATTGCTTTATATATCTGAAAAGTAAATAAGCTACGATGATAGTGTAGGAGCCAAAAGTATTTTACGAAATCAAAGTGCTTCTTATCTTTTCTCCCACTTTAATCTTAGCTAGTCAGATAGATACGTATATGTTAATATTTTGAATAAATGAAATATAATCCATTTCAAAAAAATTGTCGGATTGATATTACACTGGCATTATAAGCAAAAATGGATATTGGCTAACAGTGGAATCCAGGTCGCGCTTTTCGTCCTATTCAGGACTCGTCATTTGGATGTACCTGCGTCTCAGAGTTGATGTTCACTCTGGGACTCGAACCCAGTACCGTTCGCTTCAAACGCCATCGCGTTATCCACTCAGCTACTGAGTCCTGATAGCCACTTGCTTGTGCAATAGGGTGAAGTTTGAATTCCAGCTGACGATTCCCAAATAGGACGAAACGCACGTCCTGGATTCCACTGCTAGCCACTATCCATCTTTGCTTATAACGTTTGTGAATTAAGGCAATATCGAGGCAGTTTGAACAGTATTCACATATGCCAATAAGCGACTGATCAATTGCAGTCGTAAAAATCAATGGGAAGGTTCAAACAAACAATACCAAGTGAATTAATATTACACTGGTTTAGAACGTTATTTTTTAAAGTTACATTTTAAGGTTATTAGTCCCTTTTATAAACTTCGATAGAACAATTAGAAGACAGATTTGATCTGAAAAATGTTATGTATTTGCACTATACATTTCGGACAATCTGATCACATATACTAGTCAAGGCATTTTATATGGGAATAATAAAGGTCAATTATTCTTTCTATACGATATAAAATGTTTCTCTCGCCTTAGTTACTTTTTTCACTTGAACTTTCATTTAATTGACCTTTATTATTTTTATATAAAATACCTTGATCAGTATATGTGTGACCAGATTGTTCGAAATGTATAGCGCAAATATATCATACTTTTGTGATCAACTCCGTCTTCTAATCGTTCTAAAGATAGATTGTCAAAAGTCTGATGTCATTTGAATAAATCCAGTGATTTGTAAACCGTTGTCATATTATACAACACCCGCACAAGTATGTTCTATAAACCAGAAAAATCTCCTTCTAGTGATCAGGTGAACATAGAATGTCTAAAGCTTCTTCGGAGGAACAATGACATATGAGTTAAACCAAGTGACAAATTATTTAATAACACCGTTGATGACAGTGGATGAAAATTGTGACCCATCTTAAAATGTGAATGGTGTTGGAAATGTTAACTTTCGTATTTCAACTCACGGACGGCTCAGCGGTATCGTACTCATCATGTGACCTGATGATTCTAAGTTCTACTTATGTGTTAAAAAAAGACGAACTAGCTCCCCTCTGTTTTATAATTTTCAATGATTTTTCAGCGATTGAATAAAATTTAGAAATTAAATAACAGTTGATCACAGTTTGTTGAAGTTTAGTTTTGGAGGTCCATAATTGTGACCCTGAAATCTTTAATCTTAGCCATGTGACAAAAAACTTTGACAATATTAGTAGGATTCAGATCGTGAAATTCTATACTACTGAAGAGTCTCAATGTGGGAGAAAAGTACCTATTATTTACTTTGTATAACTCCCAATGTTTTTTATAATTATTGTGAAACAGTTCTAAAAATCATTTCAACATAGACTAAGCTACTGTAAATCAGTATTTCAAACCCTAATCTCATTATCAACATTACATACTGCTGCGTCAACATTGAAGAACTACTTACGTACAGTTTTTATCTGTGCTCTATGCTTCTCAATTTTTTTTGACTTCTAGCAAGCAGCTATTCGCATATCGATGAAACATTTTGTAAGCTTATTTGTTGTAATTACTTAGAATAAACTTTCTAAAAGAAATGTTTATACATCAGTATGCTGACGTTTTTTCCTCATCAACACAACATCAACAAATCCATCAAAAATTTGCACTTTATATGTTGTTGTCTATGGTGATGGCATTTATTACTGTTGTGATAATCGTTATTGTTTTATTACACGCACGTTTTTGATGACAATATCCACATCACATTGTCTAGTATAATAATAAACAGCACTTGCAAAATCATTCTCTCTACCGTGGTAATCGGTATAGAAGTGTATTTTTAGCTGAACTCTGATTGAAACCTTTCAAAAATCTGGAAACCACTTTCTAATTTCTTCTTATTTTTAACAGTTGAAATTACGAGTCGACCTACGCTAGACCACTATTGAAAACCTGGAATTACTAAACGGTTTTGTACTCTACATATTCTCAACATTCCTCTCTTGAATCTTACATAACTATTATAATACTGACCTTTTATCTAGATATTTTTTAAGTTCCTTCTTTTTATATATAGTGCAATGTTTCAATTGTTTGATTTTCCGAACAATTGCCTTGATTATCATAATTTTCTTTCTACCAATTACTCAATCTAATTATTATGTAACTCAACTACTCGGTGGGTATTATTTCATTGTTGTAAATCATATATATTTATTAGTATAGAGCCATGATAAGTAACTATTTGAAAAGAAATTTCTTTATTTGAACATTTAGTTATGTATTTATTTATCTTGTAGGAAAATAAACTACAATCTTCAATTACTGCTTATTCTGTTTGGTTAAGTCAACTGAATGATAAATTAATAAAACTTACTAAACCAAATAATTTAACGTTGGATACAGTGAAGAATACGTGGGAAGAATTTGAGGTAGATTCTTCTTTTGTTGACTAAATTAGTTAATTTTGTAAATTTATTGTGAAATTTCAGAGACTCCTCCTCGAAGTAGGTGGAGTTTTGTTTTCGAAGTTAGGTGTTTTGATCGTGGAACTTTCATTGTTTTTCTGAACAGTATCAGCACAAACTTCTACTGGCTTAGAGAACAAAACTCCACCAAAATTATCTGCCTAAACTATAAATCTTCTCTACCATCCCACCTCAGTGCAATGTTTTGATATTATATATTTAATCTTAAAACGTCTAGCTTGGACCTCAATACTTATATGTCTATTATATATGTATGTATGTATGTAACAGTGAAATGTATATGATCACTACTAGTTCTCTGGAAATCAATAAACGTTTTCTATGTTGACCAAAATCTAACTCCATCATATCACTACATAAATATATTCATGATTACACGATGACTGATAGTAGTTTGAATTTCCGATAGGGTACAAGTTTCATTTCATCCGTATACCACGCATACTAGTACCAACTAAAAATCATAACTAATTATGCTAACATTATTTTCAGTAGTCTCTATAGAACATTCATAGTGATAACTTAATTATCGTAAAATCAGTACTATAGACTTTAGCTAAAGATAATTTTCTATAGTTAAACATTTAAATACTGTTGATAATCCAGTCAATTACTTACTTACTTACTTATGCCTGTTACTCCCAATGGAGCATAGGCCGCCGACCAGTATTCCCCAACCCACTCTGTCCTAATCCAGTTAATTAAGGTTGAAATATAACTTAACATTCGTCTATAATAGTTTTCCCATCATTAGTATAAAATTCATCGGGAATTTTCTGCATATGATATTGTTCAGAAAGACAATGAAAGCTTTAAGAATAATTCATCCAGCTCAGAGATTGAAACTTCATCAAAATTCTACACTTATTCTAGTTCTCTGCATAGTTTTATTCTAGTTAAATAGCTCAATGTATATATGGATTATTTTATTTTATTTAAACACATAAATATTGGTACAAGGAAGCACCAGATACATATGCGCCGCACAAATGTCATTCGATTTGTGTGAGGGCTGTGATACTGCCCAGATGACCAAACTGAAGCAGGTGGCTTTCTTAGGGGACCACAACCGGAGCCTTTGACCTAAAGGTCTAACCCACAAGGCAGTGGAGCATCTTGAGGAGATGTAGTTCCATGGTAGCCGATGACCAACGATTGACTCATGCGCCATTTCTTTCTTCAGGATACTAGAACCCATTCGCACCATTGGTTTGGAATCAGGGTTTTCCAACTCCCCTAGGTGGATTCGCCGTGTCCACCAACCCGGTTAAAGCGCCTGAAATTCACTTTTCGTCCTCTCAATTTCGTCAATGACAGTAATGCCACGAGAAGTCAGTGAGTGGGACTTCCCTGTTAGAGGCTATATATTCGCGTGGCCATGTGAGGGCATTTCGAGAGGGAGGGTGGTCTCTCCCCACTCTCGGCCGTACCAGGGCATTAGGGGGCGTATATATGTATACATAATTCCTATTTTATTTCTCCAATCTTTACGCTTCACCAAAACTATTATTATTATTATTATTATTATTATTATTATTATTATTGTCAACAAACAGGATTGGAATTTAAAATCACAAAAGGAAAGCAACTTACGGATAAATAATTTAATAAAACAACTACCTGATTCAATATTCTATGGCATTTTTAAACAAGATAAATCATCGTTTACAAATATTGAAGATTTCATTCTGTTGAATAATATGAAAATGATTAATGAACTGTATAGTCAACAATTACTTTCATTAGGAAATAATACAATTAAATCTCGTCTAGAATTAAATATTCTACGTATATTAAGACAATACATCAAATTTCATTTGCAAAGTTTAGAATCCAAAAAATTATGGAAAGTTCATTTGCAGTTTATAAAATACTTTACAACAAATATACAAAGATTACAATTATTATTTGATGAAATTCAAGTTAGTTTATTAAAACTTTATAGACCTTCAAAATTAGTTGGACGTTGTACAGAACAATTGAATAGTGTAAAGGTATGTCAAGCACTTCTGGTACAATTCAATTCTATTTTAAAGTTGCTTTATAGAGACTTATTTTTGCTTAAGTATAGATATCTAGAATTTTGATTGGCAAATGTTTCATATATCATACATTGTTAAACATTATTAGAGTTAAGTGGTTGGAAGTAGGTAGCACGAAACGCTACATCTAGGTTTCGTGTTAGCTGAAAATTTTGAAAGAAACCGATGCTCTCTGTGGAATCGAGACCCTGGTCTCTAAGTTTCATAATCTGACACTTCATCGTTGAGCTCTTTGATTTTGAACTGGCCGCCTATATTAATGAGATATTTCCAATTTACTGACCACTGAGTAGGGACCAATGTTTAGTCCTTTTTGGTGCTGATCGAATTTTGTTGGTCATATAGGTATGTGCTCATTGGTTTTAGTGGCTCGAAATCCCATGCATTATGTTGAGTTGTCAGATACTTGAAGTTTGAATTTCTCTAATCCTCTCTGATACTGGAATTCGGACTTATACAGATCATGATGTTATGTTGAAGAATGAACTTTACTCCACCATAATGTTTTTGTAGATATTAATGCTAAGGTTGTACTTTATAGCTTCAAATGAATTGAGTATTGTGTAGAAAGTCAATAATAGATGTTTTGTAACGTCCCAATCAGTAGAAAATTGCATTTCTGATGTTTTGTGACTTATTATAAGCCACTTCAGAGTAAATAAATAACCAACTTAGATTAACACAAGTTTAACTAATACATAGAAACTATTTAAACCTGTATTAATTTTATTTCGGTTATTTATGTACTCTGAAGAAGTGGTTTACACTAGGCCAAAAAACGTCAGTTATACAATTTTCTACTCATATCACAACAAAAAAGTATATACACTTAGAATTAATTGTTTGAATCTTCCTATTGATGTTTTTGGACTGCAACTGGTCAGTCTCTAATTGGCATATGTGCATACTGTGCGTATTGCTTCGATATAGCCTATATCATCAATGGGAAGATCCAAACAAACAATGCTAAGTGAATTTCAACTTCACCACATCGCACAAGCAAGTGGCTATCAGGACTCAGTGGCCAATTGGATAACGCGGTGGCGTTTGAAGCGAACTGTACTGGGTCCGAGTCCCGGAGTGAACATCAAATCTGAGATGCAGGTACATCCAGCTGACGAGTCCCAAAGAAGTATATATATATATTTATTATCCACTATGAATGGTTTTGAATGTATTCACAAATTAATTTCAAGCAAGAAATGATATTTGCATTATGTTCCGTTTACTCATAGATGCACTGATTGTTCCTTTGGTATAGTCTTCCACCTCCAACGTTGTTTACAGTTTATTGGAAATTGATGTTACTTCTAACAGCACTAATATTAATTGTCTTTATAACGCTTTATTTTTGTAGAATGCTATTCAAGAACTGAAAACCCACGAAAGATTAGTAATTAATCTTTACAATTCTCTACCATTAATCAAATCTCTATGTCATCCCATAGAAGTATCACAGACAGTAGCCACTATTAATACAATGAAACACAATTTTACAAGCCTCATGCGTCGAGCAATAGAACGGCGAAAAATTCTCTCTCAAGCTTTGAAAGAAGATACAAGAGTAAGTAACTTGTGACTATAAACATGTATTAAAATTAATTATACTAGGTAATTGTATAAACCGTAGGGTAGTTGAATAGGATTGAAACTTATGATTTGCTGCTTGACAGTTTTTCTAGGCTGATAAGTCATATATTTCATGTTATGCTCATGAATTTAATTGAAATTGTGTTATTTAGTTTTCTAACCGTGATTAGAAATTCTGTGAGTTTCTTCAACTTCCAGTTATGCAGTAAGTTGGTAAAAGGTGCCTATTATTTCTTTAAGGCTGTTGCGAACACTGCTGTATTAAGGTCACAATCCAAAACTAGGAATTAAAATCAAGGGAGCTAACTATTATGTAACTTTTAATTATATTAAGAGAGTAATTTTATTTTGATAGAGCGATGTCCACTGAAGTCTCCAGTTATACTGAGATTACTTTACAGTATGAATAGGAGGCATTTTCGTGGTACATTCAGAGGTGATTGTTGCGCATACTTTTAGATTGCCATTTCTTGTCCGTAAAACATATGTTCTAGTTTTTTTTATAAGGCGCTGCTGCGTTTTTGAAGACGTCAGAATCACTGTAGCATTTGAGACAAAAGTCTTTCTTAATTGGTATTTATCTACTGAGGAGATAATATGTTCGTACCTATAACAGACATTTCAGTAGCTTATTGTTACATTGTCCATAATGGTTCGTAGGGCAATGTTCATACATTTTCGAAACCTTTTACAGATTTGTACGATTATTCTCTGCACGATAACCTTTCACTTAAAGCCATCACTTCCCGATATACTGAAAGTTACTTGATCACTTTATTTGTGGAAAAGTTTTCTTATAATCTCTTTTATTTTATATGTGTTTTTAAAAAAACATTTTCAGTTTGATGTAGCGTATTATAGTTTATTAAACTGGTTCTTAACCAAACTGAAGTTACTCGAGTCTTTTGAAATACCTACAGTATATGATGAAAACAGTCAGCTGTCACTTAAGACTTTGGTAAGTTAATAGTCAATTTATCAGTTGTCCCACAATTAATCAAAAATTTAAATTAAATATAGTTTTTAGCTTTCTAGAAAACTTATGACAAACCTTTATTTGATAGAATAATGAATTAATATCCTTGTTTTTCCATAGTTCTCTCATTTTTCAGTTGGGTGATGTAAGATGAATGTGGAAGCTATAGCAGCTCTCCTACAACCAATTGCGATCATGTTTAAATTTGTTTAACCCTTTTATTAACTTACTTAACAGATAATGTCATTCGAACAGTAACACTTCGCATATTTCTTTGTACTGTTATGATCACTAGATCACATGACAGACTCTAGCTAAAATGTCGATTGCTTAAATATAATGCGATGATTCATTCTCTTCCCCATGTATATATGTATTCGCATCCTATTATAATCCTTTGCCTTGCCTAGTTGCTCCTTATTCGATTTGGATATAAATTTGTCTCTATATGTGATCGCATACACACATTCTCCTCTCTAAGTCGAATTCGTTTGGTGTGCTTATAACTTTGTTGTCTGCGTTATCCTCTAATAAACTGTAGTCGCCGCTTCTTATTGCTTTCTGATTTTAAACACCGTTAAAATTAATATAATAACGGTTATCAAGGTGATTGAGCCGCAACGAAGCAACAAGTTTCTGTATTATCTTAGATTAATGTTACATTAACTCCGTGAATTGATAAATATTGTTATGATGGTGGCAATTTATGAGAATATGCTTTATCGGTATTTCTGTATAGTGTTGAGAATTGCCTTTTTTGTCCAATCAAATAAACTGAACACGTTTATGATTAAAACATGTGTTCAGATTCAAACTTGTCTCGGATGGTTTATATCGTTTATCTGGAAACATTACAAAATTCTCCATTTATTACAATTGTGACTGATGACAATGGAAGTGTAAATATCACTAAGACTTCTTCACTCAAATGACTCACAAATAACAAACGAATTAGTTTTGCCTAACACATCTAATAAACTACATTTTCATAGTGTCATAACTCAACAGGAATGTTGTCCACCTATTCTTTGTCGGTCATGAAAATCCTATCTAAGCTGTTAATCATGAGTATAATGTTGTTTTTTTTAAAAAAAAACCTTTTCACTTTCCAACAGTAATTATCACTGAGACAAATACTGTCTGATTACATTTAGAAAAATTTCTCAGTTCTTTAGCAAAATCTTGAACGAATTTCATTTGGTTACTAATGAGTAACTAAGCTCTCATAGTTCTCAGAACTGATAGATTACAGTTGATCAATTTCGTATTAAATCTATTAAGTAAGATAACATAACAAACACTTCACTTCTACCCGAAGTTTGTGCTGATGATGTCGTTCAGAAGGACCATGAAAGCTCCACGACCAAACCATCCAGCTCAGAGAACAAAACTCCATCAAAATAAACATGCGTCATATTTAATACAATCGGTCTTTATTTGTTACAATCGATCTGATCCTACTAAAGATTATTTTGTGACCCGTTCACCTCACTCATAACATAAATGACTTCTATACTAAATGATACCAGTCTGAATAATTTACACACAGACCTACGAAGAGTAATTTAATTCATTGTTGAATATCAATAACAAAAATCACCCTGATAAATAATAAGCCTGTTAGAAACGAAACTACAGGGACAATAAAAATATTAAGTAATTAAATTTAAGTTGAATAAAATGTATGGAAGTGATTAATGAACACGGACTTCTGAAAATAAAACTTATCGTTGTTTATTTATGATCATATACATGAAAATGAGCCCCCACAGATTCATCGCCTAAAAAAAACAAGCACTCTGTTACTCGAACTCAGTATCATTCGCTTCAAACGCAATCGTGTTATCCACTCGGTCACTGAGTCCTGATAGCCACTTGTTTGTGCAATGGGGTGAAGTTTAAATTCAATCAGTACTGTTTGTTTGAATCTTCCCATTGGTGTTTTTAGGACCGCAACTGATCAGTCTCTAATTGGCATATGTGCATACTGTACGTATTGCCTCGATATAGCCTAAATTCACAAGCATGGTAAGTAAAGATGGATAGTGGCTAATAGTCGCAGTCCTAAAAACATAAATGGGAACATTCTAACAAACAATACTAATTGAATTTATATCCTATGTGTTTAACTTGATACATATGTGTAAATACTATTTTAAGCTAGCAGCTTGAAAATATTTATTGACAATTTCATTTCTAACTTTTTATTTTAACATATTTTCATAGCATAGAGAATTTCATCAACAACAATCGGACTATCATTTAGTGTTGAGAATGGGCAGTAATCTACGTGAACGTTGTACATCTACAGATCCAGAAAAGAATATTCTAAATGAGATGCTTGAAAAACTTCAACTTATTAAAGGGAATTATGGAAAACGTCTGTCGAAGTGGTAAGAATCAGTTTAACAATCACTGTGCATTGTGTATATTCGTATTTTATGATGCATTTTGTACTTGAAAACTTAAACAATGACTTTCTAACTGTGTCCTGGTTGTTAACTTTCAAAATCCGAGCATAAATTAAGAGAGAAAGTAGTGTGAAAACAGTTTTAATCCGATGGTTAGTTAGTGCAGACAAAATTACGGTATGCATGTGTTTATGTGTGACGTTGAGATTTTAGAAGCCTGAAAGTTGATAAGTATCCAATTAGGATATGAAACAATCAGCCGTTTTCTAGGATTCTCTAGGGTGGTTCTATGGAACCCTGATTAGATAAAATATACTGAACATTCTTTCAGCGTCTGAAACCCTTTTCAAGGAACTACTGAAGGCTCTCAATATTTCGTTAGTTTGAATTATGCTACGTATTTTGCTTTAGAGAGTATCAATGCATGATCATAATTTTCATTAACGTATAGTCTATTATACGTTAAAATATCTAAGTTCACAAATACATCATGATCAATGATGAAACAGTTGATTAGCTTATCTCTAGTGAATTGTACAGTGAATCATTAGGGGAAACTTTATGGAAACTTCATACCCAGCATAATTGTAGTTCATTTTAGTACATAGTTATATTAAAAACGGGATAAATGTCCACTTTAATTATATATATATGACTGATAAGATATATGATATTTATTATTAATCAAATGTTATGTAACGATGTCACGAAGATTATGCACACTTTAAAGATATTCTTCATCATAAACTAACATGAGTTGAAGAATCATTGAATATTGAAGAGTATTGGATAGCTATTTGAAGCATACTAATAACCCCACATTTAGTCAGACTTAGGCCTGTTAATATTTATGCATACAGAGATGTCAGCTCATCGGTCTCTATGGTAGAATGATTATACGCAGGAGAATCAGAAAACGCAATGAGTTCACATGCAAAAGGGTTGATGTATCAATTACATAGATAGTTGTAAAATGATTGTTTTCTTATTGGAGGATAATAAGGGATTATTTAATTCACAATACTTGGGGCCTTTTAAAACAATTAAACATATTGATAAGTCTTGTCGATTGAACGCTATATTCGTTTCCTAAGCTAATTTCGTAACCCCAGGCTTGAACTACTCAGCGACTTGAACATCAGAGAGAAGACACAAGTATGCGAGAAACACTTTATTGCAAGGTTCAATCTTGTACAGAAAATCATAGGTATTTATCGATGTTAGCGTGTGTTAAATCAACATCCTATTTCAGCCAATCCATTGACGACATATTATGCTACCGACCAATAGTAACACGCCACGTTGGAACTCTAGAATATTCCATCATACCCTGATTAACTGGGTTTCTTCGGCTCCTTTTTGGGCCTCTGGAGGTTACGTCGAAATTCTCCGGAAGCCGACTCAACACATATATGTAACATATTGTTTACATTTTAAACCACATTGTCTTTTACGGGACCTGGTGATACTATTCAGCCATTCAAAGTAAGTCAGGTGGAACGGAAGTCCAAACTGTAATCTGCTAGCTGAGTACCTTGAGTAATAATAAAGTTCATCTGAAGAATTTTGTCGAGATTGAAAAGAAATTACCATTGATTATTATCTGTATTAATTTTACTAACTTGAAAAATAATGTGTATCTACTTCTTTACACCTGTTTCATCATAAATGCAAACAACTTGTACTTTTTAAAAATCTAAGCATTAAATTATTATCAATATAAGTTTGTTGAGACTGTTGAGTTTAGACTGATATCATAAATCGATCAATGTTAAATCACCATTGAAAATCTGGAAACACTAGACGACCGTTTCATCCTTGTGTTAGACTTCTCAGCTATGCGAAAAATGAACTTGTCATGTAGTTTTTAAATGTATTTCATTAATTAACACTTTTCAGAGTTCTCTCTTCACAATTGTGTTATATTTAACCTATAGTAACTTCAAGTTTTATTTACTATTTAAACAGATAGTTGAATATTAATATTCCCATGTCAACCTTAATTTCTTCTTTTCACATCTTTATTATTATTATTATTACTATTACAGTGTGTTCAATTAATCCATCTTTATACAACCCCATTATATTAGTAGTAAATGTCTCAAATATGTGGGTAAGAAAATTTCACTACAGTAGAAAAATTTATGTTTTATAAATGAATGTGATGTGAATACTTATTTATTTCGGAAGGATTTTTTTTTGTAGAGATTTAGTATTTTCATAGTTGAAAGCGTAAGTCAAAATTGAAGCTAGACCATCAAGGAAAACCTGGAAGCACTGGATGGCCATTTCGTCCTATTGTGGGAATGCGCACTGCTAAGGAGTCCCACAATAGGACGAAACGGTTGTCCAGTGCTTCCAAGTTTTCCTTGGTAGTCTAACTTTAATTGACTTACGCTTTCAACTATGAGAATATTTATTTGTTTATTTGGTACTTTTAGATTTTATATTTGTTTTAATGAATGTGATTTTTTTTTTTGTTTGTTTGTTTAATTACTGCATCTTATCCTATTTATTTATCAGAAGAGGTGTTTCTTATTTTGTGGAAACTTTTCATAAATATGCATGTCACATAAACAAAAATTAGTATTTTACACATATTTATATATTGATGCACGATATGTAGATAAACTATAGAAAAAAAAAACTTAAAAAAAAAATTTTTTGTTTAGAAATTAATGAGCACTTTTGTTTACTCAAAAAGAAGAAGTATTCTGTGTCGTATTTATTTTTTTACTGTTTACAAGTTGGTAAAAATCAACTTTCATAATTCGTGTATTTGAAGTTGTTTTTCTTATTAAAAAAAAAAATTATCAGAAGGGTTTTTTTTGTGGAGATTCCAGTATTTTCATAGTTGAAAGCGTTAGTCAAAATTGAAGCTAGACCATCAGGGAAAACCTGGAACCACTGGAAAGTTTTCCCTGGTGGTCTAGCTTCAATTGACTCATGCTTTCAATTATCAAAATATGACTAAATAACTTTTGAAAACTGATGGGCACTAATAAAGTCCAACATAGTTTTTGATCATTATATGGATATCATTAATTTGAATCGATTATGGAATATCACAAACTGAGTGCTGTTAGAGAGATGCGAAACATTGTATACCAACTTAGTCACAGATACTTAATGCAGTTACCATGATTGTTGACTTTCCTAGTGTTGTGATAGATTACTGATGAGGATATGAAGTCAAGTAGTAGGACGTGAAAGTTATTCAAATCTTTCTGGTTTCTATAAGCATGGGGTTGCGGAGATGGCTGAGTTTTTGATTGAGATCATGAATCGACAAATGTTGCTCATTCTTTAAGGGTGTAAATTTTACCTTACCTCTGGCTATTTCGAGTCCCTTTAGGTTTAGACACCCAGGTCTTATCAGTAGTTTGTGCACAGTAAATGTGTTTAACTCACAGTCTATTGTATGGTTGATAAGTTATGCTATTATTACATAATATGTGAAATAAATGAATTTATGATTAACGTTTTACTCCCTTTTATTAATTTATACTAGCAATTAGATAGTGTTTAGATTAAACAATGGGAAGCAAATACAGTGTAGTTTAATTTTTGTTTTATATTAACTTTTCCATTACATTCTTTATTATTAAGAATTCCTTAATAATTAATGGATTGTTATTTATAGTTGAAATCATTAGTCATTTAAAGCCAGACCACCGTGGAAAACCTGGAAGCACTGGTAGGCCGTTTCGTCCTATTATGAGACTCCTCAGCAGTGCGGATCCATGATCCCGACTCGCGAAATTTGAAGTTAGATTTCATCATGAAGTGAAATAATTTGTAGAAGGACAATTGAAAACCAGGACAAATTCAATGGTTATTTCATCCTAATCTAAAACTTCACTAAATAAAAACGACTAGCCATCGGTCATCTGTTGTCACTCAGTATTTTTTCAGATAGACATAATTGATGGTTTTATTGGAAAGCTATCTTTATTCATTATACACTCATTGCAATCCCTCTGTATCGATTCATTTCATTACAACAATAATAGCGAAACGTTTTCAGAAAATGAAATTAATATATTCCCTATATGTACTATATAACTGATATGATATTCAAAGATGGATTTGATATAGTTATCAAAAAACATGCATACTTCCACTTGTTTTCAGAAGTTTGTACTCAATATTTTTCTTAGATTTATATGTTAAGTCTTCATTTTATTAAGTAGTAATTGTGATATAAGTCGGTCTATATCCTAGTTGAACACTTTAAATAATTTAAGTCCTTTGATAATAAAGTAGCTTAAACGACATCCCACTACTAGCCACTATCTATATTTGCTTATCATACTTGTGAATTCAGTCTATATCGAGGCAATACGCACATTATGCACATATGCCAATAAGAGACTGACCAGTTGCAGTCTTAAACATCAATAGGAAGATTCAAACAAACAATACTAAATGAGTTTGCTTTATTGTTAGTGTTCGGAACTGAATTTATTCTATCTGCACTCGTATTTTGTCTCCTTGAGCGTATTGCTTTATATTGCTTGCATATGTTAAAGTGATTTTACTTTAGACACTGACGGTGGTGGAATCCTCCAGGACGCGCGTTTTATCCTGCTCAAATAAATACCTCGCTCATTCAACACATTCGTAGCTATCATGACTCCGTATCCCAATGGACAATAGGCTAACATTTGAAGTGACATGTATTTGACTTGTCTCTTATTGTGAAAATCAGCGCTAAGATGCAGATAAATTTAACTATGATAAGTTCTAGAATATAATGAAACGTGTGGTTCATGAAGCCTAGTGGTTGCTTATACCTAAAATGCAAATCTTTCATATATTTATTCTGTATTGAATATTTGTAATAAATAAAGAATATATCTTCACGATAAAATTTTCACAGCCTATGGTTTGTGAATTGTATTGAAAGAAAGTCATCTACGCAGACTTCAGAGATGAGATATGCTCTTTTATACTTATTCTGTGTTAACTGAAGGAATGATTGGATAGTGGCTAGCAGTCGAATCCAGGACGCGAGTTTCGTTCTATTTGGAACTCGTCAGCTGGATGTATTTGCATCTCAGAGTTGATTTTCACTCTAGGACTTGAACCCAGTACCTTTCACTTCAAACGCCATCGCTTTCTCCACTCGGCCACTGAGTCCTGATAGCCACTTGCTTGTGCAATGTGGTGAAGTTGAAATTTACTTAGTATTGTTTTCTTGGATCTTCCCATTTAGACTGACCAGTTGCAGTCCAAAAACATCAATGGGAAGATCCAAACAAACAATACTATGAAGGAATGATTGTTATTTTTAAGGCTAATTTAAGCAATTGGTTTATGATATTTTCATAGTGAAAAAAGTCATTTTATTTTGTTTCACCCAATAATCCTTGTCTACATGTACTGTGTTTTATGTTTACCTGTCATAGTCAAATTCAAATCAGTGAAATGTTAATTACAAAACGAAATCCTAAATCTGCTCTATCTCGCTTAAATGAATGGTTACAAACGATCGAAGAACATTTAGGCATTGAAAATACTCCTAACATTAAACATAATACTAATACTAGTACCACTACTGTCAGTAGTTCTATTAAACCATCGGGAAATAATCAAAGTGAAACCGACAATTTAAAACACTCATTAACAACTACTGTTACAGGATTGTTGGATAATTTAACTGATCCAGCTCAGTATACCATGTCTATTTTCAATAATAAAGAATATGAAAGTATTGTTTCTGTTTTGGGTGATATAATATTTGTTCAATCATTAAATTCAAATCACTTGGTAAGTAGTAGTATCGAAATATAGAATTATTTTTAAAAGAAGTCATTCAAATGTCTAATGACAACTGTTCTATAAATAAAAATATGAAGCCTGGATGGAATGTAAATCTTCTCACTAGTTTAAAACAATTAGTCTTTTTGATAAATTTCGATAATGCAATAAGAAGACGAAGTTTAAAAGAATTATATTTTGCATTTGACGTTAACAAGTTCATCTAACTCCTTTGTGTAGGGAGTCTTCTTTTCAGAAATTTAAAACAATCAGTCCCTTTGATAAATTTTGATAATACAATGAGAAGACGAAGTGGCGAGACTATAATTTATGGTCGACCTTTGGACGAATCTTAAGTGACCTTGAGAAATGTTAGCCAATCAGTAAACAGTCAGCATAGAGTAAAAATATATTATACAAAATCAAATAATTAAAGTGAATACATCTCTTTTATATGGTCCAAAAACTTGTCAAGGTTAGAAAAAGGTTCCAAAACCGTAATGCATAAGGTAGAGGAATTCATCCATATGGCTCCGTAATAGCTGGTCTCTGGAGCCATGATCAGGTCACAAAAACCCCCTCAGCCTCGACCAAATAGCTTCATTATTGTTTGTGTGTACTACGGTTGTGTAATTTTATCATTTTTATGATGGATATGTCCCTACAATACTCATACTACTGCATAGACGAAGCTTCAGTAACATCTGCGATTATTGCAGCCGATGTCACTGGTGCTTTTATTATAGAGTTTGCGACAATCATTATAATATGCCTTAGCCTCAGTCTGGATCGACCGATAAAGTTCCCTATCTTAGCAAACGTCTTTCTTCAACATATATTACATCGATGGACAACATGACGGTAGTCTGCACAAGGTCTACAAGTCATCTAATTACCGAAATTACATATACAGGAACTTCTTAGTAGTCTCATTTGCTGTAGCCGCTTAATTGCCAAGTCTTCTCTAAAATCTTCTGTGAACCGAACGTACATGAGCGTCAGGTACTGAAATTGGCTCCATGACCTCGAAATCCCTCAAACGCTTCTGATTGGCTCGTCCATAAATTATAGTCCCGCCGACGAAGTTTATCCGAATTATGATAAACTTCATCTCACTTAACATATATGTTCAGTAATCTTTGTCAATACTGTTTATGTGCTACTTATTGGTGTCATGATATTTGCGTACGTAATTGGACAATAATGATACAACTCTTGAAAAGATATTTTATGCGAAACGTACTTTTTTTAGTTATCATTGCTAGAATTTCAACAAAGAGTTTTAAATTACTATTCAGCTATCGAAGACATCTACTTCACATATTGTTTATATCCGTAAAATGAAAAGTGACAACTTATTCAGCCATCACTGGTTTGTAGGTAAATCTAGCTGATCAGTCCTAAACAGGTCCAAATGTGATCATACCGCTAGACACAATAAATATACAAAAGAACTATGTTGAAGCAATCAGCTTAGGATACCTATGTGACAACACAGATTAGTCAGTCGTAGTCCTAAATATTAGCAATCGGAAATCACAAACCCTTAGAAACTATTTGTTTATATTATAAAAATTCATTTTCTCAGTCATATTATTCTTATAATCAAGATTCGAATTAATTTTTTTTTTCGTTCAAAAAAACATAAAACGAAAGATATTAGCTGAAGATTTACGAGAACATGAAAAATTATATCAGATACTTGTAAAAAGTGATCATAACAATAATGATGAGTTCCTTGAACTTACACATCGTTTTGTACGATTAAAACAAGCGTTCAATCTACGTGGAAAATGTCTTCAAGTAAGTAGTATAAAATCTTTCCAGTGTTTTTTTTCTTTTATTAGCAAAATGATCTATTATTTTTATTTATTTAAACACATAAATACTGGTCCAAAGAAGCACCAGATACATATGCGCCACACAAATCTCATTCGATTTGTGTGAGGGCTGTGATACTGCTCGGCTGCCCAAACCGAAGCAGGTGGTTTTCTTAGGTTGGAGCCACACCCGGAGTCTTTGACCTAAAGATCTGATCCACAAGACAATGGAGCATCGTAAGGAGATGCAGTCCTATAGTAGCCGGTGACCAACAATTGATTCATACGCCATTCGTTCCCTCAAGATACTGGAGTCCATGAGCACCATTGTTTTGGAATCAGGGTTTTTCAACTTCCGTAGGTGGACTTTCCGTGTCGACCAAGCCGGTTAAAGCTCCGGACATTTGCTTTTCGTCCTCTCAATTCTGTAAACAACACCCCCTTTACGAGAAGGCAGTGAGTAGGACTTCCCTTGGTCGAGGCTATATACGCGTGGCCATGTGAGAGAATTTCTAGAAGGAGAGCGGACTCTCCCCATTTTCGGCTGTTACAGGACATTTGGGGGCGATCTATTATTAAAAATAAATCAAGACGTCGAAATCTTTCCTTAAGATTTTTATTTCAATTCAATAAGATGCATATTGTTGCAATCAATGTTCATAGATTTAATATTCTATGTTTTCTGGATAACAACAGATATGACTAAACTGACTTATGAGATATTAGCTTATTCCAATACACACAGAATGTAGTGAGATCCAGATGACAAACTATTTGATAGTTTGTTAAATGTCATAGATTTCAAGTGATATGTTATTTTAAGAAATGGTGTAAACCAATTTATTAATTATTGATCTAATTCTAAGTAGAAACTGCTGGTTGGGTTTTGATAACTGAACACTTTGGATTATAAATCCCATTTGTTTTTATTTCCCTTTGAATGTCGATAGTGTATTAGAAAGTTGAAGGGCTTGTTCGTAATGGTTGTTCAGTTGGAAGATAATTTTTACGATGTAGTGACTCTGCATAAACAATTACCGAAAACCAGAAAGTGCTAAACTGTTTCCTCTTGTAAATGATCTCTCCTGAGCTATGCCCAAGTGCAAAAAACTTAATGAAAAGCCATGACTGGTAGAATTCAGCCGTGTTAGGATTAAGAAAATTATCCTCGATAGTATTGAATAATCGTCGCTCAATTTACTGAAGTTAGTAGTGTGAAGAACTGGATAATAATTCAGTAGTCTGAAGATTAAGATTCCAAGGAGAGGACTGCGTCATTCTGTGTTTCATCCCGGATGGAATCTTATCTAAGAATTAAGCAACTAGGTATCTTGTTGTTTAGCTAAGTGTCTACCTGTAATGTAATCTACCTTCAAACTATTATTATCATTTTAGCTAACCATTACACCTGATCTCTTCCTTCCCAAATAATATTTACAAATATTCTTTCTTCTGTCTGTATGTATTTTAGATCGCTTCCGATACTGCCTTAGAATTAAATAAAAACTATTCAAATTTAATTACATGGTTATTAGAAGTAACTAATAAATTGAATACTAACGAAATTGAACTTAGTTACGGTACTAAAAGAAAGGTAACTATCCTACAAAAACAAACATCATTTTACCATTCCACTGATCTATACAAACTGAAATTGAATATGTACACAAAAATACATCATCAACAAATTCACATCTATCGACCAATATTCAATCAATTTGTAAATGTATTAAAACGTGTACTTGCTAAATTACAAGTAGATAATAAACATGGCAAAGAGATTGTTACTGTTTATTGTTATTCGAAATGTCGAAGGCAATTCATTATTCAATATAAACAAATTGTGAATTTATGGCATAAAGTAAGTTTTTTTTTTTCATTGTTGCTTTCAACATGAAATATTAATGGTTGATGGTATACATAAAAAGCATCGTTAAATAAGTAACGGGCATTTTGACTGTCGGTTATCGAGTATATCAGGAAGTATACGGTGTGATCTTTATCAAAAACTAAAGACTTTATGTGATATCCTACAGAATCAGTTTTAATGACTCAGATTTATTCATTTGACATAGTCTTTGAAGATTAAAAGTTTCAGCACTATCTCATGTATCTTCCGGCTTTTTTCATATTTCTGTTACTTCAGCGATAAAATATTACAAGTTAGGCCGTTACACATTTGATATATATATCAGAAGGGGTTTTATGGAGATTTAGTATTTTTCATAATTGAAAGCGTGAGTCAATCGAAGCTAGACCATCAACTATGAAAAATTTGATATATTTCTTTAATAATTTTGATTATAACCCTGAAGAAATCCAGACAAGTTTGCTGGATGAAACGTTGGAATTTTTTGAATTTCAATCGCTGAGATTATTTAAACTATAATTTTCACATGTTATGACTTTTCTATACCCGGCACCCAGTTTTTGTCAAACTATTCGTTTTAATATTGACGAATGTTCGTATACGTCACACATTTTTGCCAAGGTGAGCCATTTGTTTATGATTGAATTGAGACATTATTACCAGTCACTTCGTCATCATCAATGTAAACCCTGGCACAGTTTTAAATTCACTCAAGCTATGATCTTGTAATTTCAGTAAGGCCATCAGATAAGTTAAGAGCGGCAAAACAGCAGGACCAGACAACATCCCGGCAGAGGCACTGAAAGTAGATGTCGCAGCAATTGCAAAGATACTCCACATTCTCTTCAGTAAGATTTGGGACGAAGAACAAGTACCAACAGACTGGAAAGAAGGACTTCTGATCAAAATACCAAAGAAAGTCGATCTTAGCAAGTGTGATAACTACAGGGGCATCACTATTCTCTCAATATCAGGAAAAGTCTTTAACAGGGTATTGTCAAACAGAATGAGAGACTCTGTAGAGAAACAAATTCGAGACCAACAGGCTGGATTCGATCCCAAATCTACGAATCATTGTGGAACAATCAATTGAATGGAATTCATCACTCTACATAAACTTCACTGACTACGAGAAAGCATTTGATAGCGTGGACAGGACAACACTATGGAGACTTCTTCGACACTAAAGTGTGTCTGGGAAGATGGTTAATATCATACGGAACTCCTATGACAGATTAAACTACCATGGAGAACAACTCACCGACTCATTTGAAGTAAAAACCGGTCTCAGGCAAGGTTACTTACTCTCACCCTTTCTCTTTCTCCTGGTGATCGACTGAATCATGAAGACGTCAACATCTGGAGTGAAGTACGGGATACAATGGACAGGTAGGATGCATCTGGACGATTTAGACTTTGCAGATGATCTGGCTCTTCTATCACACACGCAATAACAAATGCAGGAGAAGACGACCAATGTAGCAGAAGCAGTCTCAACGGTAGTAGGTATCAATACAAACAAAGGGAAAAGCAAGACTTCGATACAATTCATCATGCATCAATCGAATTACACTTAACGGAGAAGCTTTGGAAGATATGGAAACCTTAACATATCTGAGCAGCATCAATGGTGAACACGGTGAGTCTGATGCAGATGTGAAGGTGCGGGTCTGCAAAGCAAAAGCAGTATATTTACAACTGAAGAACATCTGCAACTCAAAGCAATTTTCAATCAACATCAGGATCAGAATTTTCAATACAAATGTCAAGACCGTTCTACTGTATGGGGCGGAGACGTGGAGAACTACGAAAACCATCATCCAGAAGATACAGGTGTTCATTAACAGTTGTCTTCGCAGGATACTTCGGATCCGTTGACCAGAAACTGTCAGCAACAAGTTACTGTTGGTGACAACAAAACAGATTCCATTCAGTGGAGGAAGAAATCAGGAAGAAGCTCTGGAAGTGGATAGGTCCCTAATTAACATCGACTGAAATTAGAGATTATTTATGTCAGAATTATTTTACTTAATAATAATAATTCTCACTTTACAGAAAGCACTACATCACTCTTCATTTATGAAACATGACCTGTAAAAGTAGAAGAAATGATTTGTGATCAAATAGTTGCGACCTAATGTCTCCAAACCAACAGTCCCAAAGTTTTATGTTTATATTTTTTGTAATAGCTGATTTCAACAACAAATGTTAACTGTTATAAGTATGACGAAAGTCAAAGCCTCAACTAATACTTTGAAAGCATAGAACTGGAAGTTTGTTCTGTGATTATTTTACACAAAACCCACTATGGTTACTATATATATCAGTCAGTCATTCACAACGTAGAACTTCGTACGTACGTACGTACATCAGTTCGAGTTGCCATACCACATTAGCACAGAGATGCAGTTGTCGATTCAAATCCCATAGTGGTAGAAGTAGTAGGAGTATAATCAGAAATCCAAAAGATTAGGGTTTGAAGAAATTATTGAAGGAGTATAGTACAGTGAAATAAATTTGGAAAGAGAAAAAGATAAAGACATGAGGAATTCAGAAGATTAGAATTTGGTAGAACACAAAGAGTGGATGCATCTTCGCCATTGCAAACGATTTTGAGCCATGTCATTCAAGGTCTCTAACCATCGGTTGCTGTCATCTCGCGAATCCCAACCAGGTAGTCTACACCTACCAGCATGGCTTAGTTCACTTGTCAGTGGCTTCATGGATTTGTGCGACGTTTTGGTCCGGCCGCCCCTAGCATTCTTCCAACCTACTCCTACACCATGAAACATTACACGTCGGGGCGGTCGGTGGTTGGACATACGTAACACGAGTCCCGGCCATCTCAACTCATGAAGTTTCACTACTTTATCAATTGATTTGCCATCCGTACCTAATACCCGTTTCCTAACAACTGCATTACGAATATCCTCTACTCTTATCGACCATGTTACACTGCTATAAAGTAGGACGGAACGAACTGCTGCACAGTAAACCCGTCCTTTAGTTGTTAGACGGATATCTCTCCTACGCCATAAATGACACAAGTTGGCGAAAGCTAGACGAGTCTTCCGTTAAAATGACTAAAATTCTAGTTTAGAATGCAAACAATTAATTGTGGTATCCAATTTTTTTTTTAAAGCAATTAAATACAATGTTGTTTTTTTTTTTACTTAATGGCTCTTTTATCTTGTTGTTATTATCTATTAGTTATTGAATAAAACAATTAATTATAGAATGATAAATCTTTACATTGTTAGTCTATTTCATTCTATGCTCCTTTGTATTGATTTATCGGTTTGTTTTATGTTGATAAATGTTTTCTATGTCATCAACTGTTCATGTTGTTACTGTATATTAATCGTTTTAACAATCTAATCATTAGAACTTTTTAATTATCACCACCTTATTAATCAACATGAATGTGTTTTATTAATTTAAACTAAAGAAATCTGAATTTTTATCAGTTTATTAGAGGAGGGGGGGGGCGATTATTTAAGATTATTTTTCAAATGATATCATGTAAATAATTATTTAATTAACAAGTTAGAAATAATATTTATTTATTTAAGAGTTCTGAAAATCGATAAACATAAATTGTACCTTTTGTTTATTTTCTTGACAAAATTATTGTTTACCATTTTGTTTAAAATCAAAATTATTAGATTCGAAAATTGATTTTTTTAGGGGGAGAAATTTTGAATAGTTATTATTTTTATGACTTTTATTATCAAATGAATTTATAACTGTTTTCTCAGTTTCCTAGATTATTACTTAATTACTTACTTACTTACTTATTTACTTACGCCTGTTACCCTCAATTGAGCATAGGCCGTTGACCAGCATTCTCCTACCCAATCAATCTGTCCTGGGCCTTCCTTTCTAGTTCTATCCAGTTGTTTGTTCATTTTTCTTATGTCTGTCTCAATTTCTCGGCGTAATGTGTTCTTTGGTCTTCCTCTTCTCCTTTGGCCTTCAGGTTCCCATGTGAGGGCTTGTCTTGTGATTCAGTTGGGTGATTTCCTCAAAGTGTGTCCTATCCACCTCCAGCGCTTCTCCCTGATTTCTTCCTCGGCTGGATGGAATCTGGTTTGTTCTCTTCCGCAGTAGGTTGTTGCTGATAGTGTCTGGCCAACGGATCCGAAGTATTTTGCATAGACAACTGTCAATAAACACTTATATCTTCTGGATAATGGCTTTCGTAGTTTTTCACGTCTTCGCCACATACAGTAGTAGTAGCCCCCGGAGGAACTACAGGCGGAGTTAGCTTCTCCGAGGGCTACTACTGGTTCCAAGGCCGGGTAAAGGAGGTGGGTTGGGCATGGAGTTAGCGACTCCATCTGGTAGAAAACCTACTCGCTAAAAAACGCCAACCAGAAAAAAGTTTTCTAGATTATAAGTTTCAGTATTTCTTCATAAATACGTTTTCATCCTAATAACTTTAACTATTTTTTCTTCAATGTTTTATCGTTCTCATTATGATTGCTATTACATTTATTCTCTGCCTTTTCTACTCATTCTTTTTATATGGCAACTTGAACCAATGCGCATATATATACCAGACTCTATGTTAATTATGTTGCTGACTGACTAACTCTAAGATAATCTTTTGTTACTCTATCAAACTTTTGTTGTTATTCCTTAATTAATCGACATAATTCATGTATACCTATTTCAGTAGGTTCGAATATAGTCGAGAAAAAACCTCGAATTTACATGTCATGATAATTCGCAATCGTCAAAAAGACCTACCTGTAATCTTAAGGTAAATGATACTTCTTGTTAGATTTGAAGCTCTTTTACTCAGACTCATAGTATTAGATTCTAACATTGAGATATTTGGTTTACATCCAATTCACAAATTGGATCATGTAATTCATGACTACAATGATATATTTTCCACATTTTTTTTCTATTTAATAAGATCGATCAAAGTTTACAATGTTTGCGAATTCAATTATTATCACAGCAATCGCTGCACGCACTCATCCACGATTTAATTGAATTTGAATGTGAGGAACAATGGGTTGATCAACAAACACTACAACTGAATGAATTATTGAAAATAGATGAGACAATTTTGCAAAATCTATCTAAACATATAATCCCGATTGACTTGATTGGATCAACTGTCGAACAAGATAGTGAATTATTGGCTAATATTAGTTGTGGTAATAGTAGTACTAGTTTAGTCTTGGATTCAGAGTGCGATTATGTTATTCATAATACAATTAGTGCTGAATCAAAAGAATGCGTTTCTAACCTACTAAATCATGGTGATCATGAAGATGATGATAATTCTGCGGATGACCATGACTATGATATTGATGGTTCCGTAGATGAGAGACTGTGTAAAGATTTAGAAGAGCGAATCACTTTTGGCAAAGTAAGCTTATTTTGTTTTGATAGTGTTTATGTGTTTCAGTTAATGTTTTGATTATTTGGTCGCTATTCTATCATTTTATTTCATTCTTTCCCTTTTCAATAAATATCTGTAATGCATCCGATCTACACTTCCCAGGGCTTGCTATCATCTACTTCTAAAAATAATATTAAAAGCTTTATTCACAGGGATACTAGGGCATATGTAATTGAATTATACAGCTTCGTTAATCTTTCACTGAGTATCTAACAAATAATTATTCCAAACATCTTCCCTACCAGCAATTTGTTATTATAGATAAATTAATATATTTGTAATATCCTGATGAGTAGAAAAATTAGATTTTCTGATGTCTCGTGACTCCGTGTAAGCCGCTTCTTCGGAGAATAAATAACCAAATCAAAATTGTATTGGTTATTTATTCTTTGAAGAAGTAGCTTAAACAAAGTCACGAAACGTCAGAAAATCTAAGTTTTCTACTCATTGGGATATTACAAATATATTAATTTCATTATAACAATCTATCCAATGCTCAATTTATTCAAATTTATCAAGTCAAACATTGGTAATGATACCTACAATTGGTTATTATGTTATAATTACTTTAAAATTAATTGAATGATATCAGTCTATAAAGAAGAAACCTTTTACCAAATTGAAAAAATTGACCAACCAATTATTTTCGTAAACAGAGAACCAGACAGCAATGAATTTCACTATTGTAAACTGAACTACAAGTCAACTATTATTATTATTATATTTATTTGTTTCTTGAAAAAAAAAAACTACAATCCATTAGAACACATTGTTGTATAATATTAGTTTGGTAAACAATTCAAATGTTGTTTTCTTTTCTTGAATAGCTTATAGGCGCATGTGTATTGACGATCTGTATAACGAATACATCGACATGTTACAACAATATTTACTGTTCACATTTTAACCTTACTAATGTGTATATCGATTACAAATCCCACTATCTTAGTGTACTACTTTGTTTAGATATAAGGTGATTTAAACGATTTTTAAGATTAATCAAAGCAAATATATCTTACTGTACTGGTTCTTAATTCAACCTAACTGCTATCCAATGTTCAGATAATTGTAATCAGACTAGTCACTACGATTTGTTGATATGAATAGTGGTTTGAAAATTAAAAGGCTGCGTATTATATTCTATATTAGTTCAGTGAAGCTTATATACACAAATAAAAACTAGTCATTTCTCTTTGCCTAATATCTGTAACTGAGATTGTGGAGAAGGTTCGTAGATCAGATGGATGAGTTGAATGGAATTCTGTTCTCTGAGCTGAATGGTTTGGTTGTGCAGCTTTCATAGTTCTTCTGAACGACATCATCAGTACATGTTCAGAAAAGATTATTATTTTTATGATTACTATTGGTATAAAGAGTTTATAGTAACTTGAATTTGTTATTTTACACCAAGGATTGGTTTAAGTTAACCACTGAAAACCAAGAAATATTAGATAGCTGTTTCGTCATAGGTTCGTTTACATGCCGTGGTGAGGAGTCTCATATCAGGAGGAGGCATTTATCTAATGTTTTCTCGGTTTCCAGTGGTTTTCTAACTATAGTGTCAGTTCGTAATATAGACTATAAAAGAGCTTTATATTTTGTATACTATGGTCGTTCATACTGATTCTTTTTCTTTTAATTATTATCGTTTCTACAGGAAAACTTTGAAGCCATCAAAAACAGAGAACGAAAAATCTGTGATTGTATGAATGCTTATCGGAATCTTTGTGAAATTATTACTGATAATGAAAACAATAGTATGAATGATATCCTTTCTATTGATGTTAGTGCTCAATATTCACCAAAAAAGGAATCGGTCAGTGAAAATTATAATAATGATTGTTACTACTCACCTGTCCCTACCGATGCTGATCGGGATAATTGTGATAGAGCTAACAAATTAAAAATCTCTTATTACAATCTGTTGAATCGGTCTAGTCAACGAATTAAACAATTGGAATGCTATCATAAAAAATTACTTGAGGTATATACAAATGTATATTTTAAGTGTACGTCATATTTGCTTCTTCTATTTTTGTTCATCAATATTCCCAACAAAACTGTTGTTTTTCCACTAATTCCATTATATCACAGTGTCTTGAACTTCAGCTCTACCTTCTAGTTGTTGTTTTGTTAAAAAATAAAGTGTCATCATCATCATCATCACCATCACATGTGCTTAACACATCACGCCCTTGAATTGATTGTTATATTTTCTATTTATTTTTATTTATTTATTTATTTAAACACATAAACATTGGCACAAGGAGGCATCAAATAGATATACGCCACATAAATCATTCGGTTTGTGTGAGGGCTGGGATATTTCCCGAGTGCCCAAACCGAAACAGGTGGTTTCCTTAGGGGCCACACCCGGAGCCTCTGACCTGAAGGTCTAATCCATATGGCAGTGGGGAAACATTGAGAGATGCGGTCCCATAGTGGTCGATGACCAACAATAGATTCATCCGCTATTTGTTTCCTTGGGATCCTGGAACTCATGTGCACCATTGTTTGGGAATCAGGGTTTTCCAACTCACCTAGGTGAACTTTCCGTATCCACCAACATGGTTAAAGCCCCTGACATTCGCTTTTCGTCCTCTCGATTTTGTAAACAACACTCAACCACGAGAAGGAAGTGAGTAGGACTTCTCTAGTAGTGGTTGTATGCACGTGGCCATGTGAGAGCATTTCGATAGGGATACCTGACTCTCTCCACTCTCGGCCGTACCAGGGCATTCGAGGGCATGAGTATGTAGATACCAATTATATTTACCTTATGCAACTAATTTCACAATATTCCTTAATATAATTGATTATGTACGTTTTTGACTTGATGACAGTAATTATCAATAAGAATATTATCTAAAATATAAAGGATGAATATATAATTTAAAACAACATTATATCATAGCAGAGAGTATAAATCGGAATATGGTGATTACCAATACTTTGTAAACCCGACCTTTCACAAAAAGACTAACATCACGTCAGTGCCAAAAGTAGCCCAGATTAGCACAAACCACTCTGTATTTCGCTATACGTAGAATAATCTCATCACTCACGCAACTACCCAGATGCACAAACTTTTAGGCTACTTTTAATGGCTCACCATCAAGAGTGAATGAAGCCATAGGTTCCTATCAGTCTTTTAAAAGTACTTTGAATTTAGAAGGTGAAAAGTACACACCATACTCACGGACGCTGATTGCTATCTGATTAAGTGCGGATTTCATGGCATGAGTATCATGGGACAATAAGATAATATCATCCACATACTCAAAGTTTAAAAGAATCACAGTGAATGTTGACCTTCAATAAGTATGGTTATGTTTCAACATTTGACGAACGGTGATGAGACAATCAATACATCCTTGATTAGAACGAAAACGGGTCTGCTACTAACGAGTCAATCTTTCAAACTAACTGGAACATCATGTCGACCTAGGAGATTAACGCTCTAAAAAAAAACGAATGAACAATGGCAGGGAAAAGCTAAATTCTCAATCAATTTTCTAAACATAAAGTTTGGTTAAGCGTAAAATGCAAATTTGTGCTTGCCACTTTTTTATCTATATAGCCTTTAGATATTATGCTTACAATCATTATTACCATATATATAAATATTATTAATAAACCAATGTATCTTTAATTACACAGTCCCTAATTTCAGTCGTATTTACCTCTCTTACAACTTTCACAGCACAATCTTTTAGTTCATTTCAATTTCGATCAGTGGAAGCAAGGGTACTTACAGTGGATTGCAAATCGTCATTATCGACTAAGCGACATATTTAATCCTAAAGCCTTATCGGCATTACGAACTGACAGACAGCTGTCAAACACATCCAATAATACAGATGAAATGAACTCTGATTTATTCAAATGTCCAACACGATTATCTAATGTATCTACGAATTCTAAGTCAGTTTATACTCCGTCTAAAAAATCATTCTCTAATAATATCATATCCCAATTATCTAACAGTCGTTCATCTCTTCTCCGATCGAGTAATGAATCATTACAACCGCTCTCTGGCAATAAGCATAAACAAAATGTCAGTCATAAGCCAGAGGAAGTAAACTGTTCGCAATTTGTACAAGCAGTTCTACATGGTAGACCAAAACATGATTGGGCAAATCCTATTTTCATCAAATCTGCATTTTATACAATTGATCAAGCAAAAAAGGGTATAGTTACATGTGATCAGATTATTGAAGCATTAAGTTCAAAAAAACAGGTAATTATATTTTTTGTTGCTTGTTCTCTCGGGTTTACAAAAAGCCATTAAAATTATTACTCATAAATGTATGAAACGACCTATTTAATTGAATACTCTATATAGATGCTTAGTTCAACGACTAGGAACCAGATGTAGTCAATCATTCACAAAAATAACTCTTCAAAGAACACATAAATATTGAGGAAAGAAAGGTACAGGTATACAGGAGAGACTTTGTACTATTTTAGGATTAGACCATCTTTTTTATGACAGAATATATTACACAATGATAAGTGTAAATGATCGTAGTGCGACAGTAAACAGTCCAATACACTCAGTTACTATTCTTAATGTTTCATCTAGTGAAATAATTCTTTCATCATGAATGCTCTTCCTCAAAATATTTTGCTTCAAATCCAATTCTGTTATTGCACAATCAATAATTGATCCTTTGATGATCCCATTTTTAACCAACCTAGATAGTTTTAACGTATTCGGAGAAGTACTTTGATGAAGGTATAAGCTTTCCAAATCCACTCAATGAATCAACTGGTATTACTTGAGTAAATTTATACTACACTTCAAAGTCTGATAACTAATTTTACACTCATTGAAGACATGCACAGTATTCCTTATTTAATCAATTTAAGTAAAACAGTCACCTGATCTGGTTAGCGATTTTTTTTAGCTAGTTAGTTTTCTATAGGATAGGGTCGCTAACCCTGTGCACAAACATCCTCCTTTATCCGGGCTTGGGGTCGGCAGTAATCCAGAGGGGCTCCAGGCGGAGAAATGGAAGCAGATATGAGAAAAATGAACAACAGCTGGATAGGACAGAGGGGGTTAGAGAATGCTGGCCGGCGGCCTATACTCTATTGGGAATAACAGGCGTAAGTAATTAAGTAAGTCACGTGATCTCCAAACACCAAATAATCGAAATTCTCTTCGTTCTTTAATGTGCTATATCCTGAATATAAACTGTTTCCATTCAAATTTTGTTTAGGATGTAATCAGATTTATCTATACTAATGAAATCTAGTTGGATATTCATTGTCAAACGAAAATACCTCTATTTTTGATTAGCATTAATTCATTTCATGGTGTACGAAAAATCTTACAATTTATCGTCCTATTAAATACTGTCAAATTAAATCAAGGAAACTATATTACTGGTTAATATTCTCTTTTTGTTCTCATTTATTTCACAATGTATTCACGTAAATATGAGATACAAATACTCTGCCAGGGAAGTCCTACTCACCGCCTTCTCACGGTGGGGTGTTGTTTACAAAATTGAGAGGACGAAAATCGAATGTCCGGCGATTTAACCGGGTTGGTGAACACGGCGAGTTCATATAGGGGAGTTGGAATACCCTGATTCCAAACCAATGGTGCACATGGGCCACAGTATCTTGAGGGAACAAATGGCGTATGAATCAATCGTCGATCACCGGCTACCATCGAACTGCATCTCCTCACGATGCTCCACTGCGTTATGGATCAGACCTTCAGGTCAAAGGCTTCGGGTGTAGCCCTTTAAGAAAACCACCTGCTTCGGTCTGGCCACCCAGGTAGTATCACAGCCCTCACACAATTAAATGAAATGACAATTTTGTATCTGTTACCCTCTTGTGTCGATGTTTTTGTGTTCAAATAAATAATAATAAATAACTAGAATGTATATAATCAAGAGTTGATACAGCGTTGTCAATTCCGAAACTAATTCAAAAAGCAATCTAGTTAATGATAGAGAATGAATTAGTTTTTTTTCTCTTTCATCAAATTCAAAATTATATTTTTCAGCATAAACCTTTACCAACTGATAAATTAATTGAACATGCAATAAAACAAGAAACTAGTAAATGTATTTGTCAACCAAAATTTCAACCGAGAAAAATTGGAAAGGATCGATATTGTGTAAGTTAAATTAATGTATTTCTGTTATACTCTTGTCTACAACATCAACGATGCGTCCATTAGTTTACAATGTGATCCATAAAATAGGTTACGAAAATAATGATGCTTCTTAAAATGCCATGAAATTAAATGAGGGTCTGGCTTTGATACTCAGTAGGATCGTGAATGAATACTGATGAACAGATGAATACTTAGACCAAAGATCTGTCTATTACTTCTTGGTTTCTGATGGTTTTCTAACCAGTTTATCATATGAAACCACCAGGTTCAGTACTGATTCCAAGCTCTGGTTGTTAGAAGGTGCATCGGTCTCGTGACTTCCGAAGAATTTCGGCTTTCATCATGAGACGTCATAATTATTCCTTCTACTCCCAGGGCAGAGTTTAAATGTTTTGAATATTTTTTTCTGGTTAGCGTTTTTTAGCGAGTTGGTTTTCTACTGGATGGGGTTTCTAACCACATGCCCAACCCTCCTCCTTTACTCGGGCTTGAGACCAACAGTAGCCTTGGGAGGAGCTACAAGCGGAGTTCAGTACGTTCTATACTAAATAAACAAAACCTAACCTTTAATTAATCTTTATTTTATTTAATATGTGTATTTCATGTAACTGTTTTTGGTGTGGAAAAGCAAGAGATAATTTACTTATACAGTTTTCTTTTGCTTGTTTTGAAGTTTGGATCCAGTTCACGAGTTTACTTGGTTCGTTTTTTGAATAGTACAACGATTGTGCGAGTGGGAGGTGGATGGATGAGTTTAAATGAGTTCTTGGATTCGCGTGATCCGTGCAGAAGTAAGCTACTAGATTGATGATTCTGTATACTTTTTCAGGTGTTACTTACTCCTTCATTCAGGATAATCGGTATTCACATTCATATAAAGTTACACAGAGTTTGTGATTGAAGCTGATGAAAAACAACTGGATTATGACAGGACTCGATTTATAACTTTCGAGTTACTGGTACCATTGAATTCTGATAATCAACTATCAGCTAGATTACAATTTTTTCTAACCACATACTATTTTAATAGTTGAACATTAAGAGATGCGGTCCCAAGGTAGCCGGTGACGAAGAATAAGTTTATACTCTGTTTTTTTCCATCAGAATCCTGAAGCCTATGTACACCATTGGTTTGGAATCAGGGTATTCCAGGTCTCCTAGATGGACACTACGTATTCACAAACCCGATTTAATCACCGCATATTCGCTTTTATTCCTTTCAACTTCGTAAACAACACCCCTTCCACAAGAAGGCAGTGAGTAGAACTCCCTTGGGACTGTCTATATTCTCATGACCGTATTATAGCATCTTGAGAGGGAGAGGAGACCTTCCACACCCTCGACTATATCAAGGCATTTAGAGGTAACCTAGTTAATAGAAGTCGGCCAGCACTAAAAAGATAAACAGAAATCTCACTGGCTATTATTCAGCAAACGATCAATTGTAAATTGTACTTCTAAATATCGACTGCTCCACTGTTATCTGCTACTAATGGTAGGGGTTTGGACGTAATCAAGTGGCACATTATTAAAACTTTATATATTTATGTATTGGAGATGTTTTTTGCAGGAGAAATAGTATACAACTATATGCTATAAACTATATACATTTTGAAACAAAGTATATTTGGCATAGCATAACTTAAATTAATGAAGAATATTTGTTCTGTGTAGTACAATATGAATCACAATGGATTGAGTCATAAATTTAAAATAAACAATACTTATTCATTGTTTATACATATTATATGCCAATAATAATAATAATAGTAGTAGTCTAATTTAAACGTTTTTTATTCATTCGATTCGAATAAACTAAATGTAGACAATATTATAAACTTTAATCTTTAATGCCTTATAATTGATAAATCAGTAGACATTTATTCATTCTATATGTTAATGATCGTCGGGTTATGTTGTGAATTGATTAACGTAAATAATGTGAATCGTTGACTGTCACCCTACTGATGTAATAGTAAATCTTTTTCTGTGATACCCAGAGGTTCAATTTCTGGTGTCTGATTGTGGGTACATTCTGTTGATTAGTCCTATACTATTGTAGTGCCGTGCTTCGTTAATCGTTTACCTCGATAACCGTTATAATACAAATCTTAACGATGTATAAAATCAGAAGGCAAAGAGAAGTGGCAACTACAGTTTTACTAACAAATGACACGCATTGGAGATGGCGGTTAAGCCAACTCGCTTTAATCAAGCATTAATCAATATTTATGGTCAGGCAAAAATAAATGAAGGCATGTGATAAATAGGATAAGAAGTGTATACACACCTACGCTCATATAAAAAAAGTCGGCGTTAATGAGTGAATAATTGATAATTTGAAAACATGACTAATGATATACAGCTGGATTGGCTCGTCCAGAAGCTAGAATAAAGTAAATGAGCTTAACATACCAACTGACACTACACTATTAATAAATAGCAATCTAATCAGTCTTGGAGACAAATGATTGCCAAACTAAAATCCGAACCCCGAAAGATACGATTATGTTATGTTTTTGTAACCAGAATTGTTAGTTTTAACCATATTGTTAATTTCACAATATTTCTCAAATGTTTATAGTGAATACTCTTATTCATAGCGCAATTTTTATTAAGCTAGTTCAGCTGAATACATGAAAACATTGTCAGAATATTTTAAAAGAAATCAAATTATAAAAGTTTATCACACGAAACCTCACTAAACTTCTCCAAATCATTCCAAAGAAAACAATTATTTTGATGGAGTTTTGTCCTCTGAGCTGGATGGTTTGGTTGTGGAGCTTTTATCGTCTTTCTGAATGACATCATCAGCACAAACCATCCAGCTCAGAGAACAAAACTTCATGAAAATCATCCACTTGAGTTACAAATCTTCTCCACCATCTCAAAAACAACTATTTAGTCACTTCTTTTGAAAAATCCTAAATTGTTCACTGGCAATTTTCGTATGACTTTTAATGTTCTCAAACTTAAATCACTGATTTTCATAGTTGAAATCATGAGTCGATTGATGCTAGACCACCATGAAAGACCTGGAAGCACTGGACGACCGTTTCGTTCTATTATGGGACTCCTCATCAGTGCGCATCCACGACTTCGCTTCACGAGATTCGAGCCCAGGACCTACCAGTCTTGCGGCAGAGCACTTAACCGATAGACTCTGAGCTGACCGGCATCCAACGGATGTAATGGGAAACTTCAACCAATCCACGAAGTTTGAGCAACCGTTCACCAATTGTCTTCAGTGAGTTGATATCTCACAACAGACATGGTTGAACTCCACTGGTCACTGTTTCTTACTAGAACTCCATTACATATATCTTGAAGTCAGTCACTAGTGAGCATATGATTATAATCAGAAGGAGTTGATTATTCAATTAATAAAATAAGGATTCACTTCATGTTATGATGATAATTTTAGTTATATTAATTCAAATCGGAATAATTTAACATTTTCTATTACAGTTACACATAAAACAAGTCATTTTGGTAGTACACCTATAAAAGCCAATTTGATGAATTTAAATTCTACTAGTACTATAAAAACACCATCTGCTTCAAAACATGGAAGTCATTTAGGATTAATTAATGTAACTCCAATTAATAAACCACGTATTACTACGCTAACCAATACGAGTTCAAAAGAACAAAGATCTTCTGTAGAAACGTCTTTAACAAGTAAAGAATGTGATATGAGACCATTAAATTCATCATATGATAGTGAAGCATCAATCCATAACAATTCTTCATTACTAAAACAAACTGTCCCAAGTAAGTATTTTATATGGGGATTGATATGTTTGTTATGTGTGTGGTTGATACTGACTTTCTAACTACCTAGTTCTTCATAAATTTGTTACACTTGAGCCTCGAATAGGAGATTTTGTAACCATTCTAAAATTAGTAACAAAATCTGTAGTCGTCTAATCTATGTTACACTAATTGTTTGGAGTATTTTCCTCATTTCCTAGCTCCTGAAGACTTTTCTGAGGAGATTTCCAAGGTCCCCAACATATGTGTGAACCGGTTGAGTCCCAGTAGCTGGATAATGATAACAATAATGATATATTTGGAAAATGAGTACAGAATATATGTCAGTTTCCAGGGATGATCAGATCGATAGACATTAACATCGATGAAAGTGCTCGCTTTCCTAAAACACTTAGTTTCTAGATTTCCGTAAACTGAGAAGTTCAGACAAAATTGTTACTCATGGGAGATATGAAATGTGTAAAGGATCTGTAAACATAAATGACATCATTTTACAGTACAGTATTATCGATTATATACACAATATGATAAATGTAATTTTAAAAAGCGTAGAGTCATCATTCCTAAACAAAATGTAATCTTATGATAGTATAAACAGAAATATCAAAACCGTGACATGAATAAATTATTGATTGCGTTTTGGTATGGTAGACTAAACCTTCTCTATAGAAGGTATATGATGCAGTCTAAGAATCAAAACGTTCAATCCGTTTATTCGAATAATTTCATTAGGACAGTTTTTGCTGTCTGAAACTTTACTGGGTTGACAGATAGCTCAGTTTCTTCAGGAGAATTTAATGTAATAATGTAATAGCTACATACTTAATAGAGCCCAATAAGGCTATTGTCAAAAATGTAATGGATTTTTCAACTCTGACAAACAATGTTAAGCTGTCATATTCTTTTGAAACTAAAAGGTAGTTTAACTTTCCAGAGTAGGAGACAGTATTTTCTCAGAACTAAGACTGAGGTTTCAACGTTACTGAAAGGTAAAGTTTATCTCTTATTCATCTCAGAGTAGAACTTCACCATAAGCTCATTGCAGATTCAAAGACACATCTCATGCACATTTTCCTACTAATTTTATGATGGTTCACTTGCTTTGATTAGCTTATCAGAAATCAGTCCAATGACTGAACTGATAATTTATTCAGGAAACTAGTCGTCCTCCTATAATTATGTAATACATTTATTAAATTTTTCAGTAATTTTGAGTATCAAGCTGAAATATTGCAAATCCTATTTGATAACCAACGAACAGCCAGAAAGATTTTAATGTTGTTCTACATTTCCCGTCAATTATCTTAAACTCCATCTCTTTTGATTAATTCATACATTAAATTCTATGATTCAGTTACCACGGTTGGAAGAAAGTTAGGGGCGGCCAAACCAAAACATGGCATCAGTGTTTGAAGTCACTAACTTCTAGTCTGAGCCATGTTGGCAGATGCAGACTACTTGGTTGGTAACCAATGGTAACCAATGGTTGGAGACTGTGTGTGACATGGCTCAGAATCGATCACAATGGCGTAGGTGTATACACTCTTTATCTTCCCTTAAACCTTGAGACTAAAATTGCTTCATATCACTCTTCCTTCTTGTACTATATCCTTATATACAACCTATAATTTATATACTACTACCAACACTAAATTAACTACTATGAATCCGGTGTTGATCTTGTTGTGCTAACGCGGTATGGCAACTTGGACCGATGCATATATGTGCCTGGTCCTACGTTGTAACTGACTGACTGTTACCACTCCATAATGAATACAGTAGAGTTTGTATTAATCTATGTCTTACTTACTTACTTATTCCTATTACCCCTCGTTGAGGAGTATAGGCCACCCACCAGTATTCTCCATTCAACCCTGTACTGGGCAATCCTTTTCAGTTCTGTCCAGTCAACATTCATCCTTTTAATATCTACTTCTATTTCCCGGCGTAGTGTGTTCTTTGGCCTTCCTCTTTTCTGCTTCCCTTCAGGATTACAAGTTCGGGGTTGCCTCGTGATGCATAACGGTGGTTTCCTCAATACGTGTCCTATCCACTTCCAACATCTTTTCCTAATTTCCTCTTCAGCTGGAAGCTGATTTGTCCTCTCCGACAGAGGGTTGTTGCGGATAGTATCCGGCCAGTGAATATTAAGTATTTTGCGTAGACAGCTGTTTATAAATACTTGTACCTTATTGACGATGGTTGTAGTAGTTCCCAACGTTTTGCTCCGTACAGTAGGACTGTCTTGATGTTCGTATTGAAAATTCTCACTTTGAAATTAGTTGAGAGTTGTTTTGAGTTCCGTATGTTCTTCAATTGTAGAAAAGCAGTTCTTGCTTTGCCAATCCTCGCCTTTACATCTTCATCCGATCCTCCATGTTTATCAACAATGCTTCCCAGGTATGTGAATGTTTTCACATCTTCCAGAGTTTCGCCATTGGGATTGGGTCACGTGTTGTATTTGAAAACCTTGCTTTTTCCTTTGTGTATGTTGAGGCCACTACTACATTTGTTGTCTTCGTCTTTATTTGCTCGTGTGTATAAGATAGGAAGGCTAGGTCATCTGCAAAGTCCAAATCATCTTATTGGTTCTGAGATGTCCATTGTATTATTCTGTGCTTCCCTTCAGATATTGAAGTCTTCATGATCCAGTCAATCACCAGAAGAAAGAGGAAGAGGAAGAGTAGACAGCCTTGTCTGACTCCGGTCTGTACTGGAAATGCATCTGTCAGCTGTCCTCCATGCACCACTTTGCACCGTAGTCCGTCGTATGAGTTCCGAATGATAAGGTTGACAATCTTCTGAGAAACTCCCTAGTGTCAAAGGAGTTTCCATTACGTTCTCCTATCCACACTGTCAAATCCCTTCTCATAGTCAATGGAGTTGATGTATAGTTACGAATTCCAGTAATCTGATTGTTCCACGATGATCCGTAAATCAATGTGTTAATTTATTTTTAATGTTAACTAAATTTGTGATATAATATAGTTTCATGATATAAGAGAATCTTACTACTGGTTAAAATTAAAATATTAAAACTTACATATTTCTAAAACACTGTGTGTTTTTTTCATTTCTTCGACAAAGCGAAAGCTACCACCTTCGACAGGGCTACCACTACAAGAACAAGTACTAAGAAGAAGAATACAAACAAATGATAACTTGTAAATTTGATTCTAACTCATTAATTAATCCCTGTGAAGAAACGGTTTTTTTTCTTTTGCATTTTGATGTTTACAAACTGATTACATAACATCTTTTTTGCTTGCTTAATCCTTCATTTTTTCAGGATTTTTAAAAAAAAATTTACATAAACAATTTTATAATAGTTCTTCTTGTTCACCCCGGTTCGCTTCTGTCGTTTGTTTTGAATTAACTAGTGGTTACGACGTTCCTTCTCATGACTTGATGTTCCTTGAGTTTTGGAAGGCTTAATCCGTCAATCTATAAATATAATCTCTTTAGTTTGCTAGCAAGATGTTAACTATTCAACAGATTGATGATGTTATTTTACAAGTGTTCTCATTTGGGTTTTTATTTTCTGTATCATTCCATTAAGGCTTATTTTGTAAAATCAGTCAGGTTAGAGTTTCCCTATTGTGTTTGTTACTACATTTACCACTCCAGAATAAAATTTGCTTCAGTGTTTTTTTTAATTACGGAAATCACTTTTCTAACAATGTGAATTTCTTTTAAATAAACAGTTGATTTCCCTTATAAATCTATATGAATTCTGTTTTGTTGCCGAAAGCATCATTTGAAATAGTCATGATCTCATGTTAAACAATCCTTCCGAAAGTTAAGCATCATTTATATAATATTGCCGCCGACTGACAGTAACATTTTGGAACTAACAACAATCGTACACAAAGTATGGTCGTGTATATTTAACTCGAGGAAGTTCTGTTTGGCAATCGTAAAATAAGGTTTCTCGCAATGGTGTATTATATAGCTAGATTTAAAACTGAAAATCTGAGCTAGAATGGGATGATCTACAATGTTACCTAATTTAACAATAACTATATTTTTTATGTAGTTGAGATTATGAGTCGATTGAAGCTAGACCACCATGGAAAAACCTGTAAGCACTGAACGGCCGTTTTATTTCACCGTGGGACTCCTCAGCAGTGCACATCCATGATCCCGCTTCGCGAGATTCGAACCCAGAACCTATCGGTCTCGCGCGTGAGCACTTAACCTCTAGACCACTAAGCTGACTGTTAAACGTTGCGATCGATGAAGCACTACCCGGAAAACGGTATCACAGTAATGAAAGGAATGGTTTAATGTTCCGGTTAAATTGAATCAAACTAACTGTTTACGATGAAATATTGTAGATCGGTAATTGATAATGAATGCCCTGGTACGGCCGAGAGTGGGGAGAGTCCACTCTCCTTCTCCAAATGCTCTCACATGGCCACGCCAATATATAGCCTCTTCCAGGGAAGTCCTACTCACTGCCTTCTCGTGGCATTACTGTTGTTTACGAAATTGAAAGGACTAAAAGCGGATGTCCGGCTCTTTAACTGGGTTAGTGGATACGGAAAGTTCACCTAGGGGAGTTGGAAAACCCTGATTCCAAACCAATGGTACACATGAGCTCCAGTATCCTGAAGGAACAAATGGCATATGAACCAGTCGTTGGTCACCGGCTACCATGTTACTGCATCTGCTTCCGATGCTCCACTGCCTTGCGGCTAGACCTTCAGGTCAAAGGTTCAGGGTGTGGTCCCCTAAGAAAATCACCCGTTTCAGTTTTTATATAACCCAATCATTTTACTTAAGACTGATAAAGTAAAACAAAGTACCATGTATATAGAAATGTTGTTTTTATTATTATCCATAAATATGATATTTTGAAGAAATAAATCTGATCTGTAATAACCGTTTTCACTCTTCACCAAAGAAACTCATCAGTTTACATGAACCTTTTATACATGCACCTCGACAACAATCATTTGCATGAACACATGGACTATTAGCATGTGCACACTGAACACATTTACCAGTAGCAGAACTTTTACGATTACATACCCAATCCCTTCCACAGCATGGACGAAATACTGTACATACTGTTTCAGGTTCCGAACAAAATGATGCAATTCCACCTGTGAAATGAAGAAAAGTGGTTGTTTATACAAAGCGTGCCATAAAATGTCTTTTGACATAGATATAATAAAACTAAGCTATTTACACCAGTAGCAGAAATACACCGCAGAAACTTTGATACTACACAATAAAAAGCCAATTTGTCCTCATTCCCAGTAGCGATTAGGTTAAGTGAATCTTTGGATTCTTTCAAGATGAGATTCGAAATTTTCCGTAATTATTAAGGCAAGATTTTTTTAAGTCAGTAGAACTTTTAAATCGTATGATATATTAAGCAGAGATGGATAGTGGCTAGCAGTGGAATCCAGCACGCGCGTTTCGTCCTTTTTTGGACTCGTCAGCTGGATGTACCTGTATCTCAGAGTTGATGTTCACTCTGGGACTCGAACCTAGTACCTTTCGCTCCAAGCGCCATCGCGTTATCCACTCGGCCACTATCCATATTCGCTTACCATGCTTGTGAATCTAAACTATATCGAGGCAATACGCACAGTATGCACATATGCCAATTAGAGACTGACCAGTTGCAATCCTGACACGTCGATGGGAAGGTTCAAATAAACAATACTAAATGTAGGTATGATATATTATTGTAATTCAGATTAGTGACGTAATATCCCTGATAAACCAGTTGTTTTCATGGTTGGTGACCTATAATGAGCAAGTTGATTATTTACCTGATTAAGGTGTCCACCTACACCTTTTACTGTCTACCTACCTGCACATTAGCAATAAGTACTATGCATTCACTAACTATAATCTCTTTAGCAAAGTCTTGTTCTATGTAACTGTTTGTTAATTGGTAGTAGTCTGCAGAACAGTAAGTGAATCAGGCTACAAATTATACAAGTTTAAAATTGTTTAAGGAATCAATGTGTTGTGAGAATTTCCACCCTAAGCTGCAATAAAACTACTCAGCTTTGTAAACTAACTAATTTTACATTAGACGCTGTGTAGTTACAATTTACCTAGTTGAATTAACTGACAATATGTCATACGTTATTCTATCAGGAATGCCGTACGAAATATGGATGTTAGATTTTTTAGTGATTGCATTAAAGTCAGTAATACCTAAATGAATACTGAGATATGCTTCAGAGCAACCATAACTATCCAAATCCTAAATCCTTACAGTGTCACATAAAGAAATAGTAAATATTTACAACATCCTCTACATAGAGTCTTAATAAATGGTTAAACTATATTTCTGAACTTAGATTAACACTAATGTCTAGTAAGTGCGTTTTGTTCTGTTTAAGACTCGTTTGTCTCATTCATCTGCATTTCAATGTTGATGTTCACAATGAGATTCAAACTCAGTACTTATTGCTTTAAAAAAGAACCTGTTATACATTAACGTATTGACTCAATAGTAACGTGCAACTTGCTATTTTGAGTAGTCTGCTAAATGGTCTCATATGCTAACAGAGATCGATTTAAGTCACTCGTCTATATTAATAAAAGTGAAGCTCAAAAACATCTCACACCAAACAATACTATATTTGAATAAACAGTAATATACTATTCATGTATTCCAAGATCGATTGTGTTGTGAACAAAAAGATGCTTAATTAGCAACACTATTAAAAACATTCTCTTGAGGTACAAGTTATGGAAACAGTTCCACCAGTTTCAGTTCATAGTGAAAAGTGTCTTTTAACTGCATTATAGTTCCCCAGCATGATTAACAATTAGTTTGTATAATACAATCGGTTTCTGTTGGGGAGAATGGAAGACAGAAGAAACTTCACTAGCATATTGTATGAAAATATTAAATACCATCTAATTTCTTTCCTATTTAAAAATGGAATTGATAGAGAAACGATTTCGCTAATAATGTAACATTTTTTCAAGAAATAAACAATAAATTTACATGTCTATATTCATTTCTGTGGTTTCACTCTATATCAAATCACGAGTGTACAGCACTGATATGCATGAACATAAATTCTATATGACAGTTGGTTTACGTTAAAATAAGTGAAGAAATTGATTTTCTTTAATGAATGAAACACAACTATAGTATGTATTGGTTGACATCATGAATTGATCAATTTTAGATCCCGCACGCAGGACTAGAACCGAGAACCTTCGGTCTTGCACACGAACCCTTAACCTCTGAACTACTGAGCCTGCATCCAACATTGTTATAGTATATATATTAAGACGTCATTTTATAGACTCATTTTTGAGATGTTAAGTGTTTAAAGGTAATCGACAGAAAACCCTAGTGCTAGTCGGCACCCACTATCCACAGAACGGATGCTCCCTTGTGGATTCTAAGCAGCCTCACATTCTAGAAAATTGTCATTGAGTTACTTGAGATGCAAACGACCTCAAGTAGGACTAATCACTGAGTAATGACAATATGAATTTTTCTAGTTATTTCCTCGTTATTGTACTTGTCGGTCTGCCTAAGATAAATTCGAGCAAATATTTCGGATTTCAAAAACACCTTCAACATCTTATAGATTTATTAAACGATAAATGATCGATGCGAATTTTCCCAAGCTCTAGACTGCATCTCTGTTCATAATAAACAGTATGTTTTATTTGTAGCTTCGAAAGACTGATGCCACTTACACAAAGCACACGTACTTCGTCAATAGTCGAAAAGATTCTTACTAAGCTATGTGCATCAATTTATCGATTTATTTAACTTTAATCTTTTGTGTTTTAATGTTATCAATCCTAGGTTAGTTAATGTTAAGACAGTTGATAAGGAAGAACCATTCGTTTTGATTTATTAACTTTAATTTCGGATTTAATTACTTGCTTTTTTGACTAGTAACCACTATTATCTACAAATTTAAACTCAATCAGTCAGCTTATGTTCCCATTTTTTTTAAAATGTTGATCATGTCGAGATTTTGAGATTGGCACCACAGTTGAATGATCAGTTCACAAATTCCCACAATCATTGTTATTTCATCAGATACAAATCGCCATTCATATATTTTCTCTTGTAATCATTTCAGACAAAATGAGACACACGTATATTAGAGTCATTCAGGCGAAAGAAAATATAAATCTTAACAGTACCATAACTAGAACATGAATTATACGACAATACATTTGTATAACCTAACCTAATTAAAAACCTTTAATTGTGAGAATACATGCATGTTATTCTGTATTATAAAGAAAGTTCTTTTCTAATAAACTGCCTAACTGAATCTTACGTGACTTTATTTTTTCAACTTTAATTAGTTTTAATAGTCTTTTTATATATAACAATACATTTTTTCTGTAATATATTGATCGCAGCCTGAATAGGTCAGTGGTAACGTCTCTGATTGTGAAGGTGAGTTATACGGGATTGAATCCATCAGGGGGCACAAATTCCCTCATGATTACAGGTACACCTTTCTGACGAGTGCCAAGTAACATGAAACCCAGGCACAAGGTTTCCTGTTGATCTCCTCCAACCACCATCTTATCTCAACATAGTGACGCACTGTCGAGCCACCTAGACTATTGCAACTTGGTTGATAGCATTCGATCAGCACTAAGAAGGACTTGAAACGTATGACACTGATCACCATCCAGTGATCAATCAATTGTGATAAAAGAAGCTTGTTGAAATACTTTTTGCTGTGAATCATATATTCTCGGAAGGAATTTTGTGAATATTATAGTAGTTTTATTAATTGAGATAATGAGTCAATTGAAGTTAGACCACCATGGAAAACCTGGAAGCATTGGACGGGCGTTTCGTTCTAGTATGAGACTCTTCAGTAGTATGCATCCAATGGTGGATGGCGACGCAATGTCGTGGATTGATTAAAGTTAGATAATAATACCGTTGGATGCCGGTCAGCTCAGTAGTCTGCAGGTTAAGCGTTCGCGTGCGAGACCGATAGGTCGTGGGTTCAAATCTCACGAGACGGTATCGTGGATGCACACTTCTGAGGAGTCCCACAATAGGAAGAAACGGTTTTCCATGGTGGTCTAGCTTCAAGTGACTCATGAATTCAACTATAAAACTATATATTCTACTAAGCAGATACTACTGAATATAGTGATTGATCTCAGCTAATTCAGTATTATTTTCAAATTATTAGAGTTTTCATTGACCTTGGTAGGGTTTGGGTTGATTTAAAGGAACTAGCAAATATTGGTCATGTTTATTTAACATGGAATGATCACTATAGTCAGGATTATCAAGTTTTTAGTACAGAAGAAATATATGTTTAAATGCTGTCAATATATTGTTTGTATTTCTTTGTGATACTTCATAACATGGATTTAAATCCACTCAATATATGGAATGAATCTTGCTTAGGGAATACCAGTTAAGACGAACGAAACCAAAATCTAGTTTTTTGTCCCAATTTTCCTTAATCATATGGGCATTCAAATAGTATAGGAACTTCCTATGGAGATTTATATGCTACAGAATCCCAAGAAGATTAAAACATACAGATTGAATCATTTGAAGGTCAGGATAATAGACAAACATTTTGTTTATGAAAAAAAAAAGAAACATAATTTTAGAATTTATGGTAAATTTTTTATAGAATCGTGATTCCGATAGATAAACACATGATCCTTGTTTACCAATGATCCATTTTCTTATAACAGAAATAAAACAGTATTATGATATATTTCAGTGTAGTTTATTTAAGGGAAATAAATATTAACTGTGTGGAGTTGTGGAGATGGTTAAACTTTTGGTTGAAATCAAAAGTCGATCGATGATAGATAACCAACGTGTCAGGTAGAGATAGGTATCTACCTCAGACAATGGAAGATAGTCGCGCGATTAGGGTTAGACATTAACATCATTGGGTGCCAGCTCAGTGTCCGCGCTCGAGACCGAAGGTCCTAGGTTCGTGTCCCACGTGTGGGATCGTGGATACTCACTGCTGAGCAGAATTATACTAGGACGAAATAGCTGTTCAGTGCTTCTAAATCTCTAATGGTGATCTAACAATGATCAGTTCATGATCCCAAACAAAATAAACATTAGGCTGTGTAAATTAAATGCTCACTTCACTTGTTTATTGTATCTTCTATGCCAAAAATGTGAAATGTGCTATTCTAAAAAGCAGATAATGTTGGATTTATATCACGTTCCTAGTGCATCTGACTATTTTTACATTACTTTATGGTGTAGGAGTAAGTTGGAAGAAAGCTAGGGGCGGCCAGATCAAAACGTGACACAAATCCATGAAGTCACTGACAATTGGACTGAGCCATGCTGGTAGGTGTAGACTACCTAGTTGGGATTCGCGAGATGGTAGCAACCGATGGTTAGAGACTTTGATTGACATGGCTCAAAATCATTTGCAATGGCGAACGTGCATCCACTTTTGTGTTCTGCCAAATTCTGATCTTCTGAATTCTTCATGTCTCTATCTTTTTTCTCTTTTCAAATGTATTTCACTGGATTATACTCTTTGAATAACATCTTCAAACCCTAATCTTTCGAATTACTGCTTATACTCTTACTACTTCTACCACTATGGGATTTAAATGGACAACTGCATCTCTGTGCTAATGTGGTATGGCAACTCGAACTGATGTAAGTACGTACGTACGAAGTTCTACGTTGGGACTGACTGACTTATAATGAAAATATTTACTTTTTATGAAATTCATGATAATTATGGTGTGTTTTTACACAATGATCCTCTATTTTGAAATGTCATTTTTGATGACAAATTTAACATTTATATTATGCTTCAGATTATTTACATCTGAGCTATAACTTTCCATTTGAAATATGTTTAAATAACATGGTCTTATGTTCTAAATGTCGCCTCTACTAGATCATGTCTGTAGATTAGTGTACATTATATGATCATTTTCAAAATAAATACAATACTGTGGTATGTGCTACTGATGTCAACAGATATAAGTAGTATTTATCACCGATAGGAAGTGAAATACCTGAACGTAGAAGGTTGAGGAGGAGAAGAGAACGAGAACAGAGAGTGTTTGGTATGGAGACAAGGGAGCAACAAAGTCTGGAACAATTGATGGATATTTTGAAAATGAAGTATTACTGTATGGTTTTGAGATTTTACCAACATATTCTGTAATATTGTATTAAAGCATATTTAGTTGTCCCCGTCTATGTTCTTGTTCATTACAATACTACTACTATTGTTGTTATTATCAACCCAATAAATGAAGATTAATTGAATTATCAAACTTTTAGACGAAAAAGGACACACTGATATTGATCTGTGGACCATAAAACAATATCTTCAATCTACACTAAAAAACCCATCGAATTCCACAATGAAAAATTAACAGTATGGAAGCGATTCGTAGCTTATATGATATGGTGTTCTCTAAGATGAATGACTTAATCACAAATTGTAATAAATCAGTATTAAATACTTTAACAATAATCATGTACTGCTAATATTGTCTAAGAAAGTGATGAAAGCTTCATGATTAAACTATGTAGATTAGAGCAAACAACACCTACATCAACTCTGAGATGCAGGTACATCCAGCTGACGAGTCCCAAATAGGACGAGATGCACGTCCTGGATTCCACTGCTAGCTGCCATCCATCTTTTCTTATAATCCTAATAAAAGACTAATATTTCAACGAAGAATATTTTTTTCGATAAATTCTCTTCAGATTCTACAATTATATATCCAAATTAATAATCCGAAAAAATTGGTCAGGTTAAGAACAAAGTACATCTACCCGAAGTTTGTGCTGATGATGTCGTTCAGAAAGACGATGAAAGGTCCACGACTAAACCATCCAGCTCAGAAAACAAAACTCCACCAAAATCACACACCTGAGCTACAAATCTTCTTCACCATCTCAAAAAAACTTGCAAAATATCTCCAACCCCTCCTCCTCCTCTGGTCAACCACAAGGCCAATTAATCAATAATAATCTTGACTATTGAATGACCTAATTTGACTATTGTACTTACGACCTTTCGTAGTCAAATGTAATTGTCTCTCTTATTTTTATTTACAAATATTATTATTAATGGGCAAACATCATTATTAATCTCTCCTTTACATGATTCATTCACTTGGCACTCACCTCTCCTTATTACGTCTTACTCATTTTTCACACAATTTAGTCTTCCATTTGATTGAATTGTAGTTGCACTATCATAGCTCTCTGTCATCCTATCTGACCTATAGTTATATTCTGATCATGGATCTTAAATTTTCACTTAACGTATATACAGATTCAAGTGTTAACATTCTATATGAGTCATATCAGCAGTAAGAATTTTATTCTATTTGGTTTGACAATCCTAAATTTACATCTATTAAACGATGTACTTTGCCTTTGACCTGGCCATTTTTTCGGATTATTAATTTGGATATTTGGATAGTTGTAGAACATGAAGAGAATTTATCAAATAGAATATTCTTCGTTCAAATATTAGTCTTTTAATATAATTGTAAGCTCTAAAGGGAGGCTGTGACCAGTATAGTTTATCCAAGCAGAGTGTTAGGTGATTCCCTACTAATAGGAGTAGATGATGGTTGAGCAACATTGCAAACTGATTGAAGTCAGAAATGTATTTCAATTCAGTAATCTGGAATTTAAAGATTATCTTCAAAGAGCTTATGGTCCTAGGTCTGGTCCCTAGTGTGGTTGAGATGGTATATTCCTAAGAATATCAATACCAGGACGAAACAACTGCTTAATTATTGTTTTTGAACAGTTTTCTAGCTAACGTCAATCCGTAGTAAAAATTTTAAAAAAGTTTAATCAATATTAGTCCCTTTAACTTCAGACTGCTCATAATCGGTTCATGAGAAACTTAAGGGTAAGATGATAAATCTATTCTATTTTTCATATAATGTTATTCTTATTTTAAATAGTTGAAATCATGAGTTGATTGAAGCTAGACCACCATGGAAAACCTGAAAGCACTGGACGGCCGTTTCATCCTATCATGGGACTCCACAGTAGTGTGCATCCAAGATTTCAACTATATAAATTTACTAAAATCTTCACAAAACCTCCTTCTGATAATGATCACATGCTCACTACTGACTGGCTCCATGAAGTATTTCCTGGAGTTCTAGTGAGAAGCAGTAACCAATGGAGTTCAACCAGCTCTGTTGGGAGATATCAACCCACTGAAGACAATGCTGGATGTGTCGTTCAACTTCATGGATTAGTTGAAGTTAAACAGTAACACTGTTGGATGTCGGTTCGCTCAATGTTCTAGAGGTTAAGCGTTCACGCCAGACTGATAGGTCCTGGGTTCCGATCTTGTGAGGCGGAATCGTGGATGCGTACCGCTGAGGAGTCCCACATTAGGACGAAACGATCATCCAGTGCTTCCAGGTTTTCTATGGTAGTCTAGCTTCAATCGACTCATGATTTCAACTATATAACATTCCTAAAACCTCGACAAAACCTCCCTTCTGATATTCTTATTTTATTCAAACTACAAAAAAATATTAAATATAAGATATTACTATTACAAATAAGTAGTATTCTTGTAAATCAATAAAAATAAATACTTACCACGTGTTGGAATTACAATTGTATTGATTAAAATAACAAATAATAAACTTCCATAAATCCATTTCAATAAGATGGAACAATGACTCTCAATCATTTCGTATACTGTTATTACTGTTGTTGTTGTTGCTGTTACTGTTGTTGTTGTTGTTGTTGCTGTTACTGTTGTTGTTGCTGTTGTTGCTGTTGTTGTTGCTGTTGTTGTTGCTGTTGTTGTTGTTGCTGTTGCTGTTGTTGTTGTTTTATTAAGTGAATAAATAACACTAAATCCAAATAATCTCTATACTTGTTCACCTTTATTTATTTATTTGTTTGTTTGTTTATTTATTGTGTTGTATTATGTCTTATTGTTGTTGTTGTGCGTGTGTGTGTGTGGGTTTTTTTAGTATTTTCACTTTGTTTAAATCTGGGACTGATATTTTAAAAAAATTTCAAGTCAGCTGTTTATGAAATACAAATTCCCTTAAGAAAAAAAAGTGGAGAATACTGGTGGGAGGTCTATGATCCTTCACGAGGGGTAACAAGCGTAAGTCCTCCAAAAAATTTTTTAGTTATTAAGAATCAATTAGAAATAGAATATAGAATGATGTATACCATTTTTTTTAAAAAATTAAATAAACCTCCAAAATTGAAATTCTTTTTACTTAAATTTACCGAATAGGTATCTTTCTTGGATGGAGAATGCTGATGAGCGGCCTATGCTCCTCGACGAAGGGTAGCAGGCGTAAGTAAGTAAGTAAGTAAGTAAGTAAGGTATTTTTCATTAAATGTTTCAATTCATTAAGGTTACTTGTATGTTCATCTAGATTTTGTGCGAATAATCCTACAATAGTAAATGGAATAGAAACTAGATTTGTATTGGTTAATATATATATAAATAGATAAGTTTATATGTCTGTATAGTTTAAGGGTTACATTAATGGAACTTAAAGTATTGAAACAATTAGAATCAGTTAATAGGTGATTAAATATTTATTGTTGATTGATCATTTAGTAGGGATCAGGATTATGTTGGTTTAGTTTTGTAGTATTGATTGAATTCTGACAATCAAGTACTAATATGAGTACTTCAACATCATGTGTAGTACGTACTGATGTTAAAGGATCGAATATAGTCGAGATAAAACCTCTAAATTAAATGTCATGATAGTTGGCAATCGTAAAAACGCGATACCTGTAATCTTAAGGTAGATGATACTTCTTGTCGGATTTGAAGCCCTATTACTCAGATATACGTAATCAAGTTACAGAACAGTTATACACTAGGAATATATATAGAATAATAGTCCATTAATAGGTCCCGGAAGTTACTTACTTACTTACTTATGTCTTACATCTGTATAGTTTAACTTTTTCAGTATTGAAACTAGAAGCATTGAAACAATTAGAATCAGTGAATAGGTGATTGAAAAAAGTTTATTCATTTGAATATATATTGTTAATTGATCTCTTAGTAGGGATCAGTATTATGTTGGTTTAGTTCTGTAGTACTGATTGAATTCTTTCAATCAAGTTGAAATACATGTACTAACATGAATAACTCAACATCGTGTATACTACATACTGTTGGATGGTCGAATATAGTCGAGATAAAACCCTAAACTTACATGTTATGATAAATGGTAATCGCCAAAAAGACTTACTTATAATCTTAAGATAAATGATATTTCTTGTTGGATTTGAAGCTCTATTACTCAGACTCACAGTATTAGATTCTAACATTGAGGTATTTGGTTTACATTCGATTCACAAATTGGATCATGTAATTCGTGACTACAATGATATATTTTCCATATTGTTTTCCACTTAATTAGATCGATCAACTGTCAAACAAGATAGTGAATTACTGACGAATATTAGTTGTGGTAATAGTAGTACTAATTTAGTCTTGGATTCAGAGTGTGATAATGTTATTCATAATACAACTAGTTCTGAATCGAAAGAATGCGTTTGTAACCGACTAAATCATGGTGATCATGAAGATGATGATAATGCTGCGGATGACCATGACTATGATATTGATGCTTCAGTTGATGAGAGATTATTATAGACCATCAACGTTGATGATCTATGTCGAATGATTGGAGGCCTACTCGATTTAGACGGGAACGGTGTAATGAACAAGCTAACTTCGAAGTCACACCTCGCGATCAGCACCTTACGCAGATTGCCTCATTGACGTATCAAGGAATCGTGAGTGTTCTGAAGACTGTACAACACAAAAGACGTTATTACAGGAATATATTAGTTAAAGTAGAAACAAGCGAAGGTAGAACCACTGCGGCATGGGCCAGTCCATGGCGTATGATTAACTGATGAGCATTGATTGTCCTTAACCTTGACGGGAATCGATGATGTGTTCGATATTTAGTGATCCGACTGCCGGATGATTTGGCTAAGGTTCAGTGACATTTCACTGGCCCTACACTATGTAAACATTTAGGAAAAGTAGGCTAATTATGTTTCGATAGTGTTTTTTCTGTTTCAGTCGATCTTTTGATTATTTGCTCATTATTCTTCTGTCTGTAAACTAGTAACAATAGCTTACTTGTCGATAAAGTTTACTCAAGAATTGTATAACAATATAAAAAATACTATGTGAATAATGGTGATTATTATTGTCTTTAATATCATTATTCATACTATTATTAGTAGTAGTAGTAGTAGTATTTGTTGTTGCGGTTGCAATTTAGCTTAATATGTAGCGGACGTGATCAGTAGCATTCGTTTATTACTAAGTCTCGACAAACACAACACTGTTCACTACACATTGACCAAATTATTGTAAATACCTATGTCTTACAGCTTATTATTTACCACCTGAATGCCTCAGTATTAGCTCCTTAATCTGTAGGACTGGTTGACCACGGTTTGAATCCCTTACTATTTTAGGTATACCTTCGAAACATATGCCAGCCAACATGAGACTTTGGTTATACAAGATTGTCTTCAGATTACATTCAACAACCTAACATCTAGAAATAGTACACTCAATGTTATATCTCTCAGACTAGTAGCCAACTTTTTATTCTCATCTATAGAAAAATATGTTATTAACCATGACTACTCCACGATGAATCAATATGTATAGAGGTCAGTTTATAATACAATTATAACTTAATTACATAGAATCAACTAAGTAGGAAGTTGAATTATCCACGGATCAAAATGTGACTTTTCCAATCTTGACACTGTACCAAACCAATCACGTTCGATCGGTATGAGCTGTCTAGCGTCCTTATTGGTCCTTTGTCCACCTAGCCCTTCCACTTGAGTCCAGAACCCCAGTTACAGCTTCTGCTATGCGTATCATTTATTTCACGCACACTCGGTTTATATACTAGACAGACAAACCACATCACACCATAAAATAGAAAATAATATTTGTACAAGATCAAGCCAAATGTGGCTATGAATGTGGGAGACCGTAATCAATAAACTGAGTATAATTTAGGAACACTAAATCGTATAATAATAATAATCAATAGGTCAAAATGAAGCTTATGATAAGATAAATGTAGATATACGTAATCTAGTTACTGAAAAGTCATACACTAGGAATATATATAGAATAATCGTCCATTAATAGGTCCCGTAAGTTACCCATACTCATGTCTTCGCTAGAATATAACAATATTTTGTCTGTGTATCTTTTTTTGATTTATTCTACCCAAATAACTATTCGAATTTCAACCCATTTATAGAGTTTACATTCACTTAGTATTGTTTGTTTGAATCTTCCCTTTTGATTTTTAGGACTGCAATTGATCAGTCTCTTATTGGCATAGATGCATACTGTGCGTATTACCTCGATATATAGCTTTAATTCACAAGCATTATAAGGAAAGATGGATAGTGGTTAGCAGTGGAATCCAAAACACGCGTTTCGCACTATTTGGGACTCGTCAGCTGGATGTACCTGCATCTCACAGTTGATGTTCACTTTGGTACTCGAACCCAGTACAGTTCGTTTCAAACGCCATTGTATTATTTACTTAGCTACTGAGTCCTGATAGCCACTTGCATGTCCTGAATTCCACTGTTCGTCACTATCTATCTTTGCATATAAAATTTATAGAGTTGTCGTTATTATTGTTATGTACTTCTGACTGATCTTTGATAAAAGATGAAACAGTTGTCCACTATTCCCTATTTCAATCTATAATTAAGTTGATCTCCAAATTTGATGGTTATTAACTTAACTCTGTTGATCAAGAAATGTAATAATAATAATAATAATAGAACAGTTGTTCAAATTATGTAACCGACAATAGGCTTTAAGATTAGTTTAGTTTGCTTATATACACCTCCGCATATATAAATTTGAATGTTTCTAACAGGTGATTAATATAAATACTACACTATATATGCTATTTTGATTAAAGAATACTTGTATTGTACAACAGTTGTTTTATTTTGTTTTTGTTTAACATAGATTCATAGATTCAATTATAGAGATTTGATCTGTTTAAGATCAGTAAAACATGGATATTTAATAAAACTACACATCCTATCGGTAACATTGTACTCCACTAGTTGATCTCGGATCATTAAATGAATCATATATCAATTTTAGAACAGTAGTATACTATTGTTTGACATACATTATCTTGACATTAGGATTGGTTGGATTATATTAGGTGTAAGGATGGCTAGTTGGTAAACTCTAGGAAGCCTTCAAGAAGCCTAGAAAGAGCCGAAGGTATCCCATTCAATCACTGCTAGGGGAATATTCTAGAATTTCGGTGTGTAGATTCCCTATTGGATGGATAAGAATGACCCCCTATATACCTATTGGTTGACCGAAATGATGATTTGCATTCAGCCAATAACTATAAATACATGAAATTTCTGTACTATATTTTGACACTGTTTTGGGGAATAAACTTCCTACTAACTAGTTTTTTGTCTTCCCTTTTGCAACGATGCGGGTTCTATCGTTTAAGTAGTCTAGCAGTACGCGGCATAATAAGAATCAAGCTCTAGATATAACATTGGGTATAGATTTCATATTGACTGGTATTTAACATGTAGGCATATTTTCATTAATGAAGTAACCTCTTTTTTCTGTTGTATTTGAATCTATGTCATTCAATATCATAACTAGACAGGTTAGAATTGAGTTATCATGTCGATAAA